TTCCCCTTTTTTTGGGGGGGTTTTTTTCGGGGGCCGGGGTTTTAAAAAAATTTTTTTCAAAAAAAAGGGGGTTCTAAAATTTTTTTTTTTTAAAAAAGGGGGTTTTTTTTTAAAAGGGGTTTAAGGGGAAATTTTAAAAAAACCCCCCCGGGGGGGGGTTTTGGAAACCCAAAGGGGGGTTTTAAAAAGGGGTCGGGAAAAAAAAAAAGGGGGGCCGGGGGGGGGCCCCCCCCGGGGGGGGGGGGCCCCCCCCCCGGGGGCCCCCCCCCGGGGGGGGGGGGGGGGGGGGCCCAAAAATTTTTTAGGGAAATTTTAAGGGGGGCGGGGGCCCCCCCCGGGGGGGGGGGGGTTTTAAAGGGGGGGTTTTATTTTTAAAAAAAAAAGGGGGAAAAAAAAAAAATTTTAAATAAAAAATTTTTAAAGGGGGGAAAAAAAAAAAAAAAAAAACCCCGGAAAGGGGGGAAAAAAAAGGAAAAAAGGGGGGAAAAAAAATTTTGGGGGGGGGGCCCCAAAGGGGTTTTAAAAAAAAGGGAAAGTTTTTAAAAAAGGGGGGGGGAAAAAAATTTTGTTGGGAATTTTTTCCAAAAGGGGGGGGGCCCCGGGCCCCCGGGGGGGAAAAACCCCCCCGTTTGGGGGTGGGGAAAACCCCGGGGTTTAAAAAAGGGGAAATTTTAAAACGGGGGGAAAAAAAGGGGAAAAGTGGGGAAAAAAAAAATTTTTTCCCCCGGGGGTTTTTTGGGCCAAACCCGGGGGGGGGGGAAAAAACTTGGCTGAAACTAATTTTTTTTTTGGGGGAAAATTTTTTAAAAAAAAAAAATTTTTTTTTTGGAAAAAGGGGGTTTTAAAAAGGGGAAAGGGTTGGGGGGGGGGAAAAAGGGGGCCCAAAAGGGGTTTTTAAAAAGGGGTTTTTTTGGGGGGGGGGGCCCCCCCGGAAACCCCCCGGGGGGGGGGGGGGGGAAAAAAAAAAAGGGGAAAAAAAACTTTTAAAAGGTTTTAAAATTCTTTTAAAAATCGCGGTTTAATATCGTTTAGGACCTTGGAGCGTGGCTGGAAGTTCACCCGCTGACCAGCTCGGAAACCCGGATGCATAAGCGGAGCAGGTACCGTGTGTATTCGAAATGGTCAATTATCTGTTTGTTAACTTGGCTTTCGAATACTTTCGAAAGGCAGGGCAGGATGGATATAGGTCTGTAGCAATTTGGATCTAGAGTGTCACCCCCTTTGAAGAGGGGGATGACCGCGGCAGCTTTCCAATCTCTGGGGATCTCAGACGTTATGAAAGAGAGGTTGAACAGACTAGTAATAGGGGTAGCGACAATTTCGGCGGCTAGTTTTAGAAAGAAAGGGTCCAGATTGTCTAGCCCAGCTGATTTGTAGGGGTCCAGATTTTGCAGCGCTTTCAAAACATCAGCTGTCTGAATTTGTGTGAAGGAGAAGCGGGGGGGGCATGGGCAAGTTGCAGCAGAGGGTGCAGAGTTGGTGGCCGGGTTAGTGGTAGCCAGATGGAAAGCATGGCCAGCTGTAGCAAAATGATTGTTGAAATTCTCGATTATTGTAGATTTATCGGTGGTGATAGTGTTTCCTAGCCTCAGTGCAGTGGGCAGCTGGGAGGAAGTGCTCTTATTCTCCATGGACTTTACAGTGTCCCAAAACTTTTTGGAGTTAGTGCTACAGGATGCAAATTTCTGTTTGAAAAAGTTAGCCTTTGCTTTCCTGACTGCTTGTGTATATTGGTTCCTAACTTCCCTGAAAAGTTGCATATCGCGGGGGCTGTTTGATGCTAATGCTGTACGCCACAGGATGTTTTTGTGCTGGTCAAGGGCAGTCAAGTCTGAGGAGAACCAGGGGCTATATCGGTTCTTAGTTCTGTATTTTTTGAATGGGGCATGTTTATTTAAGATTGAGAGGAAATTACTTTTAAGGAACAACCAGGCATCCTCTACTGACGGAATGAGATCTATATCCATCCAGGATACCTGGCCAGGTCAATTAGGAAGGCCTCCTCGCTAAAGTGTTTTAGGGAGCGTTTGACAGTGATGAGGGGTGGTCGTTTGACCGCGGACCCGTTACGGACGCAGGCAATAAGGCAGTGATCGCTGAGATCCTGGTTGAAGACAGCTGAGGTGTATTTAGAGGGTATGTTAGTCAGGATGATATCTATGAGGGTACCTTTTTAGGGTTGTACCTGGTAGGTTCGTTGATAATTTGCGTGAGGTTGAGGGCATCTAGCTTGGATTGTAGGATGGCTGGGGTATTAAGCATATCCCAATTTAGGTCACCAAGCAGTACAAACTCTGAGGATAAATGGGGGGCAATCAATTCACATATGGTGTCCAGGGCACAGCTGGGGGCTGAGGGGGGTCTGTAGCAAGCGGCAACAGTGAGAGACTTATTTCTGGAAAGGTGGATTTTTAGAAGTAGAAGCTCAAACTGTTTGGGCACAGACCTGGATAGTATGATAGAGCTCTGCAGGCTATCTCTACAGTAGATTGCAACTCCACCCCCTTTGGCAGTTCTATCTAGACGGAAAATGTTATAGTTGGGGATGGAAATTTCAGAATTTTTGGTGGCCTTCCTGAGCCAGGATTCAGACACTGCTAGAACATCAGGGTTGGCAGAGTGTGCTAACGCAGTGAATAACTCAAACTTAGGAAGTAGACTTCTGATATTTATGTGCAAGAAACCAATACTTTTGCGATTACAGAAGTCATCAAATGATAGCGCCTGGGGAGTAGGAGTGATACTGAGGACTGCAGGGCCTGGGTTAGCCTCTACATCACCAGAGGAACAGAGGAGGACTAGAATAAGGATACGGCTAAAGGCTTTAAGAACTGGTCTTCTAGTGCGTTGGGTACATAGAATAAAGGGGGCAGATTTCCGGGTGTTATAGAAAAGATTCAGGGCATTATGTACAGACAAGGATATGGAAGGATATGAGTAAAGTGGAGGTAACCCTAAGCGTTGGGTAACAATGAAAGAGATAGCATCGCTAGAGTCATCAATTGAGTCGGTCTCCGCGTGTATAGGGGGAGGTGCAAAGGAGCTATCTAATGCAGGTTTAGCTAGGCTGGGGGGTCTACAGTGATATAGTACAATTAGAAATAACCGAAACAACAATAAACTAACCATGTTTGGGCTGAGGCTAAACATAAACAGGATGTAGTACCGTAAAAAGGAACAGTCCAGCAGATATCAGCTGTATAGCTGAGTTATCATAAGGTCCGGTGGTGAAGCACTAGTAAGAGGCCACGGCTAGCGGGCCAGGGCTAGCAGATGGATGGAATCTTCGTGGTTAACGTCGTAACCACATCAGACGATTTCGTCCGCAGACCAGTCGTGTAGGATCGGCAGGGGCTCCGTGTCAACACTAGGTGGTCCCGTCCGGTTGACAGAGAGGTAGATAGCCGGGAGATGGGCGATGGGCCTAGCTCAGGATGATTTGATTAGCCAGACCACAGCGTCCGTTTTGTTGTAGCTGGCTGGTGGTAGCTAGCTGGTAGCGATGAAATCCGGAGTTAAAGGTCCAGTGATTCAGTGATTCCGGCGGAAAACTGATATGTTCTGGGTCGATAACGCGCTGTGCAGACTGGCCGAATATCCGGTGATCAATGTCCAGTGATTAAAATTAATCCCGCAGAAAAAAATCCAATGTCCTGGGTGAAACACCGCTAGCTGTGGCTAATAGCAAATAGCAAGTAGCTAGTTAGCTGGCTAGCTAGTTTCAACTGGAGATTCTAGATTCTAGATAAAGGTAAGTCAAGGTAAGTCAATAATAGAATCCGTTCCACATTGAGTGAGGCGGGTTGCAGGAAAGTATATCTTGTAGAAGGATGAAAAGTCTGATAGGGAAATATCTACGAAAAATAGGGTATTTACAGGCTATTTACAGACAGACGATAAAAACACAACTGCACTACTACGCCATCTTGGCGACCAAAGTATGCTGAGTATACCAAACATTAGGAACTCCTTCCCAATATTGAGTTGCCCTCAGAACAGCCTCAATTCGTCGGGGCATGGAGTCTACAAGGTGTCGAGAGCGTTCCACAGGGATGCTGGCCCATGTTGACTCCAATGCTTCCCACAGTTGTGCAAGTTCGTTGGATGTCCTTTGGGTGGTGGACCATACTTGATACACCCGGGAAACTGTTGATGGTGAAAAACCCAGCAGCGTTGCAGTTCTTGACACAAACCAATGCGCCTGGCACCTACTACCATACGCCGTTCAAAGGCACTTACATTTTTGGTCTTGCCCATTCACCCTCTGAATGACACACATACACAATCCATGTCTCCATTGTCTCAAGGCTTAAAAATCCTTCTTTAACCTGTCTCCTCATCTACATCGATTGAAGTGAATTTAACAAGTGACATCAATAAGGGATCATAGCTTTCTCCTGGATTCACCTTGTTAGTCTATGTCATGGAAGAGCAGGTGTTCTTAATGTTTTGTATACTCAATGCATGTTTGTGTGTGTGTGTGTGTGTGTGTGTGTGTGTGTGTGTGTGTGTGTGTGTGTGAAAATACTGCATACAGATGTTATACCTGTTCATAATAATGTCATGCTATCCTACTTTTTATTCCTTGTACTTACACTGTGTCCGACTATATGCTTACTATGTACATACACACCAGTGTTTTAGCTTCGTTGATGCTTTTAGATGAAAGTCTCATTCTTCTCATGATGTTTCTCAACCACTGGAGTTCAACGTGAGCCTGTTTTCAGATTTCCTTCATACATGGAGGGGAGCTGGGTCTCACGGAGAGCTACACAGAGCTTGACATCTTTCTCCTGGTGGTATACATCATGGTCCTCGTCGGCAACACCATGATCATCACTCTGGTGTTGCTGGACTCCAAACTTCACACACCAATGTGTATATTCCTCTGGATTCTGTCTCTCACAGCTATAGTGATCACCAACAGTGTTCTACCTAAAATGATATCAGTGTGTTTGTGGAATGACGTGTCCGTTTCATTTGCAGGTTGCTTCTTGTAGATGTATACCTATTTGATATTCCAAACTACAGAGGGATTTCTCCTATGTGCCATGGCCTACGACCGCTATGTTGCTAACTGCAATCCTTTACGCTACAACAGCATCATAACAATCAACATGTGTGTGTTCCTGGTCTCAACAGCATGGGCTTTGGTGATGATTCTTCCGGCATTGAATGTCATTCTTGCACCAAAACTACCTTTCTGTAGTAATCAGATAATGTATTGGTTTTGTGATTATCCTCCGATTGTTAGATTATCTTGTTTGGACACAACATTATTGATAGATCTAGCCCTCGCATTTGCTTTATTTGTGATGTATGTTCCATTCACTGTCATAATTTGGTCATATTGTAAAATCATCAAATCCGTTTGCAAAATTGTCACATCTGAAGGGCGGAAAAAAGATTTATCTACCTGCTCCTCTCATCTCATTGTTGTCTTTACCTTCTACGTTGCTCATCCGTGTGTCTACATCAGTGCTAAATCATATCCTATTCGTCCCAATGTGCTCATCTATTGTCAACTGTTTTTTTAACTCCTCTTGTGAATCCACTTGTTTACAGTTTCAGGAAAAAACAGCACAAGGCAGCACAAGATTGTCTGTTGCATATCAGCATTTGCTGTTAACATCTAGCTAGCCGATGGAGTTTGTTAAGAGTTTGTCGAGCATCTATCCATGTACAGTGGGGAGAACAAGTATTTGATACACTGCCGATTTTGCAGGTTTTCCTACTTACAAAGCATGTAGAGGTCTTTGGAGGGAGCTGAAAGTCCGTATTGCCCAGCGACAGCCCCGAAACCTGAAGGATCTGGAGAAGGTCTGTATGGAGGAGTGGGCCAAAATCCCTGCTGCAGTGTGTGCAAACCTGGTCAAGACCTACAGGAAATGTATGATCTCTGTAATTGCAAACAAAGGTTTCTGTACCAAATATTAAGTTCTGCTTTTCTGATGTATCAAATACTTATGTCATGCAATAAAATGCAAATTAATTACTTACAAATCATACAATGTGATTTTCTGGATTCTGTCTCTCACAGTTGAAGTACCTATGATAAAAATTACAGACCTCTACATGCTTTGTAAGTAGGAAAACCTGCAAGATCGGCAGTGTATCAAATACTTGTTCTCCCCACTGTATATAGACATTTTAGAGGATCAAAATTAAGTGTTTGACCTAATTAATCAGAAACTATGTGGCCCAGTCATAAGCATACATATTGATGCAAGCTGGGAAGGGCTGCACATAAGAAAGTAATTCTTATTGTTTGTTTTAGCTCTGCTCTCATTTGCCACGAATGCCATTAACGTACCAATCAATGCAGTTATTAGGCCACCTACTGTTGTGTGAAACCCTGATTGGCTGGAATAATCCCAGGAAACCAACTATGTTCTGAACTAGGCGAGAGCTTGCAGTCAGAGGAGGTGTGTGGAAGCCCCTGGGAACTGCAGGAGCGCCATAAAATAGACAGGACAACAGAAACACAACACTTGGTCTCTAGATCAAGTCCACATGATGACCTGTACATTGAGATAAACTAGTCATATTGTCAAGCCACTATCAGGTGTTTGAACTTTTCCATTTTCTTCTGTGAATTAAGTCTTGTTAGGTGAATTATTTTTTGCAAAAGGTGTTCAGCAGCATTGTTTTGTGCACACTACACAGACGGTAAGTGTTACTCTATGGTGACAGGCATATCAAATCATTGGTGTTATTGTGCTAATTCAATACCAGATTCATCAATTGATAATTTGCATCAATGGCTATTCAAAATGGTTTATACTAAACGTAGTGTATGCTATAGAGATGAATGATTCATGTTTGTATGTCTTTTTTTTTTGTGTCTTTTCACAGAAATAGTCAAAATAATATCCAAATCTGGCGTGTCAACAACATAAATGCCCTGAATACAGCTTTTACAATGTAGAAAGTAAGTGTCTTATACCAAATTAGATCGCCATCTATTTCTGTCTTTCTCAAGCAAATGCTGATATTGTGCACCTTTGTAAAATGATCTTCCCTTGACCTCCAGATGACTCTTGCCTTCAAGCCAATGTGACTGTTGTGACTGACTTCCTCTTCATTGGGGGTGAGAGAGGGCTGAAAGACTTCTACCTAGAGCTGGCCATCTTCCTATTGGTGGTCTACCTGATGATCCTGATTGGAAACCTCATCATACTTAGCCTGGTGGCGACAGAACCCAAGCTGCAGTCTGCCATGTACATTTTCCTCAGCAACCTGTCCCTCATAGACATTGTGATATCAACCACTGTTCTCCCTAAGATGATAGCAGTGTGCTTGTGGAATGACACAACGATCTCCTACTCAGCATGTTTCCTCCAGTTGTATATCTATTTGTCATTTGAAACCGTCGAGAGCATGCTGCTGTGTGTCATGGCCTATGACCGCTATGTCGCCATCTGCAATCCCTTACGCTATAGCAGCATTATCACTAAGAGAGTTTGCGGTATGTTGGCTACATCAGCATGGGCATCTGGACTCACTATACCTGCCTTCTGTGTCATTTTCACAGCACAAATGCCCTTCTGTAGCAACAAAATTGATTTTTGGTTCTGTGACTTTCCTCCTGTAGTTTCACTGTCCTGTTTGGACTCAACCTTTTTGATCGACGTGGCTCTTGTGGGTGCTTTAATAGCGATCTATTTCCCGTTCACTGTCATTGTTTGGTCCTACTTCAGAATCATTGTAGCCGTCTGCAAGATTGCGTCTTCAGAGGGCCGCATGAAAGCCTTCTCTACCTGCTCCTCACATCTCACTGTCGTCCTCACCTTCTACCTCGCTCACTCCTGCGTCTACATCAGTGCCAAATCTGAAAACGTTCACTGTAATGTTCTAATCTTGATATCTATTGTTAACTGCTTTCTGACTCCTGTTATGAACCCTATCATCTATAGTTTCAGAAACAAAGAGATAAAGGCTGCACTGAGAAAGCTCTGTTCTGGTAAGGTCGACTCTGATGGTGAATAACAGGGAGACCGTTGAACTGTTGTGGGGATAAACACTCAATTAGAATATGCAGCTATACAAAATGCAGTAATTTGTCAGGAAACTTGCTGGATGTCTGAGCAGATCTAATTAAATATTTCTCTGTGGAGAGAGGTGAGATCAGTAGGGAATACAAATTGGCACAACAAAGCAAAGCACATGACATACAGTTCAGGATCAGGAAGTACAGTTCAGGATCAGCACATACAGTTCAATCCACCATAAACGGAGAATAAAGCCTGGTTTACCTAACAGCTAATAATTAAAGTGATAATCTTTGTTTCTCTTAACAATATCACATGCATGTTAAAGTTGAATTGTTGCTTTTAGTATATCAGACATACACTAAATGATGGTATGATGAGATATTGTCAGTGCTTAATTCAAGACCTCTCCGTTTTGGACTGTTTTGTTCCGGTACCTATCAGGCCGGATCCGGTACCTCTCGTGGCATGAAAAATAATTTATGTAAAATTACAATAAAAGCGATCATTCGAGTTGCCTCTTCGTTAATTCACCTGCCCCCACAAAAAAACGTTATGTGAAAAAGTCAGCCCTGGCCTAATATTCTAAGAGTTGATTAGGGTTGGGCCTCCCGTGTTAATGGTTTGCGCAACATTGTAACCTATGTTTGAGACCAACGCATGACTGTGGCTGTGTGAGAAGCGCGCCTGTCTCTCTCACATAACTAGAATGATATTAACTTTCTATGATCTCTCTCCCTCTCTGCTCTGATAGACATGAGCCTGCAACTCTCATCTCTCCAGCGTTGCACTTTATCATTTATTTCCTTATAGAATCACAGCCGCACAAAGGGTTCTGGAGGAACTGCAGCATCCCTGATTAATTGAAATACATTTGCCAAAATTATAGAATTACTGCAGTCTGTTCATAAATAAATGAAATCATTCAGAATAGCCTACTACACCACGAGAAGGCCTATCATTTAGCCACAGAGGATCAATAGCTTCTTTAAAAAAATAGCCTAGTTGTGGATTGTAGCCCAATAACAAGGAATAGCCTACAGTCGGGAACGCGCGGCAAATCTGTCCGTGAAAAAACAGCATGCAGACAAAACAGGCCTTTCGCAATATTTCAAATACAATCGAGGGAAAACACAGGTTGGAAAGCAAATGGCTCCTGCTGAAAAGTGAAGACTATGCTGTAGCCTACCAAAATAGACTATTGATGAATTCAAGACAATGTCGTTTTCATTGATCTCAGATTCTCAGTTTGTCAGTGTCAAAGTAGCCTGTCATTTTGATCATTTGTGCTGTATTAAGAAAAATTCTGCCAGTCTCCAGTCATGTAAAATATCGTAGATTTGCATGAAATGCGTTTATAAAAGGCCACACTTTCCCCAGACCCTAGGCTACGAGAAATGTTCCCCATGTGTGCAACTTTTGTAAGTGCCTCTACTCTACTGCTCTATGTCACTACACAAATGCGATGGTTTTCATGCAATCCTTTATTATAAAGTTGTAGTTTTTTTTCTCATGCGTTCTGGTACCTCAGAACTCCCCAGGTCATCCCCCTTCTCACGCTGACTTTTTGTTCTGGCACCTCCCGATTTACAAATTAATTTGTGATGCTGTAATTGATTATTTGAATGTTTTGAAATGTCACAAACAGTCAGAATGGATTCTCATGTTTTATTAAATGTTAATAAATTAACACAACAAGCTTAAATCAACTATTCATTTCTGTTTTATCATCCCTGAATGGTAATTTAAGGTATTGCAATTCCCATGTTCACTTTCAAATAATGATCTAACACACACAACATGTAGAGATGTTGGATCTTAATTTGATCAACCTTTTGCAGGAGAACTGCAGGAAATTTAAAACGTGTAGTGTATGTGAGGTTTAAATAAGCTTCTTAAGTTTGTCATTTCCACTTTGAAATTTCAGACTTGATTTTCTCTTACGAAAAATGTATCAACCCCTACAAAAATGTCCATTAATTATAATCCACAAAATAATTCACATTTCCTGTTGCTGCAGCAGGATTATTTTCCTGCTGTAGCAAACTGGCTCAAATTAAGATCCTACATCTGTATGACAACTAAATTGTAAAAGTAAACATTAACAACATCTGTAGGTAAAATATATACATTAAAAGTGTTTGGAATATCAAATCATTTAAAAAAACGGATGTAATCTGGATTAAATCCTCGTGTTCAGATTAGGCCTTCATGTATAGAAACGTGGGAGGTGAAAAGTGGAAACTGATCACTACAAATTTATTGCACACGTCGCTTTACCTGTTCTCTCATTTTGGTTATGCTCAATAGGTGTAAAACAGAAAACATTTTGAAACACCATTTCAGGTAATACCTCCTTCATTTCAACATGTTTTCTCCTGTTTCATACCTAATGAACACAGCCCAGGTCTGAAGTTAGATGGCTTTCCCCATGATGAGAAGGTTCATGGAAAACACCATGATGAAAAAGATCCACATGAAGAATCGGTCCAACACCTTCGCCACCTTCGTCCACTCCCCAGTCCTTTTCACGGTGGCCCTCGTATCTCTGTAACAGTTGGCAATGTACTCAATATTTCTGAGGAGCTGCTGCTGCTGACAGGTGCACTGGGTCTTACACACCTCCTCTCTCCCTCTACTCACTCCTACTCCGTCACTCACTCCAGCCTTCCGGCTCCTCCTGGCTGCGGCCGGCCCTGTTGAGTCCCCACAGTCCATGCTCATGAACATGCCGTTTCTCCAGGCGATGTAGTGGTTGGTGGGGTTCCCCTCCATGGAGCCGGTGGGGCTCATCAACTGATCCTCTGTCTCCTCAATTATTTTGGGGGTGATGCCGTCTTGACCTCTTTCCACCTGCTTGTCCGTTCGTGGTGTAGTTGTTGCTCCGCTGAGAGGTAGGTTGAGGTGGTGGGTCCTGTTTCTCAGGCTGGAAAGACATGCAGTTCTCCCCTACTTCATACACAAAGCACACCCTGGCCATGTCCTGCAGGATGAAGATCTTGGCCCACTTGGGCACAGGCTTGGCGTCTGGCCACAGTGGTGGATGTTCATGATAAAGATGGTCAGGGCCGTGGAGGCTGTAATCATGGTCATGGTGGCTATGTAGTACTTTCCTGTGGGACATTGAAAGGGGAACATACATGTATTATTATCACTATCTAAATGATCATGATCTGGCTAATAATGGGGGCCTCAAGTAAAAGAATGGGCCAGTGTGTTAGAAATGCCAGGGCCGATTTCTGGTCCCAGTCTACCCCTGATTGCCCTCACCAATAAGTGGCACATTCTCTGATGGAGGCATGGTCTCAGCGACCAGCAGCTGAAACACGGTGAGAGCCAGCATGACGGTGACGCCCAGGGACACCTTCTCCCCAGAGTCAGCCGGCAGGTAGAAGCCCAGCGGAGCCAGGAAGGAGATCATCACACATGGGATGAGCAGGTTGAACACGTAGAAGGAAGCCTTCCTCTTTAGTTGGAGAGTGTAGGTCACATCAGGGTAAGGGTCAGCACAGCAGCCATACATAATTATGTTCCTCTTGGCAGGCATCCCCAGCACCTGAGAACCAGGACCACAATGGCAATAAGTGATTCAGTTATTCATTCATTGGGGAAAAGATGCACTGAGTTCAAAACATAGGATAAGACGTTAGAGCGTGGTCCCGATGGAATAAATCTGTTAACTGTACTGTGTTTTTATCATCAAGGATTTTTTTAATGAGTGTATTGTTGCAACTCTATGTATTTTAAATTGGTCAAATAAAAGTTATAAATTCATTCACCTCCCATTCCACGTTCTCTACCAGGTCAGCCAGGTCGGCGTGGTCCATAGCGTTCTGGAGGTCCATCTGGTTACCGTTGTAGGTCCAGGAGCCGTAGGTGAATCTGCACTGCTGGGCATCAAATGGGAAGAAGGATACGTCTACCTTACAGGAGCTCTTGGTGATAACCGGGGAGTCCCACATGATCTGGCCATCATGGCGGATAACCACATTAGTGTCCATGGAGCCTGTGAAATGGCTATCAGCACTGAAATACATACAGAGAGAGAGAGAGAGAGAGAGAGAGAGAGAGAGAGAGAGAGAGAGAGAGAGAGAGAGAGAGAAACTGTACAGCTGTTGATTGCAGCACACAGTTAAGAATTATACTAGTATTGGTTTAGTGTTAGATCAACAGAGGCTGAAGTCCATTCATATGAAGACAGTGACGAACAATGTAAATATCATACAGTCTAAGAAAGACATGCATTACCCTTTTAGAACAGACGGGCAACCAGGCATGACTAGCAGGACTAGCCAAAGGCACAAGAAAAGCAATGGAAGAAGAGCGAACCCCTCATGAAAAGAGTTAGCTATTTTTGGGTTGCCTCCACTTTGTTTCTGCATTTTATAACCTTGATGTTTTATTGTCACATAAGTGCAGTGAAATGTGTTGTTTTACAGGGTCAGCAATAGTAGTACGGCACCCCTGGAGCAGATTAGGGTTAAGTGCTTTGCTCAAGGGCACTTCTGCAGATTTTTCACCTTGTCGGCTCGGGAATTCAAACCGGCGACCTTTCATTTACTGGCCAAACACTCTAACCGCTAGGCTACCTGCAGCCCGTTACTTCCCAGATTCCCAGTATAAAAAGCAGAAAACGACCAGAACACTCCCGTGAATAAATGTCTTCAAGGAGTGTTCAGCTTGTGTCTTCACACTGACAACAACGTTGATGTGTGGAATGTATTGTGGGAGCAACAGAGCTCTCTGATGAACCCAATACCAGTCCGACCTACTTGTTATATAAGACTATATCAGGTCTCCATATATAACTACTAGGTATACGGATGGTATCAAGTCCATCATAATCATCTGTATTCCAGGTGAGGTATGAGTCTACCCACACCTGTCGTATCCACAGATATGCTGTCAAAATCTGGTTACGTTCATCCTGCAATAGAGGGAACATGGTGAACAATGGCTTAATTTCACTAGTTATCATTACCACTTAGAATATTACATCTATTTCAAATGCAAAATGTGAATGTATGAGATTTTTGTTTGAGATCTTTTTTGGGAATCTCTTTATTATTGTTGTATTGCTGAAATAGCCATAGTTTACATGTAAGAAAGCTGTTACCATGTCAATGATCTGTGAGAGGGTGATCTGCAGGGTCACATTGAGGATGTTGTCTGTGTCCTCTACCGGTCTCAGGGCACTGGTGTAGTTAGTAAACAAATCTTTCAGCAGCTTCTGGGCATACTTCCCATGAGCACTCCAACAGGCTAGGACAGGGCAGAGAGAACAGTGTCTGCTAAATGACTAATATGTTATTTAAAAATGGATAAGAAAGAACATGGAGAGCAATGTTAAACATGTTCAACATCATTCTCACCTAAACACCAAAAACACAATCAATTTAATTTAATTAATTTGTAATTTAGTGAGCACTAGATCATATTCATACATTTATTCAAAAATGACAATCTGTGACAACCTGATGTCAGTCAGAACAAAGTCTCTGGGACATACAGGTAACTGCCAAAATAAAGGAAACACCAACATAAAGTGTCTTAATAGGGCCAACACGATCCACCAGAGCAGCTTCAATGTGCCTTGGCATAGATTCTACAAGTGTCTGGAACTCTATTGGAGGGAGGCATCACCATTCTTCCATGAGATATTCCATCGTTTGGTGTTTTGTTGATGGTGCTGGAAAATGCTGTCTCGGGCACCGCTTCAGAATTTCCCATGAGTATTCAATTGGGTTGAAATCTGGTGACACACACACACACACTTTAAACCCCCTATGCTCCTTTGAGACCCATCTTTCAAAGTCACTGAGATATCTTCTTCTAGCCATGGTAGCCAAAATAATGGGCAACTGGGCATTTTTATACATGACACTAAGCATGATGGATTGTTAATGGCTTAATTAACTCAGGAACAACACCTGTGTGGAAGCACCTGCTTTCAATATACAGTACTTTGTATCCTTCATTTACTCATGTGTTTCCTTTATTTTGGCAGTTACCTGTACATGGGTAAAAGTCTTAGTGTGTCAGAGGACATGTCATGGCAGATGGTGCAGAACACTGGGGGTATTTGGGAGTAGATTACCCTTCTGATGCTATAGCAAGAGATCAAGCAAAGCTGCCATTATGAGCCAGCAGATGCAACTGAGGCATCTGTTGACCCCAAGCAGGGATGTGTTGATACACGCCCTAATCCATGGGACATTTGCCATATAATACCACCATAGAAAATTAACAGGGATAGGCTATAATACAGTCTAATAGATACACTGTACACTGTTCTTGTAGGTTGAATGCATGCATAAAAAAAGGGGGGAAAATGTATTTTTATTGTCACATAAACCAGATAGGTGCAGTGAAATGTGTTGTTTTATATGGTCAGCCATAGTAGTATGGTACCCCTGGAGCAAACTAGGGATAAGTTACTTGCTCAAGGGTACACCTTGTCGGCTCAGGTATTCGAATCAACAGCCTTTCGGTTATTGGCCCAACGCTCTAAACGCTAGGCTACCTGCCGCCCTGAAGTCCTTCATGCTGATGCTTTTTTCTCCATTTGTATAGAAAAATCCAATAATATTTGCATGAGTTTAACAAAATACAGTTGTGCAAATCTTCTGCATACTTGGAATTTACTAGACCATTTCACTTTCTCTCCAGTCTTTAATCCCGTTTTTTTTATTATTTCTATTATAGGATATGTTTTTTTTCTTCCGGGAATTCATTTCAAATTCTTGACGAACATAATTGAGTTCAGAACACTGCCAGAAGCAACTGTTTACAGTGGTCTCAGTGGATTTGGGTGAGCCAGATGTTACCCTGCTTCACTGTTTCAATAAAGCCTTTTGAGGAGAATGCAGAAAAGGGCCACAGGATTACATTATATAAGACGATCCCTAAACAACTGGCAGGGAGATCCTGCCTCCTGCTTGGGAAACAGCGGTGACGGTTATCTAATCAGAATCTGACTGGGATAAAGGAAATGATCGACCACTGTAGATGTCACAATGATTCATCATTAAGAGACCAGCAATAATGTAGTTTACATCAGTTACATCAGTAACACTTAATGTAATACAAATCCAACAAGCTATCTGTCAAGAGGCTACTCTAAACCAGTCATGAAACCATTTAACTCACCACTTGCATGATGTTTTAAATGAAAAAACAAAATGAGAACACTCATTGCGATTGGAATGTAAGCGTGTGTTGATATAAAGACACTTAACATACCATATACATTCCTAAATATGTACATCGTGAATTTACCATTTTCAACTGTGCATAGTTCAGCAAAAGAGAGAAACTATAGCCTACCTGGAATAATATTCAAGCAGAAAATAAAACTCAGGTGAAGCTCGAATTCCACATAGTTTCATCTTGCTGAGACAGGTTACATTTATCTCTATCCAAAAATATGAAGTTGCCCGGATGGATAGCTCTTGTGCCTTGACCAAGACGATAGTTAGCGTGAGATGACTGGGTTAGAGGCGGGGCAGAGGCTCATCATGACTTACTGAGCAATATTGGAATTTACACAGAATTTATGTGAATGAGACTCGTGGGACATATCCATTGTCCAAAAATCTAAATCCTCAACAACAAAAACATTGACTTGAGTCTTTTCCAAATAACCCTATTTTCTCAAAGTATGTCTTATGGTCATTTCATGAGGCTTCTTGTATTGCCAGGCTGTCAAAGAGTAGGATACAGTCTTTGGGGATGGGCAAGATCTGCTCCATGGACAGCTCCCGTGGTATAAATTCATTCAGTTTCTTACGCTTCATCGTGAAGCTTCAGCTACCAATGATTTTTCAGCATAGAGAAATTGCGTAATGTGCTGGTACTCCCACCCAATCACTAATGAGCAAGAACCTTGCTTTCTCTTCCGGGTATCGCAATACATTTTAATCCGATCTCTTCAATAAATGTTTCGCATTTCATTGGTATCGCATTTATTTAAAAACGTTATTGAAGATATTTATAATATGGCAGCTGGGGGAGGATTCAGGTTAAAAGCTTATTCTGCATCGTGTTGATGATGCTCAGTGTTGTGCTGGGCTGAAGAGAGCGTAAACAGACGCTACTGAATTAAGAGACCACATTACAAATGTGTGAAATACCTGATCAATATAAATCTGAACACAGTCTTTAGCCTATATGCGACGATGCACAGGCGTATGTGGAGACAGTCCAATTCAAGCCAACAAAAGTAATTTCTTTCTCTGACTATGCAAGAGCTATATCTGTAAACAATTGACCTAGCTGTAGCCTACAAATAAGAGGTATGGAATCATATTCAAATCATTTTTATGCATGTTTCTGATCAAACTTAAATATAGTCCTGCCTTAATGTCACTGAAAACAGCAGCATGATTTTGCAGGAAGCATGTCAAACTCTCAAACCTAGGTATTAAATCCAGAATTAGCTATTTCATTATTATACATTATTTTGTTAATATCCAAACATTCTCACGATTAAAGTGCTTATTTTGTGATAAATATGAACCTGATGTCCCAGTCTAGGATGCTGCAGGGTCCACATGTCCTGGGTCATGACAAGCCTCTGATCAGGCTATCATTCACCTCCTGTGTTGTGGGCACCGTCTGTCTGCCGCTGCTTGGCTTAATTACCTGCATCTTCATCTCCTCCGTTTTCCATTTCCAGGACTCCACTGACACTCATTGCAAGGTAATCAACCCTGTCCCTGTTATTAAAAACGTAGCAATGCAAATAAATGGTCTGACTTTCTTTTTTGGTTTGGTTTTAGGTTCCCAATTATCTGCCCTCTATCAGTGCCTCCATAAGCCTGAGCCCAGAGTGCCATATCTGGCGCTTCTGCATTGGCCTGCACTCTGCTCCGAGGTTCCTGGTGGCCGTGGCCTATTTTAACTTCTACAAGGGCCGCTTCTCCACAAGGTTCACAGAGTGGCTGCTCAGCTGCCTCAACTTCATGTGTGCCATCACTGAGAACTTTGGCCTCTTGCTGCTCACCTACGTGTCATCCATTGAAACATACCGTGAGTGACCTTTGACAATTATTCAGCTGGGTATAAGTAGGCATAAGGCCTGCCCTACAGCATACTATACTGCTCATTTACATGGATTAATATGCTGCACGATACAAAATTATGATTTTGAACAAATGACTGAATTTCGTTCGCCTGTTTCTTGCAGTTATAAATAAGGCCCTGAGTTTTTCCGGATACATGACCCGACCAGGGAAAACTATGTACCCTAGTTATAAACCATATAACCTGTTTCAGTGAGTGTTATGACTAATACAGTTGTACTTGTATGACCTTCTTTGTCCCATAGTTGTCCATAAGGAAGGTTTTGTCCTGTTCATTGCCAGTTCTGTTATCCACATGGTGTTAACCTGTCGGCTGTGGCTGGTTATAAAGAAGTACTCACTGATTCCTGAGGTAAGGCATCATTCCTTCCCTTCAGCCCTGTACTTGATCAGGAAATGTTGAAAGTGCATGAAAGACAGAAATGTAAAGGGAAGTTAGTTGTTGAAGAAGTGAACTAACTCTTTTGGTGGTATGATGCAGTTTCCTGGTGAAGCAAGCTATAGTATAGTTCCTGTTAGTAGAGGGGCTATTGGTGACTTCGTCTGCAATGTCGACAAAGTTGACACTAGAGCCCTCTGGAGTACAAGCCAATTACTGCAGCCTGATGAAACAGCATTGTCAAGTGCAGTTCAAAGCTGTGGGAGATTCTCAAATGGTTTAGCTTGACTCTTCGCGTCCTCTTCTCCGTCCTCTCCTTGCCTCCTTTCGAAAAAGGTCAAAGGTAATCGAGGAGAGGAGCGAAGGAGAGGAAACGTGGAAACAAATGCACTTGTATGAAATGAACATTTGCAAATGACGTTTACAGGTGTGGAATCCTAAAATAAATGTCTAAAGTAGAACAAATTAATATAGCTAGTTGTGTGAGACATTTTATAGATAAAAGGGTAAGTAGTGTGTCATTAATTTTTCTCCTTTGAGAAAACAACAGCTGATTCAAAGGGGGTGTGGTGGATTTTAAAACACTTTGCACTACACATGAGAATCCTTGACTGTAGGAGGCGATTGAGGAGAGGAGCAAACTACTCCTTTCACCTATTAACTAATTGACACACTCCTAAATATGGCGACCGCTTATCGGTTTCCAGGACACGGAGGACGGAGGAGTAGAAGAGAAGACAGAATGTCCTTTCCTTTCACTCACACTGATGCATACTGCCTGATAACTGAGCCGTGTGTGCTCCAGTCTATTGTATTTCCCATGTAAATCGTTTGAGCTAAAACAAAAAAAGCAAAAATCATTTTCAGTTCTTACTATATGGTTGAGGGACTTCAAGCACTGTTATTCTGTGTTAGGACTCTAGGAGAAATACCAGCATTTTGATTCCAACCAGATCAGTGGTACAGGTCGTTACTGAGGGCCAGTTGAGTCAGACTTGGAAGAAGCCTCTGGCTGTGTCAGTGCCTGGGCCTCTGTCCTGGAGGAACAGCTGTTTCCTGACCCAGTCTGGGGCTGTGACCAACACACCCCTCCACGCTACACACAACTCACTAGGAGTGTAGGCTGTCATGTTTACCACACGTGCACACACACAGAGATTGTAGCAAGCACACACACATTAACCGTGCTCGCACTTGGCTTGCACACTTACACTGGCACATATTCATGGCATATGGCATATGGTATATTGTTGCCTAGCCTGAGTACCAGTATCGTTATCTTACATTCCACTCCTTGTCATTGCCAAAGAGACTGGCTTTCTGCCATCTTCAAATATGAACATTCTCGAGGAGAACAGAGGAGTTGATCCTGATTGATAACCCTCACAGCTATCCTTCAATCACAACGATTATCCAAATATTGGAACTCGTGTATCACCTTTTTTTTCTTCTTCACAGAACATATTGGTCGTTTTTTGTTTGTCCAGACAAAACCAGTCTGTCAAAAGTTGCTAGCTCACGTCTAAATTCTCAAACTAAATACATACTGTAGCTATTTCAATTCAAAACACAAAACCTCTTTGCTTTGATATTAAGCCTCAAAATACAAAAACTTGCCTAGCTAACAGCTAAATGTTTGTTTTTGATTCTAATTATATTTTTTGGAGGATCCACGTGTTGTCATGGAAAATATTAATGTTATTTCCAACAACAATGAGCAACTCCGTAAATCCAGCTGCATTGCCGAAAGGCCAGTCTCTTGGTCGTCACAAGTTACCACAGCCACAAAGTCATAAACCCTGCCTATTTCTACAATGATCTTCTTAAATCTGATTTTAAACCTAACCTTAAACCTAGCCTTAACCACAATGCTAATCTTATTCCTAACCCTAACCTTAAATGAAGACTAAAAAGTTAATTTTTGTTTTTATGAATTTTTATGATGTAGCCCGTTCTTACTTTGTGGCTGTGGTAACTAGTGGAAACCCAGTGTCTTTGGCAATGATATGGAGTTGCAAGGAGTGGAATGTTAGATAACAATACTGGTTCCTGTAAGGGCTGCTGGACATCATTTGGAGATGACACACTACATACAGCAGTGGAGGCTCTTCAGAGGAGGAAACAGCTGTTCCTCCAGTATGAACAGCTAACTGTAAGTCGCTCTGGATAAGAGCGTCTGCTAAATGGCTCAAACGTAAATGTAAAATGAAAGGGAGGACCATCCTCCTCAGTGAATTTCATATTTTTGTTAAATAATGAAACATTAAAAAAGTTATCCTTTTTAGATAAAACTATACTAAATATATTCACATGTTACCAAATAATTGATTAAATCACACTGTTTTGCAATGAAGGTCTACATTGGACTCAGCAGCACTCTGTAGGGTAGCACCACGGTGTAGACGGAGGACCGCTAGCTTCTGTCCTCCTCTGGATAAATTGACTTAATTACGAAACCTAGGAGGCTCATGGTCCTCAACCCCTTCCATAGACGTACACAGTAATTATGACTACTTCCGGAGGACGTTCCTCCAATATGCTGTAATAGAAATAAGGCCATACTCATTTTAAAAAAATAGAAAATCGTCCTCCCTCATCATAAACAGCGATATGCTATAACGGCCACCATTGACATTCAGTTTTATTATGCTGCCACTACAGTGGGGAGAACAAGTATTTGATACACTGCCGATTCTGCAGGTTTTTCTACTTACAAAGCATGTAGAGGTCTGTAATTTTTATCATAGGTACACTTCAACTGTGAGAGACGGAATCTAAAACAAAAATGCAGAAAATCACATTGTATGATGTTTAAGTAATTAATTTGCATTTTATTGCATGACATAAGTATTTGATACATCAGAAAATCAGAACTTAATATTTGGTACAGAAACCTTTGTTTGCAATTACAGAGATCATACGTTTCCTGTAGGTCTTAACCAGGTTTGCACACACTGCAGCAGGGATTTTGGCCCACTCCTCCATACAGACCTTCTCCAGATCCTTCAGGTTTCGGGGCTGTCGCTGGGCAATACGGACTTTCAGCTCCCTCCAAAGATGTTCTATTGGGTTCAGGTCTGGAGACTGGCTAGGCCACTCCAGGACCTTGAGATGCTTCTTACGGAGCCACTCCTTAGTTGCCCTGGCTGTGTGTTTTGGGTCGTTGTCATGCTGGAAGACCCAGCCACGACCCATCTTCAATGCTCTTACTGAGGGAAGGAGGTTGTTGGCCAAGATCTCACGATACATGGCCCCATCCATCCTCCCCTCAATACGGTGCAGTCGTCCTGTCCCCTTTGCAGAAAAGCATCCCCAAAGAATGATGTTTCCACCTCCATGCTTCACGGTTGGGATGGTGTTCTTGGGGTTGTACTCATCCTTCTTTTTCCTCCAAACACGGCGAGTTTAGACCAAAAAGCTCTATTTTTGTCTCATCAGACCACATGACCTTCTCCCATTCCTCCTCTGGATCATCCAGATGGTCATTGGCAAACTTCAGACGGGCCTGGACATGCGCTGGCTTGAGCAGGGGGACCTTGCGTGCGCTGCAGGATTTTAATCCATGACGGTGTAGTGTGTTACTAATGGTTTTCTTTGAGACTGTGGTCCCAGCTCTCTTCAGGTCATTGACCAGGTCCTGCCGTGTAGTTCTGGGCTGATCCCTCACCTTCCTCATGATCATTGATGCCCCACAAGGTGAGATCTTGCATGGAGCCCCAGACCGAGGGTGATTGACCGTCATCTTTTCTATTAATTGCGCCAACAGTTGTTGCCTTCTCACCAAGCTGCTTGCCTATTGTCCTGTAGCCCATCCCAGCCTTGTGCAGGTCTACAATTTTATCCCTGATGTCCTTACACAGCTCTCTGGTCTTGGCTATTGTGGAGAGGTTGGAGTCTGTTTGATTGAGTGTGTGGACAAGTGTCTTTTATACAGGTAACAAGTTCAAACAGGTGCAGTTAATACAGGTAATGAGTGAAGAACAGGAGGGCTTCTTAAAGAAAAACTAACAGGTCTGTGAGAGCCGGAATTCTTACTGGTTGGTAGGTGATCAAATACTTGTGTCATGCAATAAAATGCAAATTAATTACTTAAAAATCATACAATGTGATTTTCTGGATTTTTGTTTTAGATTCCGTCTCTCACAGTTGAAGTGTACCTATGATAAAAATTACAGACCTCTACATGCTTTGTAAGTAGGAAAACCTGCAAAATCAGCAGTGTATCAAATAATTGTTCTCCCCACTGTATGTCATACACTTGTTTTAGGTGTTGGCTAATAGTTGAATATGGAGCTTGTAATCGTTTGTCATGATAACCTGCTGTGGGCATTTTAGGGTGGGACCACTAAATAGAGTGAATGCTGTTGCTTGAGACACGTGCTGCCAGTGATCTGCAGCATAAATAGTATTTGTGGAAGGATGTGGCTGAAACTGTTTTTACACCAGCTGCAATGTGTTACTGATGTCTCATCTGGAGAGTTTCTCAGAAGGGGCTTAATTAAGACTGCTCATTGTGTTCGTCATACTAGCTATATTAAATGTTTTAATTGTTCAAGTTATAAAGTAGGCCATTACAATCACATTGTACAGTTACACAGTAGTTAAGTACACAATATTATTTTTTCTTATTGCAATCTTTCTCTATCAAATCGCTCTTTATTTTTTCACACACAGGACGTGAAATCTTTCTACTGGAAAATCCGTTGCTTGGTCCTCAACATAGCTTTCTGCTGCTTGGCTGCTTACTTTTACTGGAAACACAACATGTACTGTGAACCAGGGAGTAAGTATATTGTAGCATCAGTACATTAAAGGTCATGAGCAGTCATTCTGAAAAGAACTTTTTCTCTCATGGCTAACTACCATGAAGTTGGAAAAGACAGGCACATTTGGTGATACACAAAGCAACTCAAACATCATTGAAATTGTATCAAATATATATTTTTTATATATACTGTATATATACAGTACCAGTCAAAAGTTTGGACACACCTACTCATTCAATGTTTTTTCTTTATTTTTACTATTTTCTACATTGTAGAATAATAGTGAAGTCATCAAAACTATGAAATAACACATATGGAATCATGTAGTACCAAAAAAGTGTTAAACAAATCAAAATATAATTTATATTTGAGATTCTTCAGATAACCACCCTTTGCCTTGATGACAGCTTTGCACACTCTTGGCATTCTCTCAACCAGTTTCACCTGGAATGCTTTTCCAACAGTCTTGAAGGAGTTCCCACATATGCTGAGCACTTGTTGGCTGCTTTTCCATCACTCTACTGTCCGACTCATCCCAAACCATCTGAATTGGGTTGAGGTTGAGGGATTGTGGAGGCCAGGTCATCTGATGGAGCACTCCATCACTCTCCTTCTTGGCCAAATAGCCCTTACACAGCCTGGAGGTAGCCATGCTGGTTACGTGTGCCTTGAATTCTATATAAATCACAGACAGTGTCACCAGCAAAGCACCCCACCCCATAACACCTCCTCCTCCATGCTTTACGGTGGGAAATACACATGCAGAGATCATCCGTTCACCCACACTGTGTCTCACAAAGACACGGCAATTGGAACCAAAAATCTCCAATTTGGACTCCAGACCAAAGGACACATTTCCACCAGTCTAATGTCCATTGCTCGTATTTCTTGGATCAAGCAGGTCTCTTCTTATTATTGGTGTCCTTTAGTAGTGGTTTCTTTGCAGCAATTTGACCATGAAGGCCTGATTCACACAGTCCCCTCGGAACAGTTGATGTTGAGATCTGTCTGTGACTTGAACTCTGTGAAGCATATTTTGGGCTGCAATTTCTGAGGTTGGTAACTCTAATGAACTTATCCTCTGCAGCAGAGGTAACTCTGGGTCTTCCATTCCCGTGGCGGTCCTCATGAGAGCCAGTTTCATCATAGCGCTTGATGGTTTTTGTGACTGCACTTGAAGAAACTTTCAAAGTTCTTGAAGTTTTCATGATTGACTGACCTTCATGTCTTAAAGTAAAGATGGACTGTCGTTTCTCTTTGCTTATTTGAGCTGTTCTTGCCATAATATGGACTTGGTATATTACCAAATAAGGCTATCTTCTGTATACCACCCCTACCTTGTCACAACACAACTGATTGCCTCATACACATTAAGAAGGACAGAAATTCGACAAATTAGCTATTAAGAAGGCACACCTGTTAATTGAAATGCATTCCAGGTGACTACCTCATGAAGCTGGTTGAGAGAATGCCTAGAGTGTGCAAAGCTGTCATCAAGGCAAAGGGTGGCTACTTTGAAGAATCTCAAATATAAAATATATTTTGATTTGTTTAACACTTTTTTGGTTACTACATGATTCCATATGTGTTGTTTCATAGTTTTGATGTCTTCACCATTATTCTATAATGTAAAAAATAGTAAAAATCTAGAAAAACCCTTGAATGAGTAGGTGTGTCCAAACTTTTGACTGGTAGTGTATATATACATCTACCGTTTGGCATGGATCTTGTGATGCAGTTCACAGCAGCACTGATGGATGTGTTGACTTGACAACTGCATCGGAGTTTTGAACGACCCATCCCCCCGTTTTGTTCCATGCTGGCTGAACACCTAGCTAGCCAGTAACTAGTAACTAGCTAACACCAGACACAGATGAAAGGGGAAACATTTAAAGATTGTTGCCATAGATGAATAGGGTGAACTTTTAATTACAGTCAAATTTTGGCACCAGGAGATAGCTCTCTAGCTATATAAACCACGCCTCTCTGCAAACACAAACACGCCTGATGTTGGTTACAAGGCGGTACTTATTTAGATTAGGTAAGAGAATATCATGTTATCATTGGTGTATTAAAATGAAAGTTATGGTGATGTCACCTTGTCTCCTTAATAATGAATCCAAGTGTTTGACATGGGGTAGGGGACCAGTAACTGTATGATCAAACTTTGTCAATGTAGAAGCAACAGTCATTTTTCATACTTTGGTGATCATACTTTGATCTGGTTTCCTTCAGATATCAGCAATTTTCCATGAAAAACATGATTTTGACTGTTCATAACCATTATACGATACAAAAGTGTATTTTAATTTTACATTGTTTGTTGAAGTGTTCATAATATTCTCCTGTCTTTCCTAACCTCCACAGGCTACACCTTTTTCGCCCTCTTTGAGTATTGTGTGGTGTTCTCCAACATGGCCTTCCACCTAACCGCCTTCTGGGACTTTAAGAGCAGAGAGATGGTGGTCATCTCACCAGAGGAGGGTAAAGACTTCTGACTGGGAAACAGAGGGTCAGGTGACAGGTGTTCAACCACTCAGAACACACCTAGCGGAGATGACGCTGTTGCAGAGGAGGAGGAGCAGGAAGAAAGCGCCTTCTTCCATATATTTACATGATGTCATAACTGTAAATAATAACTTTATTTATCTGGAAGTCAATTCTACTGTACTAACATTTTGATCATGTTGATATTTAACATACAGTATTATAAATGACAGACTTAGAGTGCTCTATGATTTGGGACAGTGGGGCCACTTCGACTTGATCGCCTTGACTTTATGAGTATGTCTTTCTTTAGTCATGCTCACATGTCTAGTACTTGTCACTTGTGAACTTTGGGAAATGCTGACTGTCTTCAGCTCTTTGTAGAAAGTCGTTTCTAATGCATCACGAACTGTGGACAAACGCAAATGTGATATTGTATATTCTCAGGTAGAGAGGGACATCTTAAAAGTATTAATGGTCTAATAGTGATTTCTTTACCATAACATACTTATGCTTAGTGAGTCAGTCAGTCAGTGAGGTCCACAACCTAAATTAAGGAAGTTACAAATAAATGTACTTCCTCATTTGTAAAGACAGAAAGAGAGAGAGAGCAAGAGAGACGGAGAATGAAATGGAGAGGTTGATCCAGATAGTACTAGATTGGGTGTTGTATACAGTAACATACAGTATATACTGTACTAAAACAGAAAGGACATATATCTGTATGTCCCTCCACTGTTCTCACACAAAGCTGTGTCTGTTATCCAGCAGGCAGAGCAAAGGCACTGAGGCCTTATTTCACTATCAAATGAGTCCAGTGGCCTGAGATATGGGAGAGGACAGTGATTAGGCAGCAAATAAAAAATGAATATTTCACAACTCTGTAACAGCAAGCTGGATCATTTCACTTCCAAATCATTCTCAGGCAAATCAGGGACTTCATCGTTGTTTAGCATGCTGGTTTTTTTATCATGTCCCATGACTCCTTTGTTAAGGTATTGGTATTTTTTAAGTATCAATTTAATTGTATGCATTGATCAACACATTTATTTGCTGTTCCTTATGATAAGCATAACGATATGTCACAGTAATCTACACTACAGTTTGCACACAATTTCCATCTCTCATTTATAACAGTACAGTAGATGTAATAATAATAATAATAATTTGGTGGGTGCTTATGTTTGTCCTATTTCACACATGTAAAATGGTGTATTAATAAGCATGTGTGATTGGAAATTAGTTTTTTGCATGTCCCAAGTCTCCCTGAGACACCCTCGGAGAGTTTGGTCATGGCCTTCTCAACATAGTTACACAACATTAAAACATCCAGAACCCCAACTTAACTAAAATAGATAGCAAGCTATGGACTTTCAGAGGGAAGTTACAACTAGTCTCTCTCTCTCTCTCTCTCTCTCTCTCTCTCTCTCTCTCTCTCTCTCTCTCTCTCTCTCTCTCTCTCTCTCTCTCTCTCTCTCTCTCTCTCTCTCTCTCTCTCTCTCTCTCTCTCTCTCTCTCTCTCACACACACACACACTGACTAATGTCCTTCGATAGGCAAATCAGCCTATGCATTTCTTATCAAAAACATCTCTCTGCATTTCCTCTTTTGTGTCCAACATTCAACACGTTCAGACAAAGTAGCACTAACTTGGTGGCTTGGTAGTCAAGCACAGCACACAACAAACTGATGGTGTAGAAAAACCCACTTCTATAAAAAATATAAACCCACTATACTGTACATTGTAAAACAAACAAAAAAGAATTATGGGAGAATTGGTATTTAAATTCCTGATATTATCTTTTTACACTTGCATTATTTAATGATTTTTGTAAAGGCCATACATGTCAACATGTGACAATAATACAAACACAGATAAATGAGAGAATGTATCTCCCCATCAAGTGTCAGGTCTTGTTTGTCAATTGCTTTAAAGGAAGAGGGCAAAATAATGGATATACAAAAGCAAGGATTCTCACAGACAGCATTTGACCCAGGCCCTTCTCACCAACCTAACATTGGATCCGTTTTGAGGCATCCATCTTGAGCCAATGCCTCTGCCTCAATGATCCCCTTCTCTCAAGGAAGTCTTGATTTGGGAGTGTTTGCTCTTGGCAGTACAACAAAAACATATTTCACAATAAAATCAACTCCAATGTTTTACACACATTAAATTAATTAATATTGTTCTATTTGATTTGCATCTACAGGGAAAAAAGTATTTGATCCCCTGCTGATTTTGTAAGTTTGCCCACTAACAAAGAAATGATCAGTCTATAATTTTAATGGTAGGTTTATTTGAACAGTGAGAGACAGAATAACAAAGAAATCCAGAAAAACGCATGTCAGAAATGTTATAAATTGATTTGCATTTTAATGAGGGAAATAAGTATTTGACCCCCTCTCAATCAGAAAGATTTCTAGCTCCCAGGTGTCTTTTATACAGGTAACGAGCTGAGATTAGGAGCACACTCTTAAAGGGAGTGCTCCTAATCTCAGTTTGTTACCTGTATAAAAGACACCTGTCCACAGAAGCAATCAATCAATCAGATTCCGAACTCTCCACCATGGCCAAGACCAAAGAGCTCTCCAAGGATGTCAGAGCCAAGATTGTAGACCTACACAAGGCTGGAATGGGCTACAAGACCATCGCCAAGCAGTTTGGTGAGAAGGTGACAACAGTTGGTGCGATTATTCGCAAATGGAAGAAACACAAAAGAACTGTCAATCTCCCTCGGCCTGGGGCTCCATGCAAGATCTCACCTCGTGGAGTTGCAATGATCATGAGAACGGTGAGGAATCAGCCCAGAACTACACGGGAGGATCTTGTCAATGATCTCAAGGCAGCTGGGACCATAGTCACCAAGAAAACAATTGGTAACACACTACGCCGAGAAGGACTGAAATCCTGCAGCGCCCGCAAGGTCCCCCTGCTCAAGAAAGCACATATACAGGGCCGTCTGAAGTTTGCCAATGAACATCTGAATGATTCAGAGGAGAACTGGGTGAAAGTGTTGTGGTCAGATGAGACCAAAATCGAGCTCTTTGGCATCAACTTAACTCGCCGTGTTTGGAGGTGGAGGAATGCTGCCTATGACCCCAAGACCACCATCCTCACCGTCAAACATGGAGGTGGAAACATTATGCTTTGGGGGTGTTTTTCTGCTAAGGGGACAGGACAACTTCACCGCATCAAAGGGACGATGGACGGGGCCATGTATCGTCAAATCTTGGGTGAGAACCTCCTTCCCTCAGCCAGGGCATTGAAAATGGGTCGTGGATGGGTATTCCAGCATGACAATGACCCAAAACACACGGCCAAGGCAACAAAGGAGTGGCTCAAGAAGAAGCACATTAAGGTCCTGGAGTGGCCTAGCCAGTCTCCAGACCTTAATCCCATAGAAAATCTGTGGAGGGAGCTCAAGATTCGAGTTGCCAAACGTCAGGCTCGAAACCTTAATGACTTGGAGAAGATCTGCAAAGAGGGGTGGAACAAAATCCCTCCTGAGATGTGTGCAAACCTGGTGGCCAACTACAAGAAACGTCTGACCTCTGTGATTACCAACAAGGGTTTTGCCACCAAGTACTAAGTCATGTTTTGCAGAGGGGTCAAATACTTATTTCCCTCATTAAAATGCAAATCAATTCATAACATTTTTGACATGCGTTTTTTCTGTATTTTTGTTGTTGTTATTCTGTCTCTCACTGTTCAAATATACCTACCATTAAAATTATAGACTGATCATGTCTTTGTCAGTGGGCAAACGTACAAAATCAGCAGGGGATAAAATAATTTTTTCCCTCACTGTACGATAGTATCTCTACTGCCTTTACAGCAGCACACAGGGTTTCCTAGTGGCGACAGGTTGCGGGTTGAGAAAAGCTCGCACACCCTCAGCGAACACCTCTTTGATTCCATCTTGGTTGAGGGCAGAGCATTCGAGGTACTTGATGGCTTGGATCTGCCTGGCCAGGGCGCTGCCTTGCTGTTGGGTGATGGTCGTCTGGTTCTGATCCTTAAGCTTCTTCAACACCTCTGGGTCATTACGCAGGTCCTTCTTGGTGCCCACCAGCAGAATGGGCGTATTGGGACAGTGGTGGGTGACCTCTGGGTGCCACTTGTGCTTGACGTTCTCAAAGGAGGGGGGGCTGGCGATGGAGAAGCAGATGACGAACACGTTGGTCTGGGGGTAGGAGAGGGTGCGCAGACGGTCGTACTCCTCCTGGCCTGCTGTGTCCCACAGGTTGAGGCTAATAGTCCTGCTGTCCACAGTCACTTGGGCGCTGTAGTTGTCAAACACAGTGGGAATGTACTCCTTGGGGAAGGCGTTGGTGGTGTAGGAGATGAGGAGGCAGGTCTTCCCCACTGCACCGTCTCCTACCACCACACACTTGATGCTCTGCATTCTATCACCTTCACTGTCTCAGACACCTGGACATGAGAAACACAGGGAGAAATGCACTTTATGCTAAAACATTCAGATGCACTTTACACCAAAAGAGAGACACTGGCTTGGCCCCAACTAATTTTAACTGTTGAAAAGTGAGGTTTGTGGTTTAAATTGCTCTCACACATTATCAGATATGAACATTACTCTCACACCCTCATTTACACAGTACAGTCTATTTATATCCATCTTTGCATATCTCTTGGCTTTCATTTCAACATGAACATTACGTTTATCTGTGTGCCTACTTCATTTATAGTTACAGTACACAAGGCCTGTGTTCCCCATGAATTCAAGTGAGAACACTGCAACTACAAAATACGGGTGGAGACTGGAGAGTATGAAATACATGCAGTTATTGTAATTCATTGTGAGAGAGAGAGAAAAAATGGACTCTTCCCACTGCTCTCAGACAATGTTGGAGAAAATGTGAAGATAGCTCAACCCAGTCTATAGGGATCGAGACTGGGAGCACTGAAATGTACTGCTCTGCACACTGACTGGGGATAGTTCATCCAATAAACCTTTGTATGCCTATCACCACAGCCACATACCTTTGGCCTATCCACTGAATATCTATGATAGGTGAATTTCACATTGTAGGCCATCAACAAGGCCATAGCATTCTGATCGTGTACTTTTCTAATTTAATTCACCTAGATTATTAGGCTACAATTAAGAAAAGGGCTATGTGTAAATAGGGCCTAATAGTACCCCTGAAATTAGAAAATATTTCAACATAAATTACAGTAAAAGTGTTTCACCATCATCATCATCATCATCATCATTTTATAGAAATGACTATAGTCAGTAGAGCAAGTTATAACTTCGATTGGGCTAAATTAAACACAAAATAACTGTCACAAATAAGAATTGCAATTGTAGATTTTAACATTGTTTGCCGTTACGTAGGCCTATAGAGTTTTGATATAGAATAGCGCCTACCAAAATTATAACGGCAGTAGGCTACCTCGCCTTATGGTGCTTCACTCAAGTGCTTCCGTAAGATTATGTGTTCTCAGCCTACATGTCTATTATACAGTAGTAGTACGTAATAACAACAATTTTACAAAAAAACACGCAAAGGTTAAAAACAAGTCAGACTCACCAAACATACTATCTTCAATGGCAGGGTTTGTATGAACATATAGCTTACAATCTGTCCGAGAGCGTCAAAGAGTCAAGCAAAGTGTTGCTGTGTGGAGGAAGTGTGTGTGTTCGCTGAAGAGGAAGCCGCTCGTGAAGTAATAGCACTGTGAGGAAGTTTATTTTCTCCCCACCACGACAGCCTGAGCTATTGTTTGACGTTGTGGTAGAATATTAAACAGCATTTTTACATACAATTGTTACCCAATGAATTAACTTATTTGAAATAACCACATAGTTGTTAGAGGCTCAGTGCAGACAACATTAATTTGTTCCTGTGTTCTGTATCATATTGTACAACAGCTGACGAAACTGACACTGTAAAAGTGTGAAAAAAAATTGATCAGTGTTATTCCTGATAGTTGCTGGTTGAAAATACAATCTATACAGGACCTTCTAATCAGTAGGTTTGTATGGGTGGGAGTTTTGGCTTGACTGGAGACATCACCAGGCAGTAAATCGGTTTATAGACCAATAACAAAAACAGTTCCAAACATCTCTGACAATAACAGCTACTTTTCAGTTTCCCCCTCCCCACTCAGACCACTCACAGACAGTCCTAGGAACATTCTTGCTTGAGAAATATTTTATTGCTAAAAAGCTAGTTTTGTCCATTTTAATGGAAAACTATTACAGTAAGGTACTTAACTGTTACCCAGAAATGATTTGATATTGATATAAAAAGGCTGCATTGGGCCTTTAAACTGAGACTTGAGGATTTATCATTAGCTTATGATACAGTATATTATCAGATCAAGGTGTATCATACACATTTATTATAAGATGTTGGGATGTATCATGATAAGGCCTACTGGCTATACCATTGAGGCTCAGATCTGTTCTGATGGGGGGCATCAGTTCCATCAGAAGATGCCCCCCCCCCCCCCCCCCCTTTCTTATGGTATGTCTCCCCATAAAATCATGCCTCCCCTCTTCTTTTATTTCTAGCGTTGTGTAGCCTACAACCTCAAGGTGGCATACTTGAGCTTAGTTGTGTGGAGTCGATGAGCTCCGCTGTTCCTTTGTTGTAATAGCCTACATAGACTTAGATAGACACTGCATCATTGTATCTGTCCAATTGTGAGAGCACAGGCAGCACAGTTTTTGAGGCAATCTCCATTTTGAAGTAGTCCATTTTCATCTTTAACTACACTGAACAAAAATATACAATATAAATATAAACAATTTAAACAAAAATGTTACTGAGTTACAGTTCATATAAGGAAATCAGTCAATTGAAATAAATTCATTAGGCCCTAATCTATGGATTTCACAGGACTGGGAATACAGATATGCATCTGTTGGTCACAGATACCTTTAAAAAAAGGTAGGGGCGTGGGATCAGAAAACCAGTCAGTATCTAGTGTGACCACCATTTGCCTCATGCAGCACAACACATCTCCTTCTTGATCAGGCTGTTGATTGTGGCCTGTGGAATGTTGTCCCACTCCTCTTCAATGGCTGTGTGAAGTTGCTGGATAATGGCGGGAACTTGAACACGCTGTCGTACACAATGATCCAGATCATCCCAAACATGCTCAATGTGTGACATGTCTAGTGAGTATGGAGGCCATGGAAGAACTGGGACATTTTCAGCTTCCAGGAATTGTGTACAGATCCTTGCGACATGGGGCTGTGCATTATAATGCTCAAACATGAGGTGATGGCAGCGGATGAATGGCACGACAAGGGGCCTCAGGATCTCGTCACGGTATGTCTGTGCATTCAAATTACCATCAATAAAATGTTGTGTTTGTTGTCCGTAGCTTATGCCTGCCCATACCGTAACCCTAACGCCACCATGGGGCACTCTGTTCACAGCGTTGACATCAGCAAACTGCTCACCCAAACAACACCATACAAGCTGTCTACCATCTGCCAGGTACAGTTGAAACGGTGATTCATCCATGAGGAGCACACTTCTCCAGCGTGCCAGTGGCCATTGAAGATGAGCATTTGCCCACTGAAGTCGGTTACGACGCTAAACTGCAGTCAGGTCAAGACCCTGGGAGGACGACGAGCACGCACTTGAGCTTCCCTGAAATGGTTTCTGACAGTGTGCTCTTCTTTGGTTGTGGAATCCCACAATTTCATCAGTTGTCCAGGTGGCTGGTCTCAGATGATCCCACAGGTGAAGAAGCCGGATGTAGAGTGTCACATTTTAGAGTGTCCTTTTATTTTCCCCAGCACAAGGTGTACCTGTGTAATGATCATGCTGTTTAATTAGCTTCTTAATATGCCACACCTGTCAGGTGGATGGATTATCTTGGTAAAGGAGAAATGCTCACTAACAGGGAAATAAACACATTTGTGCACAAAATTAGAGAGAAATAAGCTTTTTTTGCGTACAGAAATTTTGTGGGATCTTTTATTTCAGCTCATGAAACATGGGACCAACACTTTACATGTTGAGTTTATATTTTTGTTCAGTGTACTTTTATGAGTTGGCAAACAAACTGAAAGGGTGCAGACTGCCACCTATAGTGTGTTGTTTGAACAGGTATAAAGCCAAATTTGGTGATTTACTGCCACCTGCAGTTATGGAATGTTTCCTTACAAGTATAATTAATTGGCTGATCCTACCTGGTGACCTGGATGGAATTATGTGATCATTCCTTAAGCCATACGAAGTCCCACCCAGTTGACTACTTCAAAATGGTGAAAGTCCTCAATGGCTCTGCCCATGCTAAAGCGGCTTTTGGGCACTAGAGTCCTCTATCTATCTCTATGCCTCGAACACACGAACTTGATCTGTGTGTGAAGCCAACATCAGCAGCAGCTAGCAACAATAAGGCTGTGACCTAGGCGATTTCCTTAAGAAAAATAAAAGTCACGCGTTGATTTTGGTACAAACGTAGCTTACAAATGGTCGAATTGATTTATCTTAGATAAAATATATACAGTGGTGGAAAAAGTACCCAATTGTCATACTTGAGTAAAAGTAAAAATACCTTAAAATAAAATGACTCAAGTAAATGTGAAAGTCACCCAGTAAAATTCTACTTGAGCAAAAGTCTAAAAGTATTTGGTTTTAAATATACTTAAGTATCAAATGTAAATGTAATCGCTAAAATATACTTAAGTATCAAAAGTAAAAGTAAAAGTATAAATCATTTAAAATTCTTTATATTAAGCAACCCAGACAGCACAATTTTCTTGTTTCTTAAATGTACAGATAGCCAGCGGCACACTTCTACAGTCAGACATAATTTACAAACAAAGCATTTGTTTTTAGTGAGTCTGCCAGACCAGAGGCAGTAGGGATGACCAGGGATGTTCTCTTGATAAGTGCGTGAATTAGACAATTCTGCTAAGCATTCAAAATGTAACGAGTACTTTTGGGTGTCAGGGAAAAATGTAAGGAATAAAAAGTACTTTATTTTCTTTAGGAAGTTAGTGGAGTAAAAGTAAAAGTTGTCAAAAATATAACTAGTAAAGTAAAGCACAGACCTCCCCCCCCCCCCCCCCCCCCCCCCCCAAAAAATTTTTTTCCTTTAGTAGTACTTTAAAATATTTTTACTTAAGTACTTTACACCACTGAATATATATAGTATATATATTTATAAACTGGGTGGTTCGAGCCATGAATGCTGATTGTCTGACAGCCATGGTATATCAGACTGTATACTACGGCTTTACAAAATATTTATTTTTACTGCTCTAATTATGTTGGTAACCAGTTTATAATAGAAATAAGGCACCTCGGGGGTTTGTGATATATGGCCAATATACCACGGCTAAGGGCTGTTCTTAGGCACGACGGGCCTTTTTGCTTAAATATGTAATAACTGTAACATAATATTTTTACATTCATAATTCATTTACACCGTTTACAGAGCTGTACTCTTATTTTGAAGGATTCTTAAAAAAAAAAACTTGACAGGAAGTGATACGTTAATATTGCTGGATTCACACGAGTCAGCGGCAAAGCCAGGAGTTGAATATTTTGTGTGTGGCGAAACCAGCTGTAGTGGACATGTAGCTAGTGCATTACCACCGCTCTGTGTTTGAATCTATCATAAATACTTTTTTCTTTCTCGAGTGTATTTTATCCAGTAAGTTGACGTAAAAGGACAGGTTTGCTAGGTTTCTCGAGTTCTGTCATTGTAGCTAGCTCGTGTGCGATTATTATCGGTGTAGCCATCTTCCTAGCTGCTGACAATGGTCTGAAGGCTGCTGTGCTGGTGTCGTGTTGAGCTACCTGAAGAAGCGGCCCGGACCATAACGTTAGCTAGTTGGCTTTATCCCAGTGTATGTTTGTCAGTTAGACGACCACTTCGGCCATTGCATTGGATTGTCTGCGGATTGCTGGCTGGCTAGCTAACGTTAGCTGGGTAAACAGAGCGGGAAAGCATCTGTCATGCAGATTTGACAGACAACTAGCTAGCTAGCCAGCTAACTTAGCTCTTTATCCATGGAGTACAGAGGGATTTCTCTTTGGAGTTTGGACCTACGATTGATGACTTGCCTTTGAGTCTACGGTAACCACTAGAGTTGTAATAAGAAAAGCATCCAATGCAAAAGTATTGAAAGGTAACTAACTACTATACATTTAATGGCTACCTAGAAAATCATGAAACGACTGACTTGATTATGATAGCTATTCAGGCCGGCCTGTCACTTTTATTTTGATAACGTTGGTTAGCCAGACATTTATTTAGCTATTGACTGCTAACGTTAGCTGTGATTGATTGTTATCCATATCCAGCTAATATTGGCTTGTAATGTAATATAAAATAGATAAACATGGTGAAATAGTTTGCTAGTAGTATTATGGTTATAGTAAGGTTTAGCATGAGCCAACCACTGATTTTGTGAGAGCCTGTATTATCTGCCTAAGACCCTATGTGACTTCTATACTAAGTAACTAGCCAAGCTAGAGGTCCCAGATATGGGATACCAACCTTACTTGTCTGATGATAGTTGGCTTTGGAAAGCTCTGATGTGATCTAATTTGATACTTAAGACCTTTTAGATTGTAATAATCATGCAGTGTCATTTCCAAGTCACTGGGTTGAAATTTGTCATTGTTGGTTTGAAATCTGAAGTTGTAATAGTTAAATAACTAGGCTAGTAGCTTACGTTCTAGCTACATTCATGCGAAAATGTCACTCAAACATTTCCTCTCCACCCTCTTCCTAGCAAACCTCCATTATGGATTTCAGCACATCGTTGACCTTGTGGATTGTATGCTTATGCCTCCTGAGGGAAAGTTGGACGGTCCAAGCCAGCTCAGACCACCATCCTATTGATAATGGTGTGTCAGGTATGTAAATATCATTCAGAAAGTTCTGAACATTATGACACACACGCAATCATTCAGCCCATATGCCAGCATGTGTATTCATCGAATACTCCATACACCATGTGATCAAAATTGGTCACATTGTAGACTTTTGTTGCATTGTCAGTGTACTAGAACCTCCTCTACCATTTCTGTATTTAGAAATTGTGCCGGCTCTAAATGCAGCCATGCTGAGAATAGTTAGGGTATGCATTCTCCATTAAGCTCTGTCCTCGGGTGATCATGGCACACAGTCAAGTCAGGGAGAAGTGCATCTTGGTAGTGAGTTTTTTTTCCCTTACCTATTGACAAGTCAGTCAAAAAGTTTTTCACTTATCGTCACTAGTTTTGCCACATCATTCTTTGTAAGAACAAAATGGAATGTGTGAAATGATTGTCATAGGTTTTGTTTAAACTGAGAATTTTGGGGACTTAGCAGAATGTAAGGAACATCATATAGGTGCCTAAGCCTCATGTCAGCTACAGTAGTAGGCTAGAGCTAACCTATCCATTGTTAGTTTTACACCGGATCAGACCCTGGATTTATGGAAATGTTAGCTGTGTTGATTGATTGGGAATGGACAATTATGGGAATGTCCTAACCAGTCTCCTCTGGCGTTCCCTTTTTGGTGGGTATAGATCATGCATTGTCATGTCATATTTATACAGCTTAGGGCAAATTAAGTGCCTGCCCATAATTGTATCATCACTGTTTATACAGGGCTCTTATGATTCCACATGAACAGTGTTGATGTTGAACTTGTGGCATTTGTAATTGATCATGTAGTGCCATGCTTCCTGTCCAAGGGGCCCTTAACTAATGTAGGCCTATTCCTGAACAGTTTAGACATTTAGAAATTAATAACAATAGCTTTGAAGACCACTCTCGGCCCTGACTTTTGTAAGTTAGCCTATTCTATACCACTTACAGTAATTGTGCCTCTACTTGTGAGGTCTTTTGATTTGACGTCATGCATTGAGGCCAGACCGCGTAAAGGCTTTCGCTGAATTGGACAGGGGCCCAGTCATGGAGTGATACATGTTTGGCTGTCACAGTGACCCATCTCCAATAAAGATTGTATTTGTGGTAAAACATTAAAGACGGTTGTAGTGGTTTGTTGAACCTGTTGGTGGTGAGACATTCAGTGACTGTGGCCTGGCTAACCACGTACATAATGTATAGGCTAGTGCCTGTGCTCAGCAACAGTTACTAGCTCGTGGCGCTTTTGTGATGAAGAGGCTCGGTGCCTGGAGAGGGTTGACTACTACAGACTACAGCCTGCTACGGTAAGCCTGGTTGGGCATACTGAAGTCAGGATGGGAAACAGTAATTACACCGGCAGTGAAGTGGAATGGTCCAGAGGGCAAGTGCGTGTTGAGTCTTCTACTGGCACACACACAGAGAGGGTTACATAACTTAAAGCTTTTGAAAAGGTAGTCTAGTATGTAAATATCTAAATCTCTAGCCCCAGTAACTTTGCAAACCAAATGAGAAAGAGGGTGTGTGTGTGAGAGCTGCAGGTGATAAACTTCATTCTATTTTTTCATCGTGGCGGTGTTTGCTGAAGAAGCACTGGGCTGCAGTTCTGGAACATAGACCCACTGGTATTTTCAAATGCCCAAAAAGTTACCTTTTAACCACCACCACATTCTTGGGTTGTAGACTTAACCTTTACATTATTGGGTTGTAGACTTAACCTTTATCTAGTAGGCTAGCTGTGTTCAGCACACTGACTTGTGTGGGTTGATTTAGAGCCCCCAGAAAGATTTATGCTGTTAGATTGCTGAATTTAAAGAACAGATCGACCTGGAATGGATTTGTCATTCAGTTGTCTGGAGCCATATTAGCCAGGAGGCTTTCATTTTGAGATGCATTGTTATTGTCTAAAAGTAGTAGGCCTGTTAGCTTAGACTACTATGTTTGCTAAAGGCTGTATGCTGGCACAAGATTGCTCACATAAGCTACGCATTGCATCCTCGTTGAGATGTGAACAGATAGGGGTGTGACTTTAGAGTCAAACTGCCACTATGGCTGGAGTTTGAGATTTGGTGCCTTCCATTGCAGCTGTATAGCCTAGTTATGGCAGAGGAAATACTGTTTTTGATCAGAAAATGCTCCACCCCACTTTCTGCTGCAGTGCAGTGGCATATGCTGCTGCTAGTATGTGTGCGTTGGAGAGAAGGCTTTACAGTCAGAGAATGTTAGCATGTCTTAACAAGCGGCTATGGAAAACCTGACAGAATTGTCAGTTGATGGATTAGCAGCTTGTTGTAGCCTACTTGCACTGTTAATAATTTTTATTTTCTTGTTAGAGTTCCCAGTAGAGTGGGAGGGTGTGTAACGAATTTGTCCGTTACCTCATGCACACAAAGGCTTCTTGAAGTCAGGAACAGTTTTACTCAAATTGACAATTTATTGAATAAATAGATGAATACAACAACAGTTAAAATCAGCATATGAGCTAAAACAAGGATAACAAGTTAAAAAAGGTAAGAGCATAAAATGCTCTCCTCTGTCCTTGTTTTCGACTACCCACACTTCCTCTGTCCTTGTTATCGACTACTCACACTGCCTCTCTCCTCTGTCCTTGTTTTCGACTACTCACACTGCCTCTCTCCTCTGTCCTTGTTTTCGAACTACTCACACTGCCTCTCTCCTCTGTCCTTGTTTTCGAACTACTCACACTGCCTCTCTCCTCTGTCCTTGTTTTCGAACTACTCACACTGCCTCTCTCCTCTGTCCTTGTTATCGACTACTCACACTGCCTCTCTCCTCTGTCCTTGTTATCGACTACTCACACTGCCTCTCTCCTCTGTCCTTGTTATCGACTACTCACACTGCCTCTCTCCTCTGTCCTTGTTTTCGAACTACTCACACTGCCTCTCTCCTCTGTCCTTGTTATCGACTACTCACACTGCCTCTCTCCTCTGTCCTTGTTATCGACTACTCACACTGCCTCTCTCCTCTGTCCTTGTTATCGACTACTCACACTGCCTCTCTCCTCTGTCCTTGTTATCGACTACTCACACTGCCTCTCTCCTCTGTCCTTGTTTTCGAACTACTCACACTGCCTCTCTCCCACAAACACATATATGCCTGTATTCAATCAACTCAAATTGGTGGAAGGGGCTACACTTATCTCATTAGCCAATCCTGACTCAACACACACACATTCCTCACATATATATATAATTACACACTTAACTGTAGCAGACTACACGTTTGACTGGAAGGATGTGAAAAAAGACTGAAAAACAGGGCCCTTTAACAAATAAACATTAACACAGTCACACGCACAATGGGGAATGGATGAGTCTTTAGGTGAGGATGTGCCATCATCCTCACAGGGTGTCAGCTGTGGCTGTTGTTGATATGCCTGGATATTATAGAATCGATTCCACATTGGCCAGCTGTCACAGCCTCTGTGATTGGATTGTTCCAGCTCTTGACAGGTCAGGGTATGGTGACTTTTGTGGATCCAAAGAAATGTAATCATTTGCCCCTATGCTGTTGTCAACAGCTTGGCTGTTTGATATAATGTAATTCCAGATCTTCACTTTTCTGGCCTCTTTGCCATTTTCTGTACACCACTTGCTACCTTAATTTGCCTATTTTGTTCAAAGTCTTTGTCATAAATAAAGCTGCAGCAGGATTCCATGCCAGAGAAGCTCCTGCCTGCCCTGTGCTGTGCTATAAGTTGCACTCTGCATGGGCCAATTGGGGAAAGAGACTTACTGGGCTTGCCCAATGCCTAGTATTGTAATACTACGAGCTAACCTTGTGCAGCAAATGGGAGAGCAAGTAGGAAGTATGCACACTTGCTGTTGTGTGCTTCCGCATGATAGATTGCATCACACAGGAAGATACCTGATATCACATTTCTTAGTGTGAAAACTGACCACATCGCACTAATGTAGGCCATGCCCTATTTTATGTTAATTTTTTTATTTAACTTTTATTTAATTAGGCAAGTTAGTTAAGAACAAATTCTTATTTACAATGACGGCCTACCAAATGGCAAAAGGCCTCCTGCGGGGACGGGGGCTGAGATTAAAAATAAAAATATAGGACAAAACACACATCACGAAAAGAGAGACACCACAACACTACATAAAGAGAGACAACACAACACTACATAAAGAGAGACACCACAACACTACATAAAGAGACACCACAACACTACATAAAGAGAGACTACACTACATAAAGAGAGACAACACAACACTACATAAAGAGAGACACCACAACACTACGTACTCCTGAGTGGCGCAGTGGTCTAAGGCACTGCATCGCAGTGCTAACTGTGCCACTAGAGATCCTGGTTCGAATCCAGGCTCTGTCGCAGCCGGCCGCGACCGGGAGACTCATGGGCGGCGCACAATTGGCCCAGCGTCGTCCAGGGTAGGGGAGGGAATGGCCGGCAGGGATGTAGCTCAGTTGATAGAGCATGGCGTTTGCAACGTCAGGGTTGTGGGTTCGATTCCCACGGGGGGCCAGTATAAAGAAAAAGATATGTATTCACTAACTGTAAGTCGCTCTGGATAAGAGCGTCTGCTAAATGACTAAAATGTAAATGTAAAAAATGTAAAGAGAGACTTAAGACGACAACATAGCATGGCAGCAACACATGACAACATAGCATGGTAGCAACACGACATGACAACAACATGGTAGCAGCACAAAACATGGTACAAACATTATTGGGCACAGACAACAGCTCAAAGGCAAGAAGGTAAAGACAACAATACATCACGAGAAGCAGCCACAAATTTCAGTAAGAGTGTCCATGATTGAGTCTATTTCATTTGTGTTTTGGTCAGGTTTCTGGGCAGGATAACCAACACAGTTGTACAAGCAAAAGTATTAGCTTTGATCTATCTGGTCAGCTTTTTCCCTTTTAGGGACTGTTTGCTATGATGCCTTTCAGCCATTTTGCCTGTATTTTTACCCTGCTGTTTCATCATGTAGACTACATTGCAAAGAGATAGAAGGTACATTCTTTGAGATTGTAAACGTAGCTTTGAACATTGAAGCGTTCAGAAATGACACTTGGCTACACTGCAAATCTCTGTGGCTTAGAGGCAGCCTTGGTCACCATCCTGCACACAGCCCAGAATGTCTGCAGACTGCAGCTCAGGCCAAACTAGGTTTTCCTCTGAGTTGAAGTGAGGCCTTATCTGTGATCTGCTGCTGCAGAGGGTTTCTAATCCCCCAGGAGAAAGGGTAAGACTGCAGGCCAGGCAGACACAGAACCGTGACTACAGCCAGAGATACTCCCGGCATGTGACACCATTCATACAACTTTTATTTTTCTAACAACTGAATTGTAATGGCTGCATAGCTGGAATTCTTGAGGTGAAAGTGAACACACTTCTTACTAAGTCTAGACCTCTATGTACTTGCTATTATGCTGACATGTAATAATGTAGGCTAAGATAGGCGGGTCGTTCCACGAATAGAGTACATTTTGGGTAGTGTAACTTGGTAAAATAAAAATATAAAACATTCTGTCATAAAGAGCACACTTCATAAACATGTTTTCTCATCTCAAGCGGTAAAAAAAAGACTATTACATGCCAATAATGTGCCATTAAAGTAACAGGGTTGAGGTTTTAATCTTAAATTAGCCATAAATCCACTTGTGATATGGGGAATGGAAGCTTGTTGTGTGCAACAGGGAAGGGCAATTAAATGCAAGCTTCACAAAAAAATTGAAAATTGTTTAAACATTTCTAGCCTATCTGTGAGTAACAGGGTTAATGTGTTCTGCTCCACATGATCAGTTTTCCACCACAAAACACCAGAGAATTTACAACGGAGTAGAACCAGCCCACCTACTTTTACACTATGATTTGACTATTATATTTTCAATGTTTCAACAAAAAAAAAAAAAATATGTCTTAAATAAAACATGCGTTCAGTTGATGTAACAGAATTGACCTTAGAATGATGGACAGAAGTAAATTAATCACTATTCATATTAAATAAATAATACTCTTCAGAAATGACTATCAAAGCAAGAACATAACTAGGGCTTTACAATGATGGTGAAAACTTGAAAAAATGTTGGGGTTAAGTGAGTAAAAGTCTACCCAGGAAAGTCGGAAAAACATGACAAGGGACATGTCAAAATGCAGATTTCTTTGCACTTCAAGTCTTTATTCATATAAAAAATCTTATTTATAGTGTTTTCAATGTGGCCTATATTAAAGGGCACTTCATTTAATGTAATAGGCTGTCTTCCATAGTAAGTAAAGGAACATAACGTTAGGTTAGATTTGGATGTTTTGCCCTCATAGTTCCCCCTGGTCTTTGACTTCTCCCTCACTAGAACTCTACTTCCCTACACACGTGTTGCACTGGGATTGATGACATAACATCAGCACCCTTGTCATTCTGAGACAACACTCAGGTTGCACTGTTGAAAAGAAAGCAGACTCCTACAACCCCCCCCCCCCCCCCGACCAGCCTTCAATCCTCCGCTGTAACCATACAGCTGAACACAGCCTGGCTATAAATAGCCTCTTGCTAGGTTTAGTTAATGCTCAGCTACATTTAGCACCCTTGTGGGTTTCTGCTGTGCGCAGCAAAGCTCCTAGGCCACAGAGTGGATTTGAACAAATGGCTTGGGATGTTTTCATGGTGGACATCATTTTGGCTGTTAGCCTACCCATAAGCTGGAGTGTGTTACAAGCTGATAGTCACTAGACTAGGGCTGACCCCATTTAGTCGACTGGTCGATTGTTTGGTCGATAGGCTGTTGGGCGACCAAGATTTGTTTTTAGTTGAGCAGTGGCAAATATATACAAATAATTTATGTCACACGAGACAAGTGTCTGATTCACGCCTGTCTGAGTGGACTAATCCACTGCGAAGGATGACACACCAGTAGTACTTTACCGTTAATTACCATAACTTCTCATCTACAATGTTTGTTTGGCTGCAGTAATTTCTGTTAATTTAATCTATTCAATATATTATTATTGTTATTACAGTCTCACCGTTGTCATTGTAGGAGTGGACACGTTGTTTGCAGAGCGCACAACTTAGTCTACACAAAGTTTTGTTTTATTATATTTCAATTTACGAGTTGTCAATTTATTAATTGTCTTTTGGAGCGCGCCTGTCAGGTAGGACTAGGCTACCTGTATTCCTATAAATGGGCCCATTTGTGGATCTGATACTATTTCTGATTGTCTTAACTCACCATCACTGTGGAGCTTCTCAAATAAACGTTTTGTTCGCCTCAAACAGCAAGTAAACAAAATGTGTTTTTACATCCATTGAGAATGACAATAGTTCCTCAAGTAGCCTATTTGAAAAATCTTTCCAGCTCTCGCTCTATCGGTAACCACTCAACATGAAAGGGGAAAAAAAATGTCATGCTCTGATCTGGTGGAAACATCATAAAATAGGCCTACCTAATTACTTCTTATCCCTTGCGCAAATAGCCTACAGCTGTGTCTGTCTGTTCGGAGCTCAATGGCGGGGGAAACTCTGAGGGTCCAGAATATTTTATAGAAGTTTGCAAGCACGAGCTTTGGGCTGGACCAAGTTAATAGTTGATACAATGTTTCAAGTTCCTTGCAGACAGGCCATGCGTAGCCAATGTGTTTTATAGAATATTTACTTTCATCAGGATATTTTCTACCTGCAGGCTGCAATGTTTTTATTTGTTGGCTTTATGTAGGCTATTTTTACATATTGGCAATGGCAATAGTTACTTTTAGATTCATATCATTTTCATTTTGATAGAATGTTGATTAACCACATGACATTGATTTTGAGATATGAAGACTTTATTATAAATTAAATGAAACTGTTACACAAATGTGCATATGAAAATCATAACTGGCACGTAACGTAGAAATAGTAGGATAACTTGGCACTCCAAATGGAAAAGGTTGCCGACCGCTGGTGTAGCCTATTACCGGCAACTTCAGGAGCCTAATGGCAGAATCTGCGAAGGCCAGCAGCAGCGGGCAGGGGTAGGAGGAGAACAGTTTTTTTTTCCCTTTCTTTTTTTCTGGTTAGGCTATATTGATCTCTGTCTCGCTCTTTAGTAATTTGTGTGTCTTCATTTTTAATCGCAGCGCTTAAAGCATCCAGAACAACGCATGTCAAAAATGTTATAAATTGATTTGCATTTTAATTAGGGAAATAAGTATTTGACACCCTCTCAATCAGAAAGATTTCTGGCTCCCAGGTGTCTTTTATACAGGTAACGAGCTGAGATTCGGAGCACACTCTTAAAGGGAGTGCTCCTAATCTCAGTTTGTTACCTGTATAAAAGACACCTGTCCACAGAAGCAATCAATCAATCAGATTCCAAACTCTCCACCATGGCCAAGACCAAAGAGCTCTCCAAGGATGTCAGGGACAAGATTGTAGACCTACACAAGGCTGGAATGGGCTACAAGACCATCGCCAAGCAGCTTGGTGACAACAATTGGTGCGATTATTCCAAATGGAAGAAACACAAAATAACTGTCAATCTCCCTGGGCCTGGGGCTCCATGCAAGATCTAACCTCGTGGAGTTGCAATGATCATGAGAACGGTGAGGAATCAGCCCAAAACTACACGGGAGGATCTTGTCAATGATCTCAAGGCAGCTGGGACCATAGTCACCAAGAAAACAATTGATAACACACTACGCCGTGAAGGACTGAAATCCTGCTGCGCCCGCAAGGTCCCCCTGCTCAAGAAAGCACATATACAGGCCCGTCTGAAGTTTGCCAATGAACATCTGAATGATTCAGAGGACAACTGGATGAAAGTGTTGTGGTCAGATGAGACCAAAATCGAGCTCTTTGGCATCAACTCAACTCGCCGTGTTTGGAGGAGGAGGAATGCTGCCTATGACCCCAAGAACACCATCCCCACCGTCAAACATGGAGGTGGAAACATTATGCTTTGGGGGTGTTTTTCTGCTAAGGGGACAGGACAACTTCACTGCATCAAAGGGACGATGGACGGGGCCATGTACCGTCAAATCTTGGGTGAGAACCTCCTTCCCTCAGCCAGGGCATTGAAAATGGGTCGTGGGTGGGTATTCCAGCATGACAATGACCCAAAACACACGGCCAAGGCAAGAAAGGAGTGGCTCAAGAAGAAGCACATTAAGGTCCTGGAGTGGTCTAGCCTGTCTCCAGACCTTAATTCCATAGAAAATCTGTGGAGGGAGCTGAAGGTTTGAGTCGCCAAACGTCAGGCTCAAAACCTTAATGACTTGGAGAAGATCTGCAAAGAGGAGTGGGACAAAACCCTCCTGAGATGTGTGCAAACCTGGTGGCCAACTACAAGAAACGTCTGACCTCTGTGATTACCAACAAGGGTTTTGCCACCAAGTACTAAGTCATGTTTTGCAGAGGGGTCAAATACTTTTTTCCCTCATTTAAAATGCAAATCAATTCATAACATTTTTTGACATGTGTTTTTTCTGGATTTTTGTTGTTGTTATTCTGTCTCTCACTGTTCAAATATACCTACCATAAAAATTATAGACTGATCATGTCTTTGTCAGTAGGCAAATGTACAATATCAGCAGGGGATCAAATACTTTTTTCCCTCACTGTATAGTTACAAGCAGTGGCGCATAGCTTTAGAGACGCCCCAAACTATTGAAAATTATACCGTCAGTATTTCAAAATACCCCGGTATACGAAATACATATCAGGGTTCTTCAATTCCGGTCCTGGAGGGGCCGAAACGCTTCTGTTTTTTATTTCTACCTGGTAGTTAATTCCACTCACCTGGTGTCCCAGGTCTGAATTAGCCCCTGATTAGAAGGAGAGGATGAAAAACAGAGGTGTCTCGGCCCTCCAGGACCGGAATTGAAGAACCCTGATATATACGATTTACCACCAAAGCCTAATATGATGGAAACAATATAATCTGTTCAGGTATTGTTGAGAGCCCTGTACAACTGCTGGCACTTCATACTTCAATGTGAGCTCTGAACTTTTCGTTTCTCCCTCAGAACTCTGTCGCATCGACGAGCCTCGGTGCCACGATGAGAATACCATCCTCAGCTTCGAGGCGATCCGCAGTATCCACAAGCAGATGGATGACGATGCTAATGGCAATGTGGACGTGTCAGAGACTGACGGGGTGAGTAGAACCACCAGGTTCCCTATACACTGTGGGCGTGTCAGAGAAGGACTGGGTGATTAGTACCACCAGGTACCCTACTTCATTACATTTCAATAGCATTTGATAGATTACAGGTGTTTTCATAGTGGATGTAGCTACTGTACTGCATGGCACCAGTCAGACCTGTCTATGTGAGTCACAGAAAAGTGGCCTGAAGGTATCAGTACTCTCATCCCCTGTCATCCACCAGCAGGGATTCCTTCCCAAGATGGCCACAGATAATGAGATTAGTTAATGGCTGCTCGGTACTGGCTTTTACTTTGCTATTGAAGTAACTTATTTTTATTTTTTTTACATAATCTTATGACAGAAAATAGCTTCTGGATATCAGAACAGCGATTACTCACCTCGAACTAGACAAATATGTTTTATTTAAAGAGTCGGACAAGGATTTACTGCTGATACCGGACCAGTGCCAAAACCCCGTCATTCACATGAAGAAGAGACGCTGATACCGGACCAGTGCCAAATCCCCGTCATTCACATGAAGAAGAGACGCTGATACAGTGGACTCAGGTCCGCTAATGAGAATTAATCGGCGAGTGAGGAGTAACCCACATCTACCATCCGTCCTATTGGCCAACGTGCAATCATTGGAGAATAAACTGGATGAGCTACGTTCAAGACTATCCTACCAACGGGACATTTAAAACTGTAATATCTTATGTTTCACAGTCATGTCTGAACGACGACATGGATAATATACAGTTGGCTGGGTTTTCCGTGCATCGGCAAGACGGAACAGCTACCTCCGGTAAGACAAGGGGTGGTGGTCTGTGTCTATTTGTCAATAACAGCTGGTGCGCGAAATCTAATATTAAGGAAGTCTCTAGGTTTTGCTCGCCTGAGGTAGAGTATGTCATGTTAAGCTGTAGACCACACTATTTACCAAGAGAGTTCATCTATTTTTCATAGCTGTGTATTTACCACCACAAACTGATGCTGGAACTAAGACCGCACTCAACGAGCTGTATAAGGCCATAAGCAAACAAGAAAATGCTCATCCAAAGGCGGCGCTCCTAGTGGCTGGGGACTTTAATGCAGGGATACCTAAATCTGTTTTACCTCATTTCTACCAACATGTCACATGTGCAACCAGTGGGGAAAAAAACTCTAGACCACCTTTACCCACACACAGAGACACGTACAAAGCCCTCCATTTGGCAAATCTGACCATAATTCTATCCTCCTGATTCCTGCTTACAAGCAAAAACTAAAGCAGGAAGTACCAGTGAGTCGCTCAATACGGAAGTGGTCAGATGACGCAGATGCTAAACTACAGGACTGTTTTGCTAGCACAGACTGGAATATAATTATTATATATATTTTTTGAATGAATATGATCCGGGATTCATCCGATGGCATCAGGAGTATCCCACATCAGTCACCAGCTTCATCAATAAGTACATCGACGACGTCGTCCCCACAGTGACCGTACGTACATACCCCAACCAGAAGCCATGGATTACAGGCAACATCCGCACTGAGCTAAAGAGTAGAGCTGCAGCTTTCAAGGAGCAGGACTCTAACCCGGACTCCTATAAGAAATCCCACTATGCCCTCCGAACCATCAAACAGGCAAAGCGTCAATACAGGACTAAGATTGAATCCTACTACACCATCTCTGACACTCGTTGGATGTGGCAGAGCTTGCAAACTATTACGGACTACAAAGGGAAGCCCATCCGCGAGCTGCCCAGTGACACAAGCCTACCAGATGAGCTAAATGACTTCAATGCGCGCTTCGAGGCAAGCAACACTGAAGCATGCATGTGAGCACCAGCTGTTCCTGACGACTGTGTGGGAGAGGAGAGGCCTGTAGGGCAGCCATGACCTGGCTGGGAGAGGAGAGGCCTGTAGGGCAGCCACGACCTGGCTGGGAGAGGAGAGGCCTGTAGGGCAGCCATGAACAGGCTGGGAGAGGAGAGGCCTGTAGGGCAGCCACGACCTGGCTGGGAGAGGAGAGGCCTGCCTTGTAGCCTCTTGCCCCACCTCAGGAGGCTTTGGTCTGGGCTAGAGCTCTCTTCCTCTGCAACTTCTGCTGCAGGGGCTGAGCAGATTTTAGAGAAGGAGGCACTGGCTCTGCAGACATCCCTGAAGCAGCCAGCCTGTGAATTAAGCACATATCTCTGGTGTCAGTCCTGGCTCAGAGCCAACACTGAGAAAGGCTGAACAAGACATGTAGAGCGCTTTGACCAAACCAGCTCTAATGCCTGGGCACTTCCTAGAGAAATAATAGGTTTTTATGATCATGTTTCATTCTTTTTCTGTATTTTTTTATGATCCCCATTAGCTGTTCTTCCTGGGTTCTTCCTGGGGTCCCCATCAGCTACTCTTCATGTGTCCCACACAAAACATGAAACATGACAATACAGAACATTAATAGACAAGAACAGCTCAAGGACAGAACTACATACATTTAAAACAAGCTAAGATGGTTGAAACAGCATGTTGCAACTAAAAAACACATGCTGAACACACCGGACCAAGATTTTTTTTAAACATCAGCTATTTGGCTACATTGTCAAAGAAAGGGTTAGATTTCTTGTCTGATTGATTTTGAGTGTCCGCCTTATAGTGAAAACCTCCCACACTAAGCTCTGAAGAAGGAAAATCAGCATTATAACTTGTCCTGAGCCCATGTTCTTTGTGGGGGCGTGTCGTACAGCAGCCAAGCTTCTTCCTCCCAGTGATAACAGCATGGGGGCTGGCTAGAGATGGATGAAACATAATGTCAGCTAAGCACTGTCACTGCGCTGCTATGTTGTTGCTCAAGAGAACTGGAGACACTTAATGTGTCCGATATTACTTACAGTAGGCTCATTAGATTGAAAGATTGAGTGTTTTAGAGTAGAAAGGGGAACACCTGATTTCCTGTTTGTGTTCCTCATCATCAAATGATGATCTATTGTACCCTGCTTTTAGCAATATAGTTATAGGTTTGTACTTTCCATCACAGGTTCTCAGGCCAATAAAGCTTCAGTGTAAAATATGACACATGCAAATGCTCAAACGTATAGATCTTCATTGACATTCACTTGGTAAGACGATGTCTAGGTCTTAATTGTCATTCTGTCGTAAAAGGCCAAGTGTTTTCTAGCCCCTTCTCAGAGTGTGAGGTGTGAGTAAAGCACAGTGTTCCTGGCTGTTCCTTTAGTGCTAGTATCCTCTCTACTGGTTGTCATGCACACTGTAATACTGTGACAAGGCTGGGTGCACACAGTGAAGCGAGCCCAGTCTGCAGCAGAAAGCTTATCTGTCTGACTGCAGGCAGGGGAAGGCTCAGGGCATGCTTTTTTGTTGGTTATTCTCTGAGCACGCCGTACAGAGATCTTTTTATCCTTCCCTGGTATATCTGACACTGTGCAGTCTCCGAAACTGTTTGATTCCTCTGACATCATCTATAATGCTTTTGGCTGATTTTGATTGACACCTCCCCTGTTCTCTCTTCCCTTCTGTCTCCCCCCATGTGACCCCGGCGACCTCCAGTTCCTGAGGGAGGACCTGAACTACCACGATCCCAAAGCCAAGCACAACAGTTTCCACGGAGACGACCAGTTCATCAGTGTGGAAGACCTGTGGAACACCTGGAAGGGTTCTGAAGGTGCTGGAACTACACTGTAGTGTTACTGGAGCCTCCCACTCTGTCTCTGTTCTCTACAGGCTAGCAGTACAAACAAGCCTGCCCTCCAGGCACGCTGCTGCACTCAGTACATCCGTTTGCATAAAAGAGAGTCTCAGACGATGAATCTCATTCAGTACACTGTGTTCTGTGATCTCATCTGAGAGCGCTGCTCTGTCGGTCCAGTCCTCCTCGTTTGAGGTCCCACTGCTGACTGACTCCATGTTAGCTATATCAGAACCCTTCCCTGCTGTTCTGAGCCTTCCTGTGCTTTGTACTGTCTGTTTTAAAGTACTGCATTGTTTTCACATTTGTATCATCAGTAATCAGATTTAGATTGAAAGCTTAGATTTTCTGTCTGGTGACTGTGTAGGTAAGGGAGAGTTTTTGCTCAGCCTCTCTGCACTTAGGTTGCCCATCCAGAGCAGTCAAACTTATCAGCTGGTATGTCAGCATTGTCAAGTGAGGTGCAGACCATTTAGCAGCTCAAGCATCCTGGCAGAGGGTGATCAGTGTACCTGTCATCACAACACACACACACACAGATAACAACCATACACACTGACGTACCACCTATGCCTCCCTCTCCTTGTCCTGCTGGCATTCCACTCACTCTGTCACGTTATCATATACCACTCATGGCTTTTCACACCTACCTCTCCTCTTTTCTGGCCTCTTTGTCCCTCACCTCTCCTTCTCTCTTCATCCCTGTCTCTCTCTTTCCACCCTCCCCTCTCCCTACCTCTCTCTTCTTTCACCCATCTCTCCAAATCTCTTTCACCCCCCCCCCCCTTTCCCTCTCTGGTTGTGTCTGAGTCTCTCTGCATTGCAGCTTCCTGTCGGGGGGGGGGGGGGGGGCTCAGAGCAAGGAAACTGCAGAAGCACAATAACCCAGCTAGCTAGGCAGCCTGAGCCCACACCACACCCCCCTGCTGCTGACTCCCTGCCAGTCCCATCTCCCTTACTCTGGCTTTTATTGAGAGATGGCCAACGTGTGTAGCTACATTTAAGTGTGTTATGATAGAGGATACCTCTAAGGGATTTTTGGATACACTCGTCTCACGACGATGCTCATAAATTATAAAGCAGAGTCAGATGTTCTCTCTCTCTGGTTGTGTGGGTCGGCGTTGGCTCAACGTTGGCATACAGCCAGTGATGGAGATTACTGAGGCTCATCTGAAACGGTCTTTAGAGCGAGAGTTGAGAAGCACGGATGGTGTGGTAATATCATGTTTGTGTATTGCAGTGTACAACTGGACAGTGGACGATGTGGTGAAGTGGCTCACCTATGTGGAGCTGCCTCAGTATGTGGACACCTTCCTCAAGATGCACTTCAACGGCACTGTCATGCCCAGGTAAGTTAACCCATAGGGTCCTTCCTTCCTACCCTACTATGCTCTCACTCTCTTCCCCAATTTTCCTTTAACTGCACTGCAGAGTCTCAATCTGTGTGTTTCCTCAGGCTGGCTGTGAAGAACGCCACTCTGACAGTGTCCATTCTGAAGATGCTGGATCGCAGCCATGTTCAGAAACTGCAGCTCAAGGCCCTGGACACTGTGCTGTTCGGAGCCCCACTCAGTAAGTGGATTCTTTTTTAAAAATATTTTTTATTCCATTCCATTACCTATTAGTGTTAGTTATCTTTCACCCAGACCGATAAAGCAGGATTTCTGTTGGATACTGAAGCGACTGTTTGTGAGTATAATTATAAGAGGAAGAACGGTGTCTGCTCTGTTTGTCTCTCCAATGGGAGACAGTTGGTTAAAAAAAAAACTCAAAAATGTGTTCATTAGTCTCAAGCGGCAGCTTGGCAGTGCTGGAAAATCTGTTCTAAGTACAGTGAAATGCCTTTCTTGAAAGCTCTAAACCCAACAATGCAGTAACCAATAACAATGTAATACTAAAAATAACATAAGCTAGAACAGAAACAAACAAGAAAAAAAGACCAATAAGGCCCTCCCCCTATTTGTTTTAGTTGAATCATCTACGACTACCTGCAGTCAGGCTTCTTGCTGCAGCACAAAACACAGCGAATCAGGATGATCCATTTACATTCTGCTACAATGTCCGTTGATAAATAACATAATCCTGGTGATACTCATAATATTAAGGCCAGAAAACAGAAACCGCCATGCTTACCCCTAAAGGAAGTGAAGCCCTCTTTAGGAAGGCTATTCTGTGGTGCTCTGTGTGTGCCATACCAAAAGCCAGCTTGTTACAGACTGAGCAGCGAGAGGGCAGCTGGATTAAAGAGGAAGTGAGTTGATGCTCAGGCTGAGCTACTCTGTATTCTAGGCTCACACCTCTGGCGCACTGAGACAAATCAACACACCACCTCTCTGACGCACTGAGACAAATCAACACACCACCTCTCTGACGCACTGAGACAAATCAACACACCACCTCTCTGGCGCACTGAGACAAATCAACACACACCACCTCTGGCGCACTGAGACAAATCAACACACCACCTCTCTGACGCACTGAGACAAATCAACACACCACCTCTCTGACGCACTGAGACAAATCAACACACCACCTCTCTGACGCACTGAGACAAATCAACACACCACCTCTCTGACGCACTGAGACAAATCAACACACCACCCTCTGCGCACTGAGACAAATCAACACACCACCTCTCTGACGCACTGAGACAAATCAACACACCACCTCTCTGACGCACTGAGACAAATCAACACACCACCTCTCTGGCGCACTGAGACAAATCAACACACCACACCTCTGGCGCACTGAGACAAATCAACACACCACCTCTCTGACGCACTGAGACAAATCAACACACCACCTCTCTGACGCACTGAGACATTTGTTTTGCAAACTCTGCAATCACATGAGCGCTACAGAAACATCGCTAACCAAACTACGGTCTCTTGCTTGTGCGCACGTACATTAACAAGGTGCATGTCCTAACCTGGCGCTAAGTCATACCAGTTATGGAGTTTTAAAAGGACCTGCACTGTGTGAAAGCCGTTAGACATGATAGAAAACAGAACATGTCCGTTCTAGTTATGTGGAGCATGATCAGTCGTTCCCACAGCAACCCTGGGCCTGGTTAAGCCGGAACAACCCAGCAGTAGGTTCCTGCTATCTCACAGTGACATATTTCAGCCTGTTGCATCATACATCTCTAGTCCCTGATGAACCTGATGGCTCACATTCTGGATTTAGGGGAAAGAGGCCGGTGGGGGTTAGGGGAAAATGTGGGTTGTTCTATAGGAAGGTTGCAGCAGGATAAGGGAGAGTTAGTGGTCTGTGTCTGACATGTATCATTGTGTGTGTTTAGTGAAGAGTCTCTGCTGGAGGAAGAGAGGGGAGGGGGGGTCGTCTGGACATGACAGCCCCGGGCAGAAAGCCACAGGTCCTGCTGATAGTCACACAGACTGCACAGCAGCAGCATTTTAAGACACCTTTTCACAATGGGCCCCATCAGAAATGGACACCTCTCCTTGTCTTGTCTTAATGGCTGACACATTTATCAAAGTGGACCCATTCCACAGCCCTGTTTACGACTTATTACATGCAACTGGACTGTTCACCTGAAGGAGAACAGAAAAAGACCGGTTTGAGCCAAGTCATTCCTAGTCTAATGGTCAGTTAGACATGTCACTTTGGACTTTCTAGCCAACTTTCCTGCTAATCAGCCATGTGTTTTCAGAGAAAGAAAAAGCTAATGGAACGTGTTAGCTAGAGGAAAAGATCTATGGGTAACTTCCAAAATAAAGGAAACGCCAACATAAAGTGTCTTAATAGGGCGTTGGGCCACCACGAGCTGCCAGAACAGCTTCAATGCGCCTTGGCATAGATTCTACAAGTGTCTGGAACTCTATTGGAGGGATCCGACACCATTCTTCCACGAGAAATTCCATGGTTTGGTGTTTTGTTGATGGTGGTGGAAAACGCTGTCTCAGGCGCTGCTCCAGAGTCCCCATAAGTATTCAACTGGGTTGAGATCTGGTGACTGAGACACACGCACACACACACACACACACACACACACACACACTTTAATGAGACCGGTTTTTCAAAGTCACTGAGATCTGTGGCCCCGTGTATCTCAGGTGGAAGAGCATGGCGCTTGCAACGCCAGGGTTGTGGGTTCGTTTCCCACGGGGGGCCAGTATGAAAATGTATGCACTCACTTAACTGTAAGTCGCTCTGGATAAGAGCGTCTGCTAAATGTCTAAAATGTAAAATGTAAATCTCTTCTAGCCATGGTAGCCAAAATACTGGGCATTTTTATTCAGCACCTGCTTTCAATATACTTTGTATCCCTCATGTACTGAGGGGTTTCCTTTATTCTGTCAGTTATCTGTTTTATTCTGGCATTTACATGTACATGTTTGTGTGTGTTGAACTGGTTGTATTCAACCACCAGTAATTCAACTATAGCAACAGGAGATTTAAATGATTTAGATGTGGAGGATGACCTTAGGGATCAGATATTTCTCTGCAGTGTCTGGTCTTCCACGGATGAAGAGTGAGATTCTAATGCTGCAGAACAAGACCAATTGAGAGCGAAGACACTGAAATTAAATATCATGACAATGCGAGAGTGAGTTGTTTTCATGCGGGAGGGAACGGATGATTGGCCTGATTTGTATATTGGATAATAATAATATTATAAACCCTGTTATCTCTCCTCTGTGTTGGACATAAGACTTTAAAATCAACAGGAAATCAGCGCAGTGATTTTAATTTAGGAAAATCTGTTCCCATGCATAAATAGAGGCATATGTGATCATATCCCAATGTAATCAAGGTTTGAAATTGTTCCGTTTTTATCAAATGCTATATCTGTTTGGGATTCCTGCGGTCAATTTGCAATGTACAAATTATTTATAACTATGTTCCGGCCCCCCTGACCATCTGCTCAAGGAAAAATCGTCCCATGGCTGAGTGTAATTGGGGACCCCATGCCCTAGAGCTTTATAGCCAAGCTAGTTCCCCCTCGTATGGTTTACCTTGTTGCTTGTAACACTGGTCTGACACCAGTCTAGTCGTAAATGTTCATCACTGTCCGACCAAGTTCCACTGCCAATGGCCAACTGTGTTTGTAGCAAGGCTACAGGAACCCACACACAGAGCTCTTGACTGATCTAATGAGGAGCACATTACTCTACGTCAGTACCCTATGTCGGTGACATGAAATGGAGCCTTGTGTCAGCGGGGAGGTTGTTTTTCTGTGAGGTGGAGGGAGGTCTTTGTTCAATGTCAATAGCAGCCAGCCCAGAGATGCCAGGCTCAGGCTTTCGCTGACACTCCACTTCCTCTTTTGTTTGACTCCAGGACATAAGTGCTGTGTTTGCTAAGAGGTTAATGCTACGTGTTAGCTCAGATCTTATCCCTTTCCAGGCCCTACGGCGGCTCGCCTTCACAGCTTTATGAGAAAAGGCTTTGTAGTCCTCTGTCTCTCTGTGCTTTAAGGATGATGGATGGATCACGTCTAAGACCTTTTGGCTGATTTTCCATGAGGGTTAGTTGCTGTCTGCCTGGCTGGCGTGCTGGTAGTGACTGTGAGGAATGGGACTGTTCTGCATCCCTTAGGATGGCAACATTATGACATTAGGACATTCACACCTCTCCTCTACTCGGGCCGAACCGTTCGCCCCCAGAGGACAGGAAGGGCAAGGCCGAGGCTGTCGGGGCCGGGGGTTTGATTCGTCGCCTCTCATGTAAATGTAAACTACCATGTCCCTGTGTTTTCTACGTGTCATTCATCAGCATCTGTTAGCAGTGTGTTAATAGTGTGTTAATCTGCCTTTACCTTGGCCTTTTAGCCTGGTGCCTCCTCAACCCAACTCAACTACTACCGCACATCTCTCTTGGAGAGACCTCGCCACAGTACCATGACTTGAGTTCATTCAGTTTCACACGCTTTCACATCATTAGTTCACCACCAATGAGTTTTGCTGGATGAAGGGACAATCCAAAAACAATGTGTACTATTCTTTAAAGGGATACTTCAGGATTTTGGCAATTAATCCCTGTATCTACTTCCCCAGAGTCAGATGAACTCATGTATACCATTTATGTCTCTGCATCCAGTATGAAGGAAGTTAGAGAGTTTGCGAGCCAATGCTAAGTAACGTCAGTGCAATGACTGGAAGTCTATGGTATCTGCTAGCATGACTGGAAGTCTATGGTATCTGCTAGCATTACCATAAACTTCCAATCATTGCGCTCACGCTAGGGGAAGTAGATAAAGGGCTTCATTGCCAAAATCCTGAAGTATCCCTTTAACCTAACACTTTTCTCTCTCCCCAGTGAACACACATAACCACCTGAAGGACTTCATGCTGGTGGTGTCCATAGTGATCGGCATTGGAGGCTGCTGGTTCGCCTACATCCAGAACCGTTACTCCAAGGACCACATGAAGAAGATGATGACCGACCTGGATGGCCTACAGAGGGCTGAACAGAGCCTGCATGATCTACAGAAGAAGTGAGTCTTTCCCTTCAGCCGCTGTACCACGAGGAAGCAGGCCCATGTAAGCCCATAGAAGTAGTGACTGAATGATGTCATTCTAGAATTATAATGGAGCCTCATTATCCACTGGTGTTTCATAGTATCAGCCGGTTCCATGTGATGTTGTTGGTACTAACTCCAGGTTCCCTGTGATGTTGTTGGTACTAACTCCAGGTTCCCTGTGATGTTGTTGGTACTAACTCCAGGTTCCCTGTGATGTTGTTGGTACTAACTCCAGGTTCCCTGTGATGTTGTTGGTACTAACTCCAGGTTCCATGTGATGTTGTTGGTACTAACTCCAGGTTCCCTGTGATGTTGTTGGTACTAACTCCAGGTTCCATGTGATGTTGTTGGTACTAACTCCAGGTTCCCTGTGATGTTGTTGGTACTAACTCCAGGTTCCATGTGATGTTGTTGGTACTAACTCCAGGTTCCCTGTGATGTTGTTGGTACTAACTCCAGGTTCCCTGTGATGTTGTTGGTACTAACTCCAGGTTCCCTGTGATGTTGTTGGTACTAACTCCAGGTTCCCTGTGATGTTGTTGGTACTAACTCCAGGTTCCCTGTGGTGTTGTTGGTACTAACTCCAGGTTCCCTGTGATGTTGTTGGTACTAACTCCAGGTTCCATGTGATGTTGTTGGTACTAACTCCAGGTTTTCTATTAGGCATGCTTCATTAACAGGTGAATCATCTTCTGCTTGACGTCGTGGTGGCTTGATGTCGTGATGAGAATTTGGGGACAGTCAGTGTTCATTTAGTCAGGGATTGGCAGCTTAAACACTGTTTTCAGGTGTGTCATGTTGAGGCCACTCCATGATGAAACAGGAAGTGAAGGTTTAACTGGTCTGAGGCCATCAGTTGAGTTTCACATTCAGAGCTCATTCTAGAGATTGCTGCAGTCATTACGCAAGAGGACAAAAAATCCCGTCCGCACAGAGTGGAAGTGATCTTTATGGAATAGCAATGAAGTTTATCTGAAGTAAATCTCACAGCTGATCACAAGACTTAGGATCAACTGTCAATGGAATTTTTTTAATGATTATTCCGCAAACACCTTTTGAAATCTGAGCTAGCATTTAGCCCTTTCTCAGCCTCTGTCCTGGTCCTGTCACTACAGTATCACGTCTGTCTCCCACTAGTATTATAGTACCCCGCACAGCTGCTTTGGTGGGGTGTGCGTGGGTGTGTGTTTGTGTGTCGTGACAGGGGAGCAGGAAGTATGTCTCGCAGCACGGTGTAATGAGCCTGTTGAATATAGACCAACATGGCATGGGGACAAGTCAGGAGGGTAAACCCCCCCCCCCCTGGCAGGAGGTACAAACTCCCCCACCCCCCCCGATACCGGGGCTGTTTCCGATGCTGTGCTGAGAGGAGAGCGTTACCGGGGCTGTTTCCTCTGCTGTGCTGAGAGGAGAGCGTTACCGGGGCTGTTTCCTCTGCTGTGCTGAGAGGAGAGCGTTACCGGGGCTGTTTCCTCTGCTGTGCTGAGAGGAGAGCGTTACCGGGGCTGTTTCCTCTGCTGTGCTGAGAGGAGAGCGTTACCGGGGCTGTTTCCTCTGCTGTGCTGAGAGGAGAGCGTTACCGGGGCTGTTTCCTCTGCTGTGCTGAGAGGAGAGCGTTACCGGGGCTGTTTCCTCTGCTGTGCTGAGAGGAGAGCGTTACCGGGGCTGTTTCCTCTGCTGTGCTGAGAGGAGAGCGTTACCGGGGCTGTTTCCTCTGCTGTGCTGAGAGGAGAGCGGCCTTGGAACAGAGTCATGTTATGCCTCTATTGACGTCCCTCTCTCCCCAGACAGAAACTTTGTGTATCATATTCTGTCAGTTGGGTACAGGGGTTAGTAATGCCCTCCCTGTTCATTCACTGTGATAGTAAAACATCTCCGCCGTTCCTCATGCACAATCTCACCCCCTGCTGCTGTGGGACATTCAGATGAGGCTGGGGATATACAACTACTCTGCCGCAACTCTCTGAAACACCTAGTGACACTAAAGCAGAATAATGTGAGGTGCCTATTGATTATTTTGTAGAGGCATTGCAACATCTCATGCGTACTAGCTAATGTGCATGCAGTTTTGTATTGTTGCTGTTTTGTGGTTTGTTTACCTATGGGGTTATAGACCTTCGTCTACAGTTGTTATACCAGAGCACGGACATGACATTGAGATGCCTGCTACCCTCCTGTTAAACACTTGTTACTGTAACAGTGAATGGGAGCGGACAGACTGACTGTGGGAGTGGTGGGACAGGCCAGCATGTCTCCTATGTGATCCCTGTAATGGAGGCAGGGGAAGAGAACATGCAAGACAGGGCGACTCAATGTGACTGGGTGGACAGGCTGGCGTGTCTCCTGTGCTTTCCCGGGAGCTGAAGGGGAGAGGGGTCATGTCCTCTCTTTAGCTGTGCCTTCTTCCTAACTCCCTGCTGCTGTCTGACCAGACCTTCAAGGCAGATCCTGTGGCCAGATCAAGTGGTCTGGCCCGAGCCTCAGCCTTCCGTTTTTAACTGCTGGTGGACAGAGGTAGGGAGGGAGGGGGCTCTCCCAGGAGCTGTAGGCCTATTTCACCCTGTGTTTACTCTGGGTGCCTTTAGCAACACCAGCTGGTGGACAGAGGTAGGGAGGGAGGGGGCTCTCCCAGGAGCTGTAGGCCTATTTCACCCTGTGTTTACTCTGGGTGCCTTTAGCAACACCAGCTGGTGCCAGGCATGACCTCTTTACACCTCACCTCCACTGCTTGCTCACTCCCATGTGGATGGAGGTGTGGTGTGGTGGGTGTGCTGTATGCAGGACAAGACAGGTCTCTACTAAACAGGATCAATAGATGCCTTGGTTGATGGATATGGCGTTCATACAGCATACACCTGGATGGGTATATAAGTGCATCATCCACATTCTGCTACTGCTCCTATTCCAGTTGCTCATCAATTAATAATGATTTTAAAACTAGTCTCACTCGTAGGAATGCTATTCATGCAAATCTATACCAGCCCAGTCAGCCTGGAGGTGCTGAGCTGGTGCTACAAATAGGCTTTGATGTTGTTCGCTTGTACAGTAGACAAGTCCTTTGTTTGGACCCTGCAGTGCAGTGGGGCTGAGCATATGCATTGGGCTTCTCTCAGTGGAGTGTTATACAGTGTTGTGTGTGTGTGTGTGTGTGTGTGTGTGCCTGCCCTGCTGTTGTTGTTGCTGGAGCCGTAGCTAGTGAATGGTAGAGGTCAGGGTTGACCGCATTAGTGGGAGGGCTCACTGCCCACATTTTCCATCCCCAGCCCCCCGTATCACCTTTCACTGGGCTTCTGACTGTTGACTGGCTACCCATCCACATCGCTCCGGACAACTGACGTTCCTTGCAAACACATTCTGACCGTTCTGATTGGTCTCAGGAACCGATGGGTTTGGGCCAGAGCCGACCTACGTGATGACGTTGTCAACTTCTATTCTCTGACTGGTTGGATTTGTTAGAGACGATCCATTCGCTGATTAATTTGTTTTGTACATTTTGAAATGAAGTCACAAACAACTTATAGGATGGCAGATTCAGACCGAATGTATGTAGCGATCAATAGAGCAGCGGAATTAAATTCAGGGTGATTCTTCAGGCTACACTTGACTGCAGCTCTCTGGCTCCTCCTCTACCTCTGGTGGTGTAAAACAGCATTACACCTCCTGTCCCCTTTCTCAACCTCAACTCGGCCCTGTAAAACCTGTTCTCAGACTTACTGATTGATGTTGTAACTCATACGGATACTCCATGGATTCAGGTTCATTTTTTTATTTAACCTTTATTTAACTAGGCAAGTCAGTTAAGAACAAATTCTTATTTACAATGACGGCCTACAAAAAGGCAAAAGGCATCCTGCGGTGATGGGGACTGGGATTTTAAAAAAATAATATACATAAATATAGGACCAAACACACATCACAACAAGATAGAGATCACAACACTACATAAAGAGACCTAAGACAGCATGGTGTGATCTCTTTAAAACATAGCAGCCTAGGCTATATAGAAGCTAAAGCAGTCTCCCTGTGGATGACATGAATATCTACAGTCCTATTTCTCCTAGTGTGCCCTCTGTGTGTTTGATCTGTGGTCTTGTGACAGACCTCACAGGATAGCGTGACGTGACGCAGTGCTAGGCCAGCATGACACAACCAGCCATCCCAAAAATGGGCTCCTTGTGGGTCTTTATATAGTCATGTCTAAGGCACTGGGGACGTTCTACTGTGGCAGAAGAAGAGCACCATAATCCCAATACAGAAAGGCCATAGAGTACTGGGCTCTGTGTCACCACTGGGGCCCCATTCCTGGACTGGCCAAGCCTTGACGTCATTCAGTACTGTGACAGCTGCCCATGGTCCTCTGCCCTCTTCACGTTAGACATTGTTTTCAGCCACATACTGTAAGATGCAAGCCCCTCATTCCATCGTTACACCCACTCGCTCACACTCGTAGCCTACTATAAGACTGGTGTTTAGCCAATGGTATGTTCTACAGAGCGAGTGGACACTCGCTTGACTGTGTAATCTGTGCTCTTCGTTGCTTTAGTTTCACTGAATAACGCATTTTATATTGTTTTTCAAGAATGTCTGTTCAGTTGTGTGTAAAATGTCAAGGAAGCGTGGCAATTCCCAGAGTTCCCTTACAGTCCAGAACTACATTTTACATTTACATTTTAGTCATTTTAGCACACGCTCTTATCCAGAGAGACTTACAGTTAGTGAGTGCATACATTTTTTATACTTTTTTCATACTATTTTTTTCATACAAACTAGTTCTGAACTGTTTGATGTAGAGATGGTTACAAGGCAACAGGCTACTGGAGTCGGTGTACTTCCCCTACTGTAGCTAGCTCTTGAAACTGGACCCTGCCTGTAAAACAAACCATGTCTTTATGTCTGCCAAGGGAATCTCAACTACATGCAGCATATACATCAGAAATGATGGATCCCTGGCTTCCTTGGGCTCTATAGGGGTCATTCTTTATAGCCAGGAGCACCAAGGTCCAAGGACAGCTGGTTGGAGGATACTATGTGGACATGCCAGTCTCCCTGGCATCTAGTAGTAAAATGATACAGGCACTTCTATTGTTTGCCCCTGTCGTTGCTGAGTCACTGATTACGAGCACCTCTAACAAGGCCCCAGAATTCTTCCTGGTCATGTGATCAGGAAAAGAACAGATCTGATCTCATGCTTTTCCTTGTCTGATTCTCTCTCTGTCTCTCTGTGTCTCTCTCTCTCTGTCTCTCTCTCTGTGCCTCTGTCTCTTTGTGTCTTTCTCTGTGTCTCTCTGTGTCTCTGTCTCTCTCTCTCTGTCTCTCTGTGTCTCTCTCTCTGTCTCTCTCTGTCTCTCTCTCTGTGTCGCTCTCTCTCTGTGTCTCTGTCTGTCTTTCTCTCTCTCTCTGTGTCTCTGTCTCTCTCTCTCTCTCGTGTCTCTCTCTCTCTCTCTTTCTCTCTTTCTCTCTCTCTCTCTCTCTCTCTGTGTGTCTCTCTCTCTCAATTAAAAGGGCTTTATTAGCATGGGAAACATATGTTTACATTGCCAAGGCAAGTGAAATAGATAATAAACAGAAGTGAAATAAACAATCAAAAATGAACAAACATTACACTCAGAAAAGGCTAAAAGGATAGAAACATTTGTTATAACGATGTGCAAATACAAAAGGGAAAATAAATAAACATAAATATGGGTTGTATTTACAATGGTGTTTGTTGTTTGCTCGTTGCCCTTTTCTTGTGGCAACAGGTCACAAATATTGCTGCTGTGATGGCACACTGTGGTATGTCACCCAATCGATACAGGAGTTTATCAAAATTGGATTTGTTTTCAAATTATTTGTGGCTCTGTGTAATCTGAGGGAAATTGTGTCTCTAATGTGGTCATACATTTGGCAGGAGGTTTCCACCTCATAGCCTTTCTTCTCTTGAGAGCCAGGTCTAATTAGCGGGTATCGGCCTAATTCTGCTCTGCATGCATTATTTGGTGTTTTACGTTGTACATGGAGGATGTTTTTTCAGAATTCTGCATGCAGAGTCTCATTTTGATGTTTGTCCCATTTTTGTGAATTCTTGGTTGGTGAGTGGACCCAAGACCTCACAACCATAAAGGGCAATGGGTTCTATAACTGATTCAAGTATTTTTAGCCAGATCCTATTTGGTATGTCAAATTTTATGTTCCTTTTGATGGCGTAGAAGGCCCTTCTTGCCTTGCCTCTCAGATCGTTCACATCTTTGTGGAAGTTACCTGTGGCGCTGATGTTTAGGCCGAGGTATGTATAGTTTTTTGTGTGCTCTAGGGCAACGGTGTCTAGGTGGAATTTGTATTTGTGGTCCTGGCAACTCGACCATTATTTTTGTCTTACTGAGATTTACTGTCAGGGCCCAGGTCTGACAGAATCTGTGCAGAATATATACGTTCTGCTGTAGGACCTCCTTGGTTGGGGACAGAATTACCAGATCATCAGTAGACATTTCACTTCAGATTCTAGTAGGGTGAGGCCGGGTGCTGCAGACTGTTCTAGTGCCCTCACCAATTCGTTGCTATTTATGTTGAAGAGGGTGGGGCTCAAGCTGAATCCCTGTCTCAACCCATGGCCCTGTGGAAAGAATTGTGCGTGTTTTTTGCCCATTTTAACTGCACACTTGTTGTTGGTGTACATAGATTTTATAATGTTGTTTTTCCCCCAACACCACTTTACATTGATTTGTATAGCAGACCCTCATGCCAAATTGAGTCAATCTTTTTTTAAATCAACAAAGCATGAAAAGACTGTTTGTCAATAAAGGTGTGCATGGTGAATATGTGGTCTGTCGTACGGTAATTTGGTAAAAAGCCAATTTGACATTTGCTCAGTACATTGTTTTCACTGAGGAAATGAACTAGTCTGCGGTTAATGATAATGCAGAGTATTTTCCCAAGGTTGCTGTTAACGCATATCCCACGGTAGTTATTGGGGTCAAATTTGTGTATTGGGGTGATCAGTCCTTGTTTCCAAATATTGGGGAAGATGCCAGAGCTGATGGTGGTGTTAAAGAGTTTAAGTATATTTTATAATTTAATTTAGGATACCATCAACACCACAGGCCTTTTTGGGTTGGAGGGTTTGTATTTTGTCCTGTAGTTCATTCAATGTAAATGGAGAATCCAGTGGGTTCTGGTAGTCTTTAATAGCTGATTCTAAGATTTGCATTTGATCATGTATATGTTGTTGCTCTTTGTAATAGGGCCAAAAAGATTGGAGAAGTGGTTTATCCATACATCTCCGTTTTGGATAGATAATTATTTGTGTTTTTTTTTTTAGTGTTTTCCAATTTTCTCAGAAGTGTTTAGATACTGTGGATTTTTCAATTACATTGAGCTGATTTCTGACGCGCTGTTCCTTTTTCTGTAGTGTGTTTCTGTATTGTTTTAGTGATTCACCACAGTGAAGGCGTAGGCTGAGGTTTTCTGGGTCTCTATGTTTTTGATGGGATAGGTTTCTCAATTTCCTGCTTAGGTTTTTGGATTCTTTATCAAACCATTTGCCATTGTTTTAAATGTTCATAGGTTGTCTGCTTGAGAAAAAAACAATTGATAGGGAAGCTGAAAGGTCAAATATACTGTTTGGGCTTTCTACTGCCAAGTTTACACCTTCACTATTACAGTTAAATGTTTTGTCCAGGAAGTTGTCTAAAATGGATTGAATTTGTTGTTGCCTAATTGTTGTTTGGTAGGTTTCTACACTACTTTCCTTCCATCTATAGCGTTTCTTAATATTATTCTGTTCCTTTGGCTTTGATGCCTCATGATTGAGTATTGCTCTGTTCAAGTAGACTGTGATTTTGCTGTGATCTGATAGGGGTGTCAGTGGGCTGACTGTGAACGCTCTTAGAGACTCTGGGTTGAGGTCAGTGATAAAGTAATCCACAGTACTACTGCCAAGGAATGAGCTATAGGTGTACTTACCATGGGAGTCTCCTCGAAGCCCACCATTAACTATGTACAGACCCAGCGTGCGACAGAGCTGCAGGAGTTGTGACCCGTTTTTGTTGGTTGTTTTGTCATAGTTGTCTAGTGGACATATTTGGGAGGGAATACTGTCACCTCCAGGTAGGTGTTTGTCCCCCTGTGCTGAGGGTGTCAGGTTCTTGTCCAGTTCTGGCATTTAGGTCGCCACAGACTAGTACATGTCCCTGGGCCGCGAAATGGTTGATCTCCCCCTCTAGGATGGAGAAGCTGTCATCTTTAAAGTATGGGGATTCTATTGGGGGGATATAGGTAGCACGCAAGGACATTTTTCTCTGTGATAATTTCCTTATTAATTTCTAGCCAGATGTAAAGTGTTTGTGTTTTGACTAATTTAATAGAGTGGGTTAGGTCTGCTCTATACCAAATTAGCATACCCCCTGAGCCTCTTCCCTGTTTTACACCTGGTAGTTTGGTGGATGGGACTACCAGCTCTCTGTAACCTAGAGGGCAACCAGTGGGTCCATCTCCTCTATACCATGTTTCTTGTAGGATGACAATGTCGGTATTTCCATTATCTTTGATGAAGTCTGGGCTCCTATTCTTTAGGCCAAAGGCAGATGACCTCAGACCTTGTATATTCCAGGATGAGATGGTAAATGCTTCTCCCCCCCCCTCCCCCCCTCAGGCTGCAGATAGCCCAGGAGGAGCACCGTACGGTGGAAGTGGAGAAGGTGAACCTGGAACAGAAGCTGAGGGATGAGATCAACTGTGCCAAGCAGGAGGCCCAGCGCCTCAAGGAGCTCCGCGAGGGCACAGAGAACGAGCTGAGTAGGCAGAAATACGCAGAGGAGGAGCTGGACCAGGTACTGGACTGAACCACTTTGGGGAGGGACGGGGGTGGAGAACAAATGCATGTGGATGAGATAGGGGGAATTAGTCTAGTGGGATACTTCTTGAGAAACAAGGTGTGGTTGAGGCCAGTGACATGATCCTGTAGAGTAAAGCCCAAGAGGATAGACAATCCAACTGACTGAACCCTGTTAACCACTCTATGTTCTAGGGAGCCAGCTATACATTTAGATGGATCAGATACAGAATGCTATCAGTAGGAATAACTCCCACTCAGCTCTTTGCCCATCAGGGAAATGGCAGGAGAAGAAGCAGCGGTCGGCCCACACAGGGCAGGTGAGCAGAGGGCTCACGTTGTGTACTCTCTCATCAATCCACTACTATCACTATGGTCTCCTGAGAACACTGCAGTCTGCTGGAGGATCTGATTTCAGTTCTCAATATGACTAGAGAAAGGACCTGAGATGGCTCCCTCCTTTTAGTCTTTTTAGCATACGTGCCTACGAAGAGTTTTTGTTTTTATGTAGCCTACTTCCTGCAAAGAATCCAGCTCAGAATGTTTTCATATGACGTAATGATTAGATTCACAGCTCCTGACTGCAAGCAGGGCCCATTGCACACTAATCCAAGGCCTAGTTCTTCAGAGGATTTGGAATGCTCATTTCATCTGGAGGGTTTCTCTGGAGGCCTGTTGTCTTGTTGTCGTGTCCCAGTGGAGGTCAAACCAGGTCAGCCCTCATGTCTGCCTGATCAGAAAAGAGAACCACTCTGATGTCACATGGCCCCATATACAGCCCTATCTCTCCCTGTGCACATGGCTTGCAGGCCTCCTGCTCCCCTGGCTGGCCCAGTGCTGCTCCATTAAGGCTTGGCAGTGATTGAGTCTAAGGGTGGCGGGGTGGCTCTGGGCTGATTTGCACAGCTCTTAATGAGGCTGTCTGGAGACAAAGAGAGCGCTAGCTTTCACGAGCCAATGAGATCACGTTTCCCTCTCCCACCTCCCCATCCAAGTTCACATCATGGTCCAGAGAGACAGTGTGGGAATGACACACTTGTGCTTAACCACATTGACTTTTAGCGTGAAGACTTTGGTGTGTTCTTTTCACTGCTGTATTGAGTCAGAAGAAGTTATGTGCTGTAGGTTGACTTCTGGTCTTTGTGACCTGTGTGTGTGTCTGTGTGGTGTGTGTCTGTGTGTGTGTGTGTGTGTGTGCGCTGCAGGTGCGCATGGCCCTGAAGAAGGCAGAGAAGGAGCTGGAGTCTCGCTGCAGCTGGTCCCCACCAGAGTCCCTCCAGAAGTGGCTGCAGCTCACCCATGAGGTGGAGGTGCAGTACTACAACATCAAGAAGCAGAACGCTGAGAAGCAGCTGCTGGTGGCTAAAGAAGGGGTGAGACGCCACGTGACTCCATATACCGTATGAGGACTAGATATACCGTATGAGGACTAGATATACCGTATGAGGACTAGATATACCGTATGAGGACTAGATATACCGTATGAGGACTAGATATACCGTATGAGGACTAGATATACCGTATGAGGACTAGATATACCGTATGAGGACTAGATATACCGTATGAGGACTAGATATACTGTATGAGGACTCGATATACTGTGAGGACTCGATATACTGTATGAGTAGGGCCAGGAGATTTCCCTGTCCATGTGAGCAGGAGAAACTCTGGACCCTTAGTGTGACAGAACCGGAGAGTCATGTTTTATCGTGTGTGTGTGACTGCAGGCAGAGAAGATCAAGAAGAAGCGGAACACCATCTTTGGGACCTTCCATGTGGCACACAGCTCCTGTCTGGACAATGTGGATCACCAAATTCTGACAGCCAAGTGAGTTTAATTAAAGTATTAATTAAATGTATTGGGATTTGTCTAAAGCCAATATCTCCTATATCTATGTTCACATTGTGATCTGTGTTTGTGTTCCTCTGTCCTCCTCCTCCCCCCCGTCTCCCTCTCCTCTCCTCCGGTCCAGACAAGCCCTGGGTGAGGTGACTGCTGCTCTGAGGGAGAGGCTGCATCGCTGGCAGCAGATTGAGATTCTGACGGGGTTCACCATCGTCAACAACCCTGGGCTGTCCTCCCTGGCCTCCACCCTGAACCCTGACCCCAGTATCATGGGCGGCCGGGCCACGCCCCAGCACTTCATTATGTCTGATGACATGGACGACTTGGACGAGGACATCATATCGCCCGGAACTCTGCAATGTAAGGGCTCGACCGACTCCCTCGGCCCCACTGTGGGACTCAGTAGCAGAATACCCCCTAAATACACCAAGGGCCTCCTGGGGAAATCCAAAAGTCAACTCTCATATGAAAATTAGCACACATAAAATATTATCATTAACGATTTATCAACGATTCTATGAATTTACAAAATGAGCGACCCTGTTGGTGAAGGGATTCAGGGTGTTTGTCTTTGATTGAGAGTGTTGTGTAATTGTAATTTCACCAGTTTTATATACATGTTTTCAGTTGGTTATTATGTTCCATTTTGGAAATTGGTGTTGCCTTGATATATGGGAATTTCACTTCTGGGATGGAGTGTAAGATGAGAACAAGGTGAATAATGTTGATATCCCATGCTGTAAAAATGAACCTCTGAAGAAATACATACTTCATGACAACAAATCTTTGTGCTGATCTGTTTTTAGCAGTTTTCGCCTAGTATGACCAATTGAATGTGCTGTTAGGACACGGCTGAAATGAAGGACTGAACATGAAGTAATAGTAAGCAATATCAAAGGTCATTGTCCTCCAGTATCCTATAAGCTTTATAAGGCTTTAGCTTTGATCTAGGCCTATATTTGGGAAAGAGGAAGGCACAATGGTGCACACACTCCCAAGTAAAACAGTCTTCCTTGTAGTGCTGCCCGGAAGAAAGTTAGCTTTATCTCCTCACATAGAGCCTTGCTTTCTATTGTGTTGAGGTCATGTAATTCCCCTGTGGGTACATTTTAGTGCATTTGGAAAGTGTTCAGACCCCTTGACTTTTTCCACATTTTGTTACGTTACAGCCTTATTCTAAAATGGATTACATTGGGTGGGTTTTCTAATCAATCTACACACAATACCACATAATGACAAAGCAAAAACAGGTTTTTAGAAATGTTTGCTAATTTATTAAAAATACAAAACTAATATTACATTTAGTATTCAGACCCTTTACTCAGTACTTTGTTGAAGCACCTTTGGCAGCGATTACAGCCTTGAGTCTTCTTGGGTATGACACTACAAGCTTGACACCTTTATTTGGGGAATTTCTCAAATTCTTCTCTGCAGATCCTGTCAAGCTCTGTCAGGTTGGATGGAGAGCGTTGCTGCACAGCTATTTTCAGGTCTCCAGAGATGTTAGATCGGGTTCAAGTCTGGGCTCTGGCTGGGCCACTCAAGGACATTCAGAGACTTGTCCCGAAGCCCCTCCTGCATTGTCTTGGCTGTGTGCTTAGGGTCGTTGTCCTGTTGGAAGGTGAACCTTCGCCCCAGTCTGAGGTCCTGAGCACTCTGGAGCAGGTTTTCATCAAGGATCTCTCTGTACTTTGCTCCGTTCATCTTTCCCTCGATCCTGACTAGTCTCCCAGTCCCTGCCGCTGAAAAACATCCCCACAGCATGATGCTGCCACCACCATGCTTCACCGTATGGATGGTGCCAGGTTTCCTCCAGACGTGACGCTTACCATTCAGGCCAAAGAGTTCAATATTGGTTTCATCAGACCAGAGAATCTTGTTTCTCATGGTCTGATAGTCCTTTAAGTGCCTTTTGGAAAACTCCAAGAGTCTTGGTGGTTCCAAACTTCTTCCATTTAAGAATGATGGAGGCCACTGTGTTCTTGGGGACCTTCAATGTTGCAGACATTTTTTGGTACCCTTCCCCAGACCTGTGCCTCGACACAATCCTATCTCGGAGCTCTACAGACAATTCCTTCGACCTGATGGCTTGGTTTTTGCTCTGACATGCACTGTCAACTGTGGGACCTTAAATAGACAGGTGTGTGCCTTTCCAAATCATGTCCAATCAATTGAATTTACCACAGGTGGACTCCAATCAAGTTGTAGAAACATCTCAAGGATGATCAATGGAAACAGGATGCACCTGAGCTCTATTTCGAGTCTCATAGTAAAGGGTCTGAATACTTATGTAAATAAGGTATTTTATTTTATATGCATTTGCAAAAAAATAAAACACTGTTTTCGCTTTGTCATTATGGGGTATTGTGTGTAGATTGCTGAGGATTTTTCTTTATTTAATCAATTTTAGAATAAGACTAGAACGTAACAAAATGTGGAAAAAGTCAAGTGGTCTGAATACTTTCTGAATGCACTGTATCACCTTGTTTCAGCCACTAAGGAATTAAATACTCAGGGTTTCTGCTTTTGAAATGGAGAATTACAGCTTTTATTAACCAGTTACGATCTCAAAGGGAGTTATGATGCAAACATACTTTAGTTCTTATGTCTATTCCTAGTCTTGTGGTAACCTAAATGTATTATATTTATCACAACATAATGTTGACATATAATGTCAATCAATGTGTACTATGGTCTCCTGGTACCCATCTCTGATGAGCTCTACTGGGCAGTATTTGGATTATGATTGTAGCAGACCCAGAGAGAAGGGCTGATACTAACTGTCTGGGTTATGATTGTAGCAGACCCAGAGAGAAGGGCTGATAACTGTCTAGGTTATGATTGTAGCAGACCCAGAGAGAAGGGCTGATACTAACTGTCTGGGTTATGATTGTAGCAGACCCAGAGAGAAGGGCTGATAATAACTGTCTGGGTTATGATTGTAGCAGACCCAGAGAGAAGGGCTGATAATAACTGTCTGGGTTATGATTGTAGCAGACCCAGAGAGAAGGGCTGATAATAACTGTCTGGGTTATGATTGTAGCAGACCCAGAGAGAAGGGCTGATAATAACTGTCTGGGTTATGATTGTAGCAGACCCAGAGAGAAGGGCTGATAATAACTGTCTGGGTTATGATTGTAGCAGACCCAGAGAGAAGGGCTGATAATAACTGTCTGGGTTATGATTGTAGCAGACCCAGAGAGAAGGGCTGATAATAACTGTCTGGGTTATGATTGTAGCAGACCCAGAGAGAAGGGCTGATAATAACTGCAGGGGTAAGCTGAGCTCTAGTTCTGCAGTCTCCTTCTAGAGTTCTGTCACTGCAGTCCTCTAGTAAGTATTCTAATCCACATGAATAACACTTCCCTTCTCTCCCCCCACCAACACTTTCTCTTTGGTTTTTGGCTGCAGCTGCCATTCGTGTCTCTGGTCGACCCCCAGACACCAACTGCCTCAAGGACCGACGAGCGAGTGATCTGTGGTCCGTGGCTTCGGACAGCCAGTCCCTCAGGAAATACTCTGGTTGGCCTGTTAGCTACTCATACCCCCTCGTCCTGACCTCAACACTCTCCTCTCCTCTCTCTCTCGCTCTCTCTCACCCACCCCTGTCAAAGCCTCACAGAGCACATATTGTAACAATCTGGCCTGGGGCAGGGGTCTGTAGATGGATATAGCTGTAACACTCTGGCCTGGGGCAGGGCCTGTAGATGGATATAGCTGTAACACTCTGGCCTGGGGCAGGGCCTGTAGATGGATATAGCTGTAACACTCTGGCCTGGGACAGGGCCTGTAGATGGATATAGCTGTAACACTCTGGCCTAGGGCAGGGCCTGTAGATGGATAAGGCACTGTCCATGCTGTGTCCACGTACACCTGGCCGTCTCCAACTGTCCAATGACTTGCTCTTTTTTCTCAACCTGATCCTCATCTTCTTCCTCATCACCCAGAGAACTCTTCCACTCACCAGTGACTAATGCGCTTAGACCCTCTCACAACATACGGGCACTGTCTGATTTTACAAATGAAGGGGGAAGGATTGGTTATGATGAAATATTTCACTTTTGTCCCGCCTGCAAGAATTCTCACCAGATACCAGCCAAACGTCTCACCAGACACCAGCCAAACGTCTCACCAGACACCACCTATCCCTCCTGTTCTCTTGTTTTTTAAGTTAATACTATGGCATAGCTAAGGCCTATGTGTTTGAACATCAGATATTTTGCATCCATCACTTGCATTTCTTCCAACCAAATGTTACTGAAGTGCTCAAAACAGATTTCAACAACACCAATTCAGTACTGAAATGTCTTCTGCTACTGCCCTCCCAGTCTAATTCCAACCTACTCTTTTTCCCTCACCCTGTGTGTTATGTATAATCGGAGAGTGGTTGTTGATAATGGTGTTGTTCTGTGTTGTGTCCACAGCTCCCAGTATGATGTCCCTGCGTCAGCGCCACATGGACTCCCAGCTGGCCATGGGCTCCCAGAGGTTGGTAGAGACCTGCCTGTTGGCGGGGCAGCAGGGAGACGGCACCTCCTACCCATCCAGGTCTAGGGCCCCCCTTCAACAGTCACACAACCAGTCCTTCCAACAGTTTGAGGCTCTCCCCCTGCCTCCCTTGTCCTCGGCTGTCTCGCACCCTTCCATCATCTGCTCTTACCGTCAGCCCCACTCCTCCTCCTCCTCCTCCTTACACTCCACCTCTCCTCATTCCTCCAATGTCTATCACTCGTCTTATTTTCAGCCCATGGACACCATCCCAGACTTCCAGCGTAGCAGCAGCTTCGGGTACCCCTCTGCTCTCTTCTCTCCACACGCACCGCATGCGCCTGGTCTTTTCTCCCAGCCTACTTTTTCACCCCATAGTTTGACCCATAGTTTTCTCATTTTCATTAACGATAGTTTCATCTGACTATAACTCACCCATTTTCAACCTTCTTTTGCATTATTACTTTTCTTTTAAAATCCATTTTGTTGTTTTATTCAGTCTTTCATATTTGAGTTTTTGCCATCCACTCCCAATCCTTGTCTTTCCCGATAGCCCAAACAACCCTGCCCCCTGCCTGCACTACTAACAGGAGTGGAGTTCCAGTTTCCCAGTAGTGCCCACAGTGTCCTTGGCTTTATAGGCATTGTATAGATTACCTCCAGCATACAGTGCTTTTGCTTGGATCCACTTTTCAGTCAGGCTCAGTGCAGAAACAACCCCTCTACCCCATAGGTATCCCATAGTTCTGAAAGGATTAGAAAGGTGTAAGCATTCCATCTGGTGGTAAACAAATCCACCTAGCCTATCAGAGGGGGAAATGGAGCTACTACCATTGCTTATATCTGTCCAGTTATTTCAGATCTACTTGAAGTGCCTAGGTGGGAGAGGCTATAGAATGTCTCTGGACCGTTCCACATCGTCCCACTCTTCCTCTCTTCTGTTCTTCTACAGGGATCTGAACCGCTCCGACTCAGACTCCTCCCTGTGCCTCTCCCAAATCGGTGATCGTCTGTCTGCCTACAGCTCCAAGGGCCACCCGGTGAAACCCACCTCCTTCCTGTATGGCCCCCCTGTCCGCTCCGCCTCAGACGAGCCCGCCCTGAATGCCCACACCCCTAACGGAGGGAACCGTGTCCACGAGGGAGGAGCCCATGCCGAGCCAGTCCCAGAGAGCCCCATCCTGATGAAGAAGGTGTACAGCATCGAGAAGTCAGCCAGCCTGGGAGAGATGGATGTTGGCCTCGTCGGTATGTCCATGTCAGAGTCCTCCTGCTCCCTCAGCCTCAACTCCACCGACGTCGACACCCCCTCCCCCACGGGGGGTCAGCCTGGGGTCGCAGGGGCCAAGGGCAGCAGCCGCATCCCTCAGCTCTCCTCCAAGAAGAGCCCTCTGGAAGAAGACAGCGGCTCCACGGGAGAAGACACAGATTCCGTCGCCAGCCGCAAGAAACACACCTTCAAGATCTTCAAAAAACAGAGGAAATAATGAGGAAGGCTACTAAAGACTATTAAAGAGGTCAAAGGTGTTTCACTTGTTATTATTTCTGTTTTGGAGAAGTTGTTTTGGGTAGTTCACTGGTCACAAGCGATGGCACAAATCTTTGCCTTTACGGTTTTGTAGGTACTTTCTCTGAGGAACTGTGGGAGCAACCAGCTATTCGATTATATGATTTTTATCCTGATGATGTTGGCAATGGATGGTATTGTATAGTGGAATGTAACGCACTATTTATTTAGCAGGAAAGTGTGCCAGTCTCTGAGGGAAAGAAGTCTCCTGGGTGGATGTGTTCTGTTTTACTTCAACCTGTGTCCGTTTGCATGTCTTCACCTTTGTTGGACTGAAATTCTCTGAATGCTCTTCGGTGTTTGCTTGGTTCTTGTCCCCATTCTGCTTAGACAACACTTAAAAACTCTGCTGTTTCTTGTCGTTAATCCCCAACCACCTCCTTGTTATGTGTCAGATGGACTTTGAGCACTTAATGGCAGTCAGTGTTGGTCAATGGTGGGGAGGGGGGGGGGGCGCTAAAAAGGGCTGAACAATACTTGCAAAAACCTCGAGTCAATTGTGCTAAAACAAAATCTAGCAGTCAATGTTGGCAGAACTCTTCCAGTACAACTGCAGACACCGCAACACACACACGGGAAAAACATTTCCCTGGGATGGTGCACCTTTAGAAGTAGAAGTGATAACTTGATTTAAACCCCTTGAAGACCCCAGCACATACAAAGCTGCAGCAAAATAAGTAGCCTGTGTAACAGAGACAGAAGTAATTGTCCGAGATCTAAGTTCCCTAATAGAGGGGAAAGTTATTAAAAGGACTACTTTAACTATATGAATTTCATATCAATGTAAAATGTTTATCGAAGTAAACATCTACATTTGCCAATCATATCAATCTACTTTGTGATTTAAAGAGAGATCACGTGAATCATTATGAGTGCTGGAGGCAGATGTTGGAGATGCTAATCTTTTGTGCCAAAACAAAGACTCTGGTCCAGTGGCCTTTATTCTTGTCATCAACTATATGTGTGCTGTCTGTTGTACGTTAGAGGCAGCGTTAGATTGGGTAGCACTGCCTTCCGTTTTTAATCTGGGGACTCCGAACAAAAATAAGGTGATCGATTTGACATTGTCACCCACAACATTTCAAGCAGGGAGTTTCAGGCAGCATTTGTATTTCGAAGACTCCCAAGTTGTGTGTAGAGAATTTTGGAGAAGGTGTTTGCTGCTGTTGCTTGTACTGTAGATTACCCTGATCACCTATATTCACATTATACAGCTCCAAAGTCAAGTACACAATAACAGTAATGGTATCTATCGGTCACAATTATAAACTCACTTGCCATGAATTGTTTTGTTTGAGCAAAAATGGTTTAGAAAAGGATGTCACGATGCATTCGGGTAGTAGGGACTCTCCTATAACTTCCTAAGCAATGAACCTGCTCGACTGCTCCTGAATCTGTGTAACAACCAAAGCAGTGCTGAAAACAACACCTTCGCCACCCCACTGGAGGCCTCTCACAGTGTGGTTGATGGGATGGATGAAAAAGAAATGCCATTTTCTTTCATTGATCAGTTGAAAACATGGACTTCCTGTTGGTACCTTTTTAAGGTGCCATTTGCACCTCTTCTGCACGATGAAGCTGTAATGTGGAGTATGATGTCTATCAGTGAGTGTCTGCTGTCAGTATACTGCACTGACTTGTATTGATGCATGACGGCTGCTGTATTAACTAACATCTGTAATGGGCTTGAGGCGGAGATCAACTAGAGGGTTCTTGACTCTCCGTCCACACCTACTTAAACCCCAACTTCTCATTTTGAGCTTCTATTTATGAATACATATTTGTACAGAGAAAAATAATAATTTTTGCATCTTCAGTGACGTTCTCTCTAGACTTTTATGGCACTCCTGCATGATAGCAATAAACTCTTTTGAATGAAAGACGTGGCCTTTGTTTTGGGGATGGTGACACCAACACGCATAACAGTAGCAAGGTATGAGCTGTTATCACAGGTTTCCTGGAGTAATTGGCACTTCATAATGAACAGAAATGACACAATGGGATTTTTACATTTATCATATGTGTTGTTGTTTTTTTAAATTTCTTATCCCTCTAGTTCACAGTAAACCACAAGCGCAATATGTATTAAATGTGTGAACATTTTTGAATTCCGTAACAAATTCAGAGGGAATTTAGTGGAGTTGACTGCACCCATCTCTCAAATAATCCATCAATCTATTGGTCACATGATGCGTCTGATTGCGCAGCGCTAACCGGTGGAGCGGTGTGTGTGCATTTATTCCAATATTTACGTAAGCACTTGTTTCACTTGTGGACAAAGCAGGATGCAGTGGTGGAAAAAGTACCCAACAGTCATACTTGAGTAAAAGTAAAGATACCTTAAAAGATTACTCAAGTAAAAGTGAAAGTCACCCAGTAAAATACTACTTGAGTAAAAGTCTAAAAGTATTTCGTTTTAAATATACTTAAGGATCAAAAGTCAATGTAATTGCTAAAATATACTTAAGTATCAAAAGTAAAAGTATAAATAATTTCAAATTCCTTATATAAAGCAAACCAGACGGCAACATTTTCTTGTTTTTTATTTATTTACGGATAGCCAGGAGCATGCTCCTACACTTAGACATAATTTACAAACAAATCTTTAGTGAGTCTGCCAGATCAGGGGCAGTAGGGATGACCAGGGATGTTCTCTTGATAAGTGTTTAAATTAGACAATTTTCCTGTCCTGCTAAGCATTCAAAATGTAACGAGTACTTTTGGGTGTCAGAGAAAAAAGTACAATATTTTCTTTGGGAATGTAGTGAAGTAAAAGTAGTCAAAAATATAAATAGAGAAGTAAAGTACAGATACCCCAAAAAAACGACTTAAGTAGTACTTTAAAGTATTTTTACTTAAGTACTTTACACCACTGGCAGGATGTTAGTCCGGGTTCTCTTCATTGAAACTTTTTCTCAGGTTTCTTCCATTTACATTAACATTACATTTACGTCATTTAGCAGACGCTCTTATCCAGAGCGACTTACAAATAGGTGCATTCACCTTATAGCCAGTGGGATAACCCCTTTTTTTTTTTTTTGGGTGGGGGTGGGTTGGAGTAAGGGGGGGGGGGGGGTAGAAGGATTACTTTATCCTATCCCAGGTATTCCTTAAAGAGGTGGGGTTTAAAATGTCTCCGGAAGGTGGTGAGTGACTCCGCTGTCCTGGCGTCGTGAGGGAGCTTGTTCCACCATTGGGGTGCCAGAGCAGCGAACAGTTTTGACTGGGCTGAGCGGGAACTGTGCTCCCGCAGAGGTAGGGGAGCCAGCAGGCCAGAGGTGGATGAACGCAGTGCCCTCGTTTGGATGTAGGGACTGATCAGAGCCTGAAGGTACGGAGGTGCCGTTCCCCTCACAGCTCCGTAGGCAAGCACCATGGTCTTGTAGCAGATGCGAGCTTCAACTGGAAGCCAGTGGAGTGTGCGGAGGAGCGGGGTGACGTGAGAGAACTTGGGAAGGTTGAACACCAGACGGGCTGCGGCATTCTGGATGAGTTGTAGGGGTTTAATGGCACAGGCAGGGAGCCCAGCCAACAGCGAGTTGCAGTAATCCAGACGGGAGATGACAAGTGCCTGGATTAGGACCTGTGCCGCTTCCTGTGTAAGGCAGGGTCGTACTCTCCGAATGTTGTAGAGCATGAACCTACAGGATCGGGTCACCGCCTTGATGTTAGCGGAGAACGACAGGGTGTTGTCCAGGGTCACGCCAAGGCTCTTCGCACTCTGGGAGGAGGACACAACGGAGTTGTCAACCGTGATGGCGAGATCATGGAACAGGCAGTCCTTCCCCGGGAGGAAGAGCAGCTCCGTCTTGCCAAGGTTCAGCTTGAGGTGGTGATCCGTCATCCATACTGATATGTCTGACAGACATGCAGAGATGCGATTTGCCACCTGGTTATCAGAAGGGGGAAAGGAGAAGATTAGTTGTGTGTCGTCAGCGTAGCAATGATAGGAGAGGCCATGTGAGGATATGTGACAGGTGACTTGGTGTATAGCGAGAATAGGAGAGGGCCTAGAACTGAGCCCTGGGGGACACCAGTGGTGAGAGCACGTGGTGCGGAGACAGCTTCTCGCCACGCCACTTGGTAGGAGCGACCGGTCAGGTAGGACGCAATCCAAGAGTGAGCCGCGCCGGAGATGCCCAGCTCGGAGAGGGTGGAGAGGAGGATCTGATGGTTCACAGTATCAAAGGCAGCAGACAGGTCTAGAAGGACAAGAGCAGAGGAGAGAGAGTTAGCTTCTTCCAGTCAAAACCTTTTTCAAACTAGATTTGACTATATGGTATTTTATTTGCATTGGTACTGCTAACCTTTTAATTTGATTGATTTTAGTGTTTGTCTTTCGTGTGCTAAAAACATTTAAACCTACATTTTATTGAGCAGCCATCGTCTTAAACAAATTTAACACCCCCACACTTGGACCATGAACATAACTTAGTGTTTATTACTGTTTCACCTCAGTTTACAGGTAGGCAATGTACTATATCTTCAAAATACCCTTCATACCTGCACACAGTAATGTTTCAATTTAGGCGCTTAATTTTAAAGAAATGGATCAACTTTTGATGTACATACTATTTTCCTGGCTTTCCTCTTCTCCCTCCACACAGATGGATTGTTGTTCAGGTCATGTGATGCCCCCCCCCCCAGCTGAGCCAGTGTCTGACTACTTCCTGAAAGTGTTGCACTCCTGTTCTAACCCAGCTGTGGTGCTGGTGGAGTGTCTGGTCTCTTATGACACTGGAGTAAACGTCACGGTATTCCAGAGACACTGGAGCTATGAGCCGGGTCCGGACTGGTATAGGACTCTGCTACTGAGCCTCCCTTACAGGCTGGTGTACCAGCCTGACTGGGCTGTGTCCGACACTCCGTGGGTGATCGGCGGGATGCTGCGTGCCTGCGTCAGTGAGGAGGGATCTGAGGACAGTTACATGCCAGCCCAGGCCACTGCAGTGGTCAGCTTGCAGCCCACACCCCCTAAAGCAGCATCAAGTCTGCCCTGGCTGGGCTACACAGATGCTGTGGCTAACCCGCAGTACCACCACTGCAAAATGCCCCGTGGAACAAGGGAATTACTGTAGTGTAGAGTTAGTTTGAAAAATGTCAGTCCACATTCATACATTAGTTGACAATACAAAATGAAGATATTTAAAACCACATTGTGGACTACTCAAGTAGAGTTTTGAGACACTAAAATCAGTCATAGTCAAACAAGGTATAGAAGTGTAGGACATCTGTCAGTCAGTCATTCATTTTCAACATATTTAGGCTATGAACTATAACAAATGTAATGCAAACCTTTATATCCATTTATCCAGCATCTCTCCTTTTATCACAAAATAATCTCCTGTTCAGAGACGGTCCATTTGTTGTCGTCCATGTATGCCTCAACTGGAGAGAACTTTGGCATCACCAAGACATTAAATGCCTATTGCAACGAGGTCCTGGAGTACTTGCGGCTCCAATCTATTTATTTTCCATGGTAAGGCCACCACGTAGTTTGTATGTGCGTGCTAAAAGACGTGGGCTTCGTGTTGGGGGATATTAATATAGGATGATATTTGATACTTTTATTCTCCCCTGTTGCCAGGTGTGTGTTCTCCACCTAGGTATTCCTGGATGGAGAACGTGTATCTTTCACCACATAGACTACCAATATAACTATGCCTGTTCCTTAAAAGTTCAGGTAACATAAGACAGAAATGCTCTTCTATCCTCACTTCTCAAATGGTCAGATGCATAATTATACCACTATATTGACTATTTCTTATTTTTACTGTGTTCTGCAGGCCAGCTGCATGTCCAGATGCATGGGGAGTCTGGGAGGTCCTCAGCTTTCCTCTGCCCATTCCAGGTGCCCCTGGCCCAGTGGTGCCACGTCAACATGGAGCTGCGTGGCAGAACGGTCAGTATTAACCCCTACCCACAATAGACAGGAAATCAGTGTCAACCTGTTCCCTATTTCAGGATTCTAACCGGTATAGTAGTACACTGTTGGTGTACTATCGTAACAAAATACCTGACGTCAGGACGGTAAGAATCACAGTCAGACACATCCAAATCCATCTGTAGTTAGACAAAACATGTTACACCTGTATTCTCTTGTCTCCCACAGTCTGAAGTCGTTGTTCCAGACCATATTAGGAGTCTGAATTTGACTGGATGGCTACAGTCCTGTCAGGAGTTTCAGTTGGAGCTTCATGTCAAATTGACTGGATATTTACCGAGAGCCAGAGAGAAACAAGAGTCTGGTAATGATGTGTAACATCCACTAGATGGCATGATGGTGTATAAAATATTCAGTGGCTCGCAAAGTTAGTGTCACTCTCCATCCAAACTAACACTACCACTGTTTTCCATAGAACTGTATGGATGCTTATCATGAGCGGACATTACAAAATATCATCCAGCTGTGACACCACACTGTGAACCCTGGGAGGCACCCAGTGCCCCTCAAAGACGCTATGCAGTACAACTGGCGAAGCTACCGGCCTCCAAGCATGGTAAGATCTGGTTATAACGATAAATATACTCTTCTACAACTATTTTAACCTCCGAAGGCATCACACCAGCTAACACCATTAATACCATGTAATGAGGATGTTGAAATATCTCTAATGTTATTGTTTATACTGTATACCCAGGTGGCAGAAATGTTAATCTGGCATCAGTGGGCAGGGCTCTGTACTCCTTGTCTCTGCGTAAGCTGCGTCAAGAGAGCACTGGATCCACTGGGGTAGTTAACAGGATAATGGCCCCTCTGCTGCAAGCTGGCTGTCTGGGGAACTACAGAGCTCTACACCTGTCATCAGAGTTCTACACCTGTCATCAGAGCTCTACACCTGTCATCAGAGCTCTACACCTGTCATCAGAGCTCTACACCTGTCATCAGTGCTCTACACCTGTCATCAGTGCTCTACACCTGTCATCAGAGCTCTACACCTGTCATCAGAGCTCTACACCTGTCATCAGAGCTCTACACCTGTCATCAGAGCTCTACACCTGTCATCAGAGCTCTACACCTGTCATCAGAGCTCTACAGCGGTGGTGTAGGAGGGGAGAAGCAGCCCAATAAGGAATAAGGTGGGTGAATGAGTGTGTGTATTCAGGTGTCTGTCTTCATGACTGGGGCCAGGAGTTTATTTATACGTTGCATGTCTGGGGGGACCCAGTGTCCATGTAAAACTACGCCATAGTCCTCATGCAGGTCCAAGGTGAAACACTCAGTTTCATGACACAGTCAGTCTCTATAGTCATTTTAAGTTCAGTGATAGTAATGTCTAGCCTATTTTGACAATACCATCATTACGTTTAAGGGCCAAGGAGTCGAGAAAGACATTCCAAGGGCAGTCACTTTCCTGAAGAAAGCAGTAGAGCAGGTTGGTCCAAATTATGTTCTGAACTTTATCATTATGCGTGGATTGTAGGACTAAAATGACACCTTCACAATTGCTCATCATACCATTCTATCCCACAGGGTTTCACGCCAGCGATCAACGCCCTTGGCTGGTACTATGAGCAGTTTGAGAAGGACCACCAGCGGGCAGTGCAGCTGTGGGAACAGGCTGATAAACAAGGCAGCTCAGATGCTGCTATGAATCTGGGTGTCATGAACTCCCAAGGCCTGTATCCTGGGAAAGCAGCAGGCAAGGTCAGGTCAACTGTCAGTATATCCTGTGGTCCCCTACGTAACTTACACACTGACCGAGATCTAATCTACTGGACTGAGGTAATAAACCAGCTGTGTTTTGTCTATCCCAGTTCATGGCCTATACCTACTACCTGAAGAAACCTGGATGGCTCCATTCAGCTGGCTGATGTGTGGACCACAGGGATGCCCAGGCGAGTCCAGAGGCGTCCTGCAGATGCCCTATTGCTAGTCACTAAATCATTTTATTTTTTTTAAAAATCTGATTACAACATTATTTTTGCACTGCTTGCCAACCACTCTGTTTTGACCGCAGATGGGTTAAGTGGGCAGCTGAACACAATGGACACCTTGGAATGGTCCTCAGGAAGGCCTTGGATTCCTATTTTGAAGGGGATAGGTGACCATCTCCCTTGTTAGAACATTACATGAATACACTCATTTGTAATGTTTGTTATTGTATTCACCTAATTTCTCTAACTGTTTTACAGCTTAATGGCATTGTTGTATTACATGATGGCAGCTGAGTCAGGATTTGCAGCCACCCAGTTCAATGTGGCGTACTTACAGTGCATTCGGAAAGTATTCAGACCCCTTGACTTTTTCCACATTTTGTTACGTTACAGCCTTATTCTAAAACCGATTAAATAAATTTTTTCCCTTCATCAATCTACACACAATACCCCATCATGATGAAACAAAAACAGGTTTTTAGATTTTTTTGCAAAATACATTAGTAATAAAAAGGAACTATCACATTTACATAAATATTCAGGGTAGGGAATGGCCGGCAGGGATGTGGCTCAGTTGGTAGAGCATGGCGTTTGCAACGCCAGGGTTGTGGGTTCGATTCCCACGGGGGGCCAGTATGAAAAATAAAATAGCTAGGTGTAGCAGTGGTAAGGTGTTGGGACTGCTGTTGGGACTCTGCTGTTGGGACAGCTTTATGTAGGCCCTAACAGTTTGTGGGAACCGTTTGTCATCGTTATAGTGCAATTCATGTATTGTTTAGTGTTGTGTAGTGGCTTTGCTGGCATGCATCCCCAATTTTTGTTTGTTTGTTTGCCCCACCAAGATGTACATGCTAAAATCGCCACAGCATGATGCTGCCACCACCATGCTTCACCGTAGGTTTCCTCCAGACGTGACGGTGGAGTGCTGCAGAGATGGCTGTCCTTCTGGAAGGTTCTCCCATCTGTGAAGAAAACCCTGTGAGTTGGATTGGTTAAACTTGTTTCCACAGTGCTGATGTACAGTATCAATGCATAACTACAACTATATCAATGAGTGACACACATGTAGTTATAACTGACCTTTCCAATAGGGAGGTTTCCTGGATCCCAGGTTCGCAGTGTATGAGGAGAAACTACAACCTGGCCATCCAGACACAACATCCTGATCCCTACGATGTATTGTCTTTAACATAAACAGTCTGCATTGACTCTGTCATTGCACTTTTCTTAGCGAGATGGTATTAATATTATCTCCATCCATCCTCTCCAGCCCTGGTCAGGATGGGTGACCTGCTGTGTGAAGGACATGAGCCGGGACAGAGAGATGTTGCAGCAGAGATGTACAAACAGACAGCACTAAGGAGTGACCCAGGTCACATACATGTGATGCCATTGCCATCTCATTCAAGAAATGCCGTCCCACTAATCTGCCACCCTTGTGTGTGTCTGCATGCTTTTTTCTCACAGAGCTGGTACAGTCTTGATGTGCTTGTTCAAGAGGAACAGGGGTTGCCGTTGTCCGTCCTGTCTGAACTGGGTCTGACACAGCATTACATGGCAGACAACACTGAGCTGGTGACTACACTTTACCGCAGGTATGTACTTTGGTCCTGTACACCATTCACAACATGCAACTGCCATGCATCCTACCTGAGAGTATGATGGTATATTATTGTCAACTGGTTAGGCTGTTCTCACTGTACAATTCCTATACTTTTCCATAGGTTCTAGAGACTCCAAAGGCACAGCTGAGTCCTACTTGCCCTGCAGTCTTACGCTATTCAGTGCCTATCTGCAGTCTTTCCAAAACTACTATCAATGTATGCATGATGTTGTAACATTGAACTTGTAGTATTCAACATAGATGTACAGTATGATATGAACATTGATATTGGTCTGTCTTTTCTCCCTCAGGTCTCTGGTACTGCAGTTGCAGTTCCACCAATCCTCGTCATCATCCTCCGTGTTTTCAGGAGGTGTGGCATCATGTCTTATCATCACTATGATCAGGAAGTCCATCAGCCTATCATGTATTATCAGCATTAGGACCAGGAAGTCCATCAGCCTATCATGTCTTATCATCACTAGGATCAGGAAATGCATCAACCTATCATGTCTTATTATCACTAGGATCAGGAAGCCCATCAGCCTATTGGCACAATAAGGAAGATGACTTGACTGTATCAGGAACAACTCCCAGGAAGCAATTTTTTTCACAGATTGTATTCTCATTTGACAGATTTTGTTTTTATAGCTAAATGTAAATTGTTTTTGTGTTTTTATCTTTGTTTTATCTGGAATGAAGATAGTACAATGTCCTAAATGTGATGTATAAAGTAATTCCAATGTACTGTATGATCATGGTTTACAAAAATGTTGATGTATTTTGATTGAGCAGTATTAATAAAGCAAACTGATTTGACAAATCATTGTTTTTTATTGACTGGGGCTCCAGTGTAGAACAGATCATCCAGGGGGTGGGGAGTGACTAACACCGTGGTGTCCTTTCCCAGGCCCATAGAGGACCGTGCTCTGGGCCTCTGGGCCTCTGGGCTCCTGGTAATGAATGGCTGGGGACGCCCCAGGGGTTCACCAGGCCTGGCACAAACAGCAGGTGAACAGCAAGCTGCCACCTGTACACAGACACACTGGAGCCTGGAAAGCACACAGTTACCCTTCTAAGTGAAACAACATGAAATGACTGAGTCATGAGCTGGAGTGTAACAGTTTAGTCTGTTTTACGGTGTGGTAACGTCACAGTCAGATCTCCCCATACACTCATAAGCAGGCAGTACATTACTCTGTCTACATTACTCTGTCTACATTATTCTGTCTATGTACCACAGGTTTTCGGTTATACTTTACTTGACACCCAGTGTCATAACACATTTCTGATGACTGGGATGAATGCAGGAGCAGATTTCAGGAGCAGGACAAGACACCCTCTGTTAGACTGATGACTGACATAAGGGCATGTACCTGATAGGCCTATCTGGCTTATATGATCATGATGGTCATAATGCTTATTGACAGTGTCATAAAGTGTATTTTCCACAAGTTATTTTAAAAAAATGGGAAAAAACATGACTGTAAAGAATTCATTACAACAACAAAGGATTTCAAACGAAAGCAAACTTTGAATAAATGTGGGTTTTGACACTGTATGTGTCGTAACCAGCCATAAAATAATGCAATATATATCACAACAGGTGTAAATATATGGGTAATGACAGTGTTATGACCATATTATGACAGGTTATTACAAGTTATATGTCAGCTGTTATGACATGGCTATGACCGTGTCATAACTGGTTATTACACTGGGTGTCAAATAAAGTGTTACCATTTTTTTTTCATACCAGAGTTCTCTATATAGAGATGTTAAGGTACAGTAAATGTAAATACTAAATGATACTGATGATCAGGTTATCCATGCAATTATTTGATTACTTTTTCTACTCATAAACATGCTTTTGCTAATTTCTACATTTTTATGACACGCATAATCAGACAAAAAAGTATGTAAAGTTATCCCAGGAGTGGTAGGTTTCTTACATAATAAGATGTGGTAGGTTTCTTACACAATGGTAGGCAACTTACATAATAAGCAAGCACAGCTGTTTTGAATATTTACAGAAGCCTACATAGCAGGGATTACATCACTACATGGTGTCAGTGTTTTTCTCCACTGTTCCCTGTGTGCAGGTACTCTCTGTTTCTCTCTCCAGGAACTCCTGCCCACTATTGGACTCAGGGCTGATGTCTGGGGAGCTCCCACTGTTGTTTGTATGGGCATTTTTCTCTGTAAACACCTCTTTCTCCCCCCCCTCAACCTTCCCCATGAGGTGCACAGCGACTCGTAACGGGTCTGGACTATTCCCCATTGCCTCGTTTTTATCAAAGTTCTTAAAGTTGTTCTTTGCTCCTTTGATGTACTTGCCCAGGAAGTTGCCTCCATTGCTGTTCGAACCGAAGGACTTGCTGTTCTGCAGGTTCTGATGGAACTGCTTTATATCAGAGTGAAGTCTCCCCACCACCTTGTTCAGCTCTGTGATCCTGTTCCCCACATCTGTTTAAAAAAAAAAAAAACACCCATGAGAGATAGAAACACAAAGGACGATTTGTAGCAGTCACATTTGTCGACTTTAGTCAAGGTACTTGTATAGGGCTAACGCATGCCTTACTGTGGGCACATTTAGTACCGCTACCTTTGCGTGTAGCCTCTCCAAACTCCCTGCGGGCTGCTTCTATGTAGCGCTGTACCAGCGCCTTGACCACCTGCAGGCGAAATGACACTCGGTCCTTCCCTGCCTCTCCACTGTCGTTCATTGTACTGTTGGACTGGAAGGGTAAAGGAAGAAACGTATGAGTCTGGAGAGATTATGCTTCTGTGTAGTAATGTTGGTAAAATAAATGATATAACCCACCACAGAGGCAATAGGAGGATAGTCTGGAGTTTTATTTTGGTTGCAACAACAGCAAAAGCCCCTATGACAAAGAAAAACAAACACTTGACGAATGGTTTAATGACCATTTCCACTGAATAAAGCTTGTTACAGAGACCGGTGTTGCAGTCAGTGGCCTAGCCTACCTCAGTAAGTAGAACAAGGCCTTTGGAGAGGGGATGAGGTTGAAGGGTACCGGTATAGTGGAGCCCTCTCTGAAGTAACTCAAGTAGAGCTTTGAACGAGCAAACTTCCATTCAACATCAGCATCATCCTGACAGGGACCAAAAGGATGGCAGTCAAAGAGGACATTGTTAAAACAGATGTAAAAACAAACAAAAAAAAGTTTCCCTTACATGTATCATGCACATGTTTACATGTTTGACGTATTGATTTGTGATACCAGATTATTATTTTATACCTCTATCTTCTGGAATGAATTAGTGATCATGGCGATGAGCATATTGAGCAGGATAATGACTATGACGAGCGTGAAGACCCCATACAGAACCCTGCCCACAAACTGAGCCAGAACAAAATCTGGCATGTCCGTATAGCCTTGATTAGACACACCAAACATGGTCCAGAAGAGAAAGTTGAAGGTTTCATTGAAGCTGAAACCAAAGGAAAAGTGCAATATGAATGAATTCATAGAGCTCTGTAGGTTCGGAACATTTTGGAAAAGTTAGAACTTTCATACCGTCCAAGATGTGGGGAAGTTGCATAGGGCACGTAGATATTATTCAGTCCACAGAGAAAAGCTGTTCCAATGATCATCAAGATAAACATGAACCTAAGGGATAAGAGGGAAGATGTGTTGTATTTGTGTTGTAGTTATTTGAATAATAGGATATGTTAATTTTTTATATTTGCGCACTACTTTATGGAGTATCATTTCTAAATACATCTCACAAAGTGTCCTGACTTGAGCATTGTCTTACCTCATCATGTCATCGATCATTATCCCAATGGAGATCTGCAGAGTCCCCAGAGACTCATGGGCAGGCAGGATGTATGCCAGCCGGGTGAAGCTGAACATGCTGGTGACAGCAAACAGAATCTCTGAGATCAGCTGAGGGTCCTCCTGCCACCATTCATCCCGCACTGCAATGACCCAGGAAATAGCCATACATGAAGATTCTTAAAGACCACTAAGATTAGACCCAATACTGTACTTTACATGATCATATACAGTAACGGGATATTGAGTTGTATGACCCGGAATTAAAATATGCCCAAATAATTTACTGTTGGTAGGTACAGCTCACCTGTTTGGGTGAAGTAGGCACACTTCTCAACTAAGTTTTTGTCCTGGCAAACATTGTGAGCAGTTGCCATGATGAAGACTCTCAGAGCAAAGGAGGCCAGGTACATGCTGAGCGCTACAATGTCCAGGATGTTGGACCAGTCTACCATGTAACCCCTCAGACCCTCCGCCCACACATTCTTACACTCACTCCAGAAGAAACCTAGAGGGGCAGGATCAGGTAATTCCCATATTTTCATATTATGCCAAAAGCATTTAGGGTTAAACTTTCATCGCTAACACGCTATATACACAGAGCATACCAAACATTACGAAACACCTTCCTAATATTGAGTGACATAAATTAGGGATCATAGCTTTCACCTGGATTCACCTGGTCAGTCTGTGTCATGGAAAGAGCAGGTTTTCTTAATGTTTTGTATACTCAGTGTAGAGTTTGGGGTATGAGAGATTGATACATTGATAGTAAACAATTACAACATAACATAGACCTACCGACCACCCAGATCATATGGAGGGAGTTGTAGAGGATGTTTTGCTGCCGGGATGCAAACTCATCGCGGTACAGCTCCATGAAAATAGACTCAGCTAGAAGGGCGATGATGAACCACAGGTAGGAGGCAGAGTGCAGCAGGAATTTGATCACAGGTATCTTCAAAGTCTTTCCAATCTGAAATAGAAACACAATCCTTACAACACATCTGAAAAGCAACAGTCAGGCAATGTATTTTCACCTAGGGCTGGATTCAATCCATATCGCGGGAAGTATCGCGGAAGATTCACGTTAAAATGTAAAGGCAATTTCCGATTGAGCCGACACATGCATCGTTTACCGTGAATGCAGTCTCCGCGAACACGGGAACATTGCCTTTAAATTTAAATTGAGCTATAAACTCGGATCTTCCGCGATACTTCTGCGATATAGATTGAATCCAGCACCTACTTTTAGCTCACCTTGGACTTGGGAGCGACCCAGTAGATCATACAGAGGAAAGGCATAGTGAAGAAGATCCCAAGAGACACCGTGAGTTTCCAGACCGTCTTGCTGCCCCTCCACCCTGGGATGTTTCCACACCAAATGGACGACAGCACTTGCTGGCAGATGGGATGACTCACAAACTGGAAGAAAATAACAGATGTTGTAAACGTTTCGTTTTTTATTAGTTTGAAGACAATTTATTTTGAGCATAATAAAGTTGGCATGGGGTAGGTAAGGCAGACTTTTACCAGTTTCTGATTGTAATTGACTGCAAGGCGTAAGCGTGACAGGGTTGGAATACCCTCCTCGAAGGTCTGCTCATCCAGCTCATCTTCATCATCGTCATCACAGTTGTTCAGGATCGTTGTGACCTCACTCTGGTTGCGACACATGGCCAGCATCTCCACTGCGAACTCCTGACACAGCTCTTCCAGGCTCAGGTACTCGGGCTGAGGAAGGCAGCCAGAGAGGAGCAGAGACTGAAACAACTAGATACATCAGCAGACCTTCAGATATGTGAGCCTTTGCTCTTCCTATTCTTGACTTCATGTGAGCTAACATTCTACTTTTATTTACCTTACTTTGATGTTAAAAAAGTGACCATCCAATTGGCTCATTCATCCCCTCTTCTCTCCCCTGTAACTATTCCCCAGTTCGTTGCTGTAAATGAGAATGTGTTCTCAGTCAACTTACCTGGTAAAATAAGTGTACAAAACAGCAAATACAGTGCCTTCGGAAAGTATTCAGACCCCTTGACTTTTTCCACATTTTGTTAGGTTACAGCCCAATTCTAAAATTGATTAAATCGTTTTTTTCCCTCGTCAATCTACACACAATACCTGAGAATGACAAAGCAAAAACAGGATTTTTTAGACATTTTTGCTAATTTATTCAAAATAAAAACTGAAACACCACATTACATAAGTATTCAGATCCTTTACTCAGTACTTTGTTGATCTTCTTGGGTATGACGCTACAAGCTTGGCACACCTGTATTTGGGGAGTTTCTCCCATTTTCCTCTGCAGATGCTCTCAAGCCCTGTCAGGTTGGAATGAGAGCGTTGCTGCACAGCTATTTTCAGGTCTCTCCAGAGATGTTAGATCGGGTTCAAGTCCGGGCTCTGGTTGGGCCACTCAAGGACATTCAGAGACTTGTCCCGAAGCTACTCCTGTGTTGACTTGGCTGTGTGCTTAGGGTCGTTGTCCTGTTGGAAGGTGAACCTTCGCCACAGTCTGAGATCCTGAGTGCTCTGGAGCAGGTTTTCATCAAGGATCTTTCTGTACTTTGCTCCATTCATCTTTGCCTCGATCCTGACTAATCTCCCAGTCCCTGCCTCTGAAAAACATCCCCACAGCATGATGCTGCCACCACCATGCTTCACCGTAGCGATGGTGCCAGGTTTCCTCCAGAATTCAGGCCAAAAAGTTCAGTCTTCATTTTTTCTCATGGTCTGAGTCTTTAGGTGCTTTTTGGCAAACTCCAAGTGGGCTGTCATGTGCCTTTTACTGAGGAGTGGCTTCCGTCTGGAGTGGCTTCCGTCTGATTGGTGGAGTGCTGCAGAGATGGTTGTCCTTAACATTTGCAAAAAAATTCTAAAAACCTGTTTTCGCTTTGTCATTATGGAGTATTGTGTGTCGATTACTGCATTTTTTATTTATTTAATCAATTTTAGAATAAGGCTGTAACGTAACAAAATGTGGAAAAAGTCAAGGGGTCTGAATACTTTCCGAAGGCACTGTAAATATAGTACTATGTTGTCATTCCGTAAACATGGGCACCCTCATAGATATCATCCTGACTAATTTACCCTCTAAATACACCTCCGCTGTCTTCAACCAGGATCTCAGCGATCACTGCCTCATTGCCTGCGTCCGTAATGGATCCGCGGTCAAACGACCACCCCTCATCACTGTCAAACACTCCCTAAAACACTTCAGCGAGCAGGCCTTCCTAATTGACCTGGCCCGGGTATCCTCGATGGATATTGACCTCATTCCGTCAGTAGAGGATGCCTGGATGTTCTTCAAAAGTGCTTTCCTCTCCATCTTAAACAAGCATGCTCCATTCTAAAAATTCTGAACTAAGAACAGATATAGCCCCTGGTTCACCCCAGACTTGACTGCACTTGACCAGCACAAAAACATCCTGTGGCGTACTGCATTAGCATCGAACAGCCCCCGCGATATGCAACTTTTCAGGGAAGTAAGGAACCAATATACACAATCAGTTAGGAAAGCAAAGGCTAGCTTTTTCAAACAGAAATTTGCATCCTGTAGCACTAACTCCAAAAAGTTTTGGGACACTGTAAAGTCCATGGAGAATAAAAGCACCTCCTCCCAGCTACCCACTGCACTGAGGCTAGGAAACACTGTCACCACCGATAAATCTACGATAATCGAGAATTTCAATAAGCATTTTGCTACGGCTGGCCATGCTTTCCACCTGGCTACCCCTACCCCGGCCACCAGCTCTGCACCCTCCGCTGCAACTTGCCCATGCCCCCAAACTGTTACAGACCTATATCCATCCTACTCTGCCTTTCGAAAGTATTTAAAAGCCAAGTTAACAAACAGATCACCGACCACTTCGAATCCCACCGTACCTTCTCCGCTATGCATTCTGGTTTCCGAGCTGGTCATGGGTGCACCTCAGCCACGCTCAAGGTCCTAAATGATATAATAACTGCGATTGATAAAAGACAGTACTGTGCAGCCGTCTTCATCGACCTGGCCAAGGCTTTTGACTTTGTCAATCACTGCATTCTTATTGGCAGACTAAATAGCCTTGGTTTCTCAACTGACTGCCTCACCTGGTTCACCAACTACTATTTAGATAGAGTTTAATGTGTCAAATCGGAGGGCCTGTTGTCTGGGGGTGCCACAGGGTTCAATTCTCGGGCCGACTCTATTCTCTGTGTATATCAATGATGTCGCTCTTGCTGCTGGTGACTCTCAGATCCACCTCTACGCAGACGACACCATTTTGTATACATCTGGCCCTTCATTGGACACTGTGTTAACAAACCTCCAAACGAGCTTCAATGTCATACAACACTCCTTCCGTGGCCTCCAACTGCTCTTAAACGCTAGTAAAACTAAATGCATGCTCTTCAATCGAACTCTGCTTGCACCCGCCCACCCGACTAGAATCACTACTCTCGGCGGGTCTGACTTAGAATATGTGGACAACTACAAATACCTAGGTGTCTGGTTAGACCGTAAACTCTCCTTCCAGACTCACATTAAGCATCTCCAATCCAAAGTTAAATCTAGAATTGGCTTCCTGTTTCGCAACAAAGCCTCCTTCACTCATGCTGCTAAACATGCCCTCGTAAAACTGACTATCCTACCGATCCTTGACTTCGGCGATGTCATTTACAAAATAGCTTCCAACACTCAACTCAGCAAATTGGATGTAGTCTATCACAGTGCCATCTGTTTTGTCACCAAAGCCCCATATACTACCCACCATTGTGACCTGTACGCTCTCGATGGCTGGCCCTCACTACATATTCGTCGCCAAACCCACAGGCTCCAGGTCATTCACTTCTAGGCAAATCCCTGCCTTATCTTAGCTCATTGGTCACCATAGCAACACCCACCCGTAGTATGCGCTCCAGCAGGTATATCTCACTGGTCATCCCCAAAGCCAACACCTCCTTTGGCCGCCATTCCTTCCAGTTCTCTGCTGCAAATGACTGGAATGAACTACAAAAATCTCTGAAGCTGGAGACACTTATCTCCCTCATTAACTTTAAGCATCAGTTGTCAGAGCAGCTTACCAATCACTGTACCTGTACACAGCCCATCTGTAATTAGCCCACCCAACTACCTCATCTCCATATTGTTAATTACATTGTTATTTATTTTGCTCATTTGCACCCCAGTATCTCTATGTGCACATCATCTTCTGCACATCTATCACTCCAGTGTTATTACTAAATTGTAATTATTTTGCACTATGGCCTATTTATTGCCTTACCTCCATAATTTACTACATTTGCACACACTGTATATATATTTTCTATTTTCTATTGTGTTATTGACTACGTTTTTGTTTATCCCATGTGTAACTCTGTGTTGTTGTTGTTTTTAATCGCACTGCTTTGCTTTATCTTGGCCAGGTCACAGTTGTAAATGAGAACTTGTTCTCAACTGGCTTACCTGGTTAAATAAAGGTTAAATAAAAAAATATAATAAAAATGTTTACTACTACACATCAAACAACTCATACCTTAAATTCAGCCTCTTTCTTGGAGAGCTTGCGTAGCTCCCGACTGAGTCTGAAGGCACTAAGCATGGCATCCTCTGTGGTGATGGAGAGGTACGCCCGGCTGGCTATGCCCCGGTAGGTGTTGATACGAGACAGAGAGAACTTCAGCAGGTCATACTGACGGCCGTTCCTGCACTCCAGACAGGTACAGGAGATAGAGTGAGGGAGAGGAATGACATGGCCCTTCTTAGTCAGCATGGTGACTATCTCATACAGGTCCTTCTGACCGGCCAGGGTCAGCGGGGTCACGCCGGGTGCAAACTGGGAGTCATCAATGGAGTGGTCAAATATGGCCATGGAGAAGGAGCGCACGTCCATCTTGTTGCCCTTCTCCTGGTCGAGACGGTCCAGGAGCCTCTTGACCACCCGGGGCTGGTTGGTGTCCACCGCCACCAGCAGCGCCTCGTAGATCTGCCTGAAGTCAAACTTGATGCCCAGCATCAGAGCGGAGAAAGTGTCCTCGTTGCCTAGGCGGATGGACAGGTTCAGGGCTTCTCTCCAAAGACGGTCCTCAGACTCATCCAGCTGGCGGATGATGCCGTCCCCCGTGGACAGCAGGCTTTCCACCAGAATTGAGTTGTCCTCCTTAATGGCTGCTATCAGCTCTGGGGGGAAATTAAACTTTTTGTTCACAATCGCCTGCCATTGGTCCGGCTGAGAGGGGATTTAATATGACATGTTTTAATGTAAAGTCATTTAATACAATTATCCAGAATGCTGTGTTATGAACGCACAATTTTACTCAGTAATACTTTCGCCATCTATATTATATAGTAACTTCAATAGTTGTCCTTTTCATGTCATAGTAGGCTAGATATATCAGAGTAATCAGTTATTCAAACATTATTTTACATAAAACGGTACAGCAATGTTAGAGCATAGGAAGTCTTACCGTAATATTTTCCATGTTGGTTAGCAGGGCAAACTACAAATTAAATCCTCCTTGTAGAGAACTTTCATCTGTAATGCATAATGTAAGTCCATACAAGACGTATAACTAAGTTGTGCTTGAGGAGAACAGACCGAGACCTGTTGTCTCTGTGCTGCCTGCCACTGCTTTTACCTCTGTTCCTGCATAGACCAGCACTGGGGATCTCCACTGGAGCACATTAACGCAACAGAACAGCCAATAACAGACGCCTCCCAAGAGGAGTACACCAATTATCACACAGCGCCTCATCGTGATTTTAGGACGTGCAGCGTAGGCCAAATTTGGTCTCATTTTCTGAAATGTTTCTATATAATTTTAATTCTAAACTCAGACCTGGAAATGGGTATCTGTGGTGCATCAACAAGGTAGGCACTTTTAGATCACACAAAGGGCCCGTGGCCTTGTAAAATTGCTTATAGCCTATTGTACGATTTATCGGCTGATGTTCACATGGATTTTACACCTATGATCCATCAATAAAGTCCAGGTGACCATCTCCAATAATAGGCTATGAGCACAGTGTACCTTGATACAAAAAAAAAATATATGTAAAAAGTATAAAGACATAATTTGCATAAACATGAACATTTCTGATACACAATGAAAACAGGAGGAACCAATTAACCTCTACAGGATTGGTGTCCCTATATCCGGACAGTTGCTCAATATGCGATATGTGACTAGAATGGCATTGTAAACAACAGCCAACTGTCCAGGATAAGATGTCTTATATGGGCAGAAAGTTTAAATTCTTGTTAATCTAACTGCAGTGTCCAATATAAAGTAGCTATTACAGCAAAATAATACCATGCTATTGTTTGAGGATAGTGCACAACAACAAAACATTTTTGTCACGGCAACTGGTTTGATACATTCACCTCTGAAGGTAAATCATGTACTTACATTCAGTAATCTTGCTCTGATTTGTCATCCTGAGGGTCCCAGAAATAAAATGTAGGAACTGCGTCCTACAGTTTGACCCCCTGCTGTCTCTGGCTCCACCCCCATAGCATTTTTGTATGTTCTCTATAGTTATGTAATTCTGAACTTTTGGGAAAACTCCTGGCAGACTTGATACAACATATTGTGTAGTGATGTAATCCTTCACTGGATCAGTCTAAAACTTTGCACACACAATGCTGCCATCTTGTGGACGAAATCTAAATTACACCTATATTCCTACATCACTGTCTGGCCTTTTTCTTGCAATTCAAAGCTGATGCAAAAAATAAATAAATAGAAAACACATGTTTTTTTGTTTGTATGATCTTTTAACAGATCTAATGTGTTAAATTCTCCTACATTAATTTCACAAGTGTTTCCTTTCAAACGATAGCATATCCTTGCTTCAGGTCCTGAGCTACAGGCAGTTAGATTTGGATATGTCATTTTAGACGAACATTTAAAAAAAGAGTCCAATCGTTATTAATGAGAGATGCGAAACCTGTGCATAAATGCCACGCACTTGACTGGCGCGCTCACATAGTAGGCGGAGCAAACTCACAGCTGTGGTGAGTGGAGACAGGTTTGCGTTTTCCCAAAAGAAATACAAACATTTCTATATAACTGGGGTTTGTTCGTTTATATGACTAATAATGTACAAATCATGTTTGAAGGGACTATCGGTAGAATAGTTAAGTCAGATAGCAATGTTCGTAGCAAACAACTAGGCTAGTTGCAGTAGTTATCCAAGCATACCTCTTTACCTGTTCAATTGTCATTGTAATTAGTGATGCACACTGAACTTTTATGCTTTAGGATTTTAGTACAACTGACACACTAGTATATGGGTCGTTCTGTGTAAATCGGGGGTAAAAAAAAAAAAAAGCACATTTGTATCCTACTTCTCACAAACTTTCAGCCTCAATTCGGCGGGGCATGGACTCTACAAGGTAAACGGGAAACTGTTGTGTGAAAAACCCAGCAGCGTTGCAGTTCTTGACACAAACCGGTGTGCCAAGCACCTACCACTGTACCCTGTTCAAAGGCACTTAAATATTTTGTCTTGCCCATTCACCCTCTAAATGGCACACATACGCAATCCATGTCTCAAGGCTTAAAAATCCTTCTTGAACCTGTCTCCTCCCCTTCATAGCTTTCACCTGGATTCACCTGGTCAGTCTGTCATGGAAAGATCAGGTGTTTTTAATGTTTTGTATACTCAGTGTATCCTACTCCCACACTTTGTATTGCACATTTAAAATATTTACCTGAATTCCTTAACACCCCCCTACGAAATGTGTCACTACTGAAACATAGTGAAAACATTGTAATAAAGAGAGAACCATGCACAGTAGCGATAATTTGATTAACCTTCTATTCCAAATACATTTTTGAAATTATGTTTGCATTTATCTCCACTGTTCTCTGTAAAATGTTGAATGTTGGTGGTGTGAATCTGCAACTTGTTGATTGATTGAATTACTTATGCATCTAATTAATTTCAGTGGTCTAAAGTACTTAAGTAAAAATACTTTAAATACTACTTAAGTAGTTTTTTGGGGTATCTGTACTTTACTTTACTATTTCTATTTTTGACAACTTGTACTTTTACTCCACTACATTCCTAAAGAAAATAATGTACTTTTTACTCCATACATTTTCCCAGACACCCAAAAGTACTTGTTACATTTTGAACGCTTAGCAGTACAGGAAAATTGGCCAATTCATGCACGTATCAAGAGAACATCCCTGGTCATCCCTAGTGCCTCTGATCTGGCGGACTCACTAAACACATGCTTCGCTTGTAAATTATGTCTGAGTGTTGGAGTGTTCCCTTGGCTATCCGTAAAAAAACAAGAAAATCGTGCCGTCTGGTTTGCTTAACATAAGGAATTTGAAATGATTCATACTTTTACTTTTATTTTTGATACTTAAGTATATTTAAAACCAAATACTTTTAGACTTTTACTCAAGTAGTATTTTACTGGGTGACTTTCACTTTTACTTGAGTCATTTTCTATTAAGGTATCTTTACTTTTACTCAAGTATGACTGTTGGGTACTTTTCCCACCACTGATGTTAGATGTTTAAATGATCACTTTACCTACCTTTATTTTGGCAAAATAACAGGCGTTTTCGGTGTTGTGTCAATCATAGAGATAAATAAAGGACTCCAGATGGAAATAACTCGTTTTGGTATAGACATCGCCATTGAAGGCTGAAATACCAAAAAAAAAAAAAAAAAAAAAAAAAAAAAAGACCAAGTTAATATCCAGGAGCCAAGACCAAGATTTATACCAGGACATTGGTCCCAAGATTCAGACCCAGTGAGTTGAGAACATGACAAGGTAGCCTTTTCCTGCGGTCAAATTACCTAGTGACGTCATGGGTGGAATGTTATTAATATCTTTCATAATTTCATAATTTATCAACAACATTTTTAAAAACCCAGCATTATTTAAAAAATGCGTCTGGTGTTTCTATGTCAAACCGTTTTGTTATATTTCAGTCGTCTGTGATGTACAGTTGAAGTCGGAAGTTTACATACACTTAGGTTGGAGTCATTAAAACCCGTTTTTCAACCACTCCACAAATGTCTTGTTAACAAACTATAGTTTTGGCAAGTCAGTTAGGACATTTACTTTGTGCAGAAATTGCAATATTTCCCAGTAAAGGTTATGTTTTGCCATTTTCACATATTTTGATGTTGTGGTGGTGATGGAGATGATGAATATGAAGTAGAAATATTTTTTGAAATCACCCTTTAAAGGTTATGTTCTGTAAGATATTAGGAGGTATGAGTGTAAAGGTGACGATGAGCACATATTGTTTATCAGGCTTTCCTGCCTGTGCCTAGTCATTACTTGGTTGCCAGTCAAAATGGTATCTCATTTGAGACCTCTAGTGTCTGTCAGCTGAAAATGCAGAGGGACGTCGCAGGGACGCTCAAATCCAAGCCTGAATGTCTACAATACTGCTGGTTTTCAGGTGAATTGAGAGATTGTCACTGATGGCCAGAAATGCCACTCTATTGGCACTGATCACTCTATGGAGCCAACCTGGAACAGAGAGACTGATAAACAGCTTCCATCTCCAGGTTATCAGACTGTTAAACAGTCATCCCTAGCCGGCCTCCGCCTGTTACCCTGTCCTGAACCTTAGACACTGTCATTAGTCAGCTACCAACCGATACTCTGCCCTGCACCTTAGAGACAGCTGCCCTATGTACAGTACATAGTCATCAAATAATGTAATAAGGTTGACATACTTTCTACTTTTTTTTACCCACTTTATACAGTGCCTTCAGAAAATATTCACATCCCATGACTTTTTCCAAATTTTGTTTTAAAATTGATTAAATTGAGATTTGGTGTCACTGGCCTACACACAATACCCCATAATGTCAAACTGGAATTATGTTTTTAGAAATCTTAAAACTGAAAAGCTGAAATGTCTTGAGTCAATAAGTATTCAACCCCTTTTTTTATAGCAAGCCTAAATAAGTTCAGGAGCAAACATTTATTAACAAGTCACATAATAAGTTGCATCGACTCACTCTGTTTGCAATAATAGTGTTTAAAATGATTTTTGAATGACTACCTCATCTCTCTACCCCACACATACAATCATCTGTAAAGTCCCTCAGTCGAGCAGTGAACTTCAAACACAGATTCAACCACAAAGACCAGGGAGGTTTTTCAATGCCTCTCAAAGAGGGCACCTATTGGTAAATTGATAAAAAAAATATACAGTTGAAGTTGGAAGTTTACATACACTTAGGTTGGAGTCATTCAAACTAGTTTTTCAACCACTCCACAAATTTCTTGTTAACAAACTATAGTTTTGGCAAGTCGGTTAGGACATCTACTTTGTGCATGACACAAGTAATTTTTTCAACAATTGTTTACAGACAGATAATTTCACTTATAATGCACTGTATCACAATTCCAGTGGGTCAAAAGTTTACATACACTAAGTTGACTGTGCCTTTAAACAGCTTGGAAAATTCCAGAAATTGATGTCATGGCTTTAGAAGGTTCTGATAGGCTAATTGACATCATTTGCGTCAATTGGAGGTGTACCTGTGGATGTATTTTAAGGCCTACCTTCAAACTCAGTGCCTCTTTGCTTGACATCGTGGGAAAATCAAAAGAAATTAACCAAGACCTCAGAAAAAAAGATTGTAGACCTCCACAAGTCTGTTTCATCCTTGGGGGCAATTTCCAAATGCCTGAAGGTACCACGTTCATCTATACAAACAATAGTACGCAAGTATAAACACCATGGGACCACGCAGCCGTCATCCCGCTCAGGAAGGAGACGCGTTCTGTCTCCTAGAGATTAACGTACTTTGGTGTGAAAAGTGCAAATCAATCCCAGAACAACAACAAAGGACCTTGTGAAGATGCTGGAGGAAACAGGTACCAAAGTATCTATATCCACAGTAAAATGAGTCCTATATCGACATAACCTGAAAGGCCGCTCTGCAAGGAAGAAGCCACTGCTCCAAAACCGCCATAAAAAGCCAGACTACGGTTTGCAACTGCACATGGGGACAAAGATCGTACTTTTTGGAGAAATGTCCTCTGGTCTGATGAAACAAAAATAGAACTGTTTGGCCATAATGACCATCGTTATGTTTGGAGGAAAAAGGGGAAGGCTTGCAAGCCGAAGAACACCATCCCAACCGTGAAGCACGGGGGTGGCAGCATCATGCTGTGGGGGTGCTTTGCTGCAGGAGGGACCGAATTTGTGGTCTTGAGTGGTCCACAGAACAGGACCAGGACCACGAGATCAAGAGTCCATGGTCCCTTTCTTCAATTGAAAGAAACTGAAGTAGAATAAACTCGACTAGAGTACAGTAGAGTACAGTAGAGTACAGTAGAGTAGGGTACAGTACAATACATTATAGTAGAGCGCAGTACTGTAGAGTACAGCACAAAATAGATGGCATCATGAGGAAGGACAATTATGTGGATATATTGAAGCAACATCTCAAGACATCAGTCAGGAAGTTAAAGCTTGGTTGCAAATGGGTCTACCAAATGGACATTGACCCCAAGCATACTTCCAAAGTTGTGGTAAAATGGCTTAAGGACAACAAAGTCAAGGTATTTGGAGTGGTCATCACAAAGCCCTGACCTCAATCCTATAGAAAATGTGTGGGCATTTTAACCTGACTCAGTTACACCAGTTCTGTCAGGAGGAATGGGCCAAACTTCACCCAACTTATTGTGGGAAGCTTGTGGAAGGCTAACCGAAACGTTTGACCCAAGTTAAACAATTTAAAGGCAATGCTACCAAATACAAATTGAGTGTATGTAAACTTCTGACCCACTGGTCTCTATAAGCTTGGCACATCTAGCCACTGGGATTTTTGCCCATTCTTCAAGGCAAAACTGCTCCAGCTCCTTCAAGTTGGATGGGTTCCGCTGGTGTACAGCAATCTTTAAGTCATACCACAGATTCACAATTTGATTGAGGTCTGGGCTTTGACTAGACCATTCCAAGACATTTAAATGTTTCTCCTTAAACCACTTGAGTGTTGCTTCAGCAGTATGCTTAGGGTCATTGTCCTGCTGGAAGGTGAACCTCCGTCCCAGTCTCAAATCTCTGGAAGACTGAAACAGGTTTCCCTCAAGAATTTCCCTGTATTTAGTGCCATCCATCATTCCTTCAATTCTGACCTGTAAATTTTTTTAGAACCCAACCCTGATCTGTACTTCTCCACAACTTTGTCCCTGACCTGTTTGGAGAGCTCCTTGGTCTTCATGGTGCCGCTTGCTTGGTGGTGCCCCTTGCTTAGTGGTGTTGCAGACTCTGGGGCCTTTCAGAACAGGTGTATATATACTGAGATCATGTGACAGATCATGTGACACTTAGATTGCACACAGGTGGACTTTATTTAACTAATTATGTGACTTCTGAAGGTAATTGGTTGCACCAGATCTTATTTAGGGGCTTCATAGCAAAGGGGTGAATACATATGCACGCACCACTTTTCCGTTATTTATATATTTTTTCATTTCACTTCACCAATTTGGACTATTTTGTGTATGTCAATTACATGAAATCCAAATAAAAATCAATTTCAATTACAGGTTGTAATGCAACAAAATAAGAAACCTGCCAAGGGGGATGAATACCAAGGCACTGTATGAGCCACTTTACAATTCCCACCAAGTGGGTTAACCCTATTGGCTTGATGCATAGGGTGTTTGCCTTTCATGCCAGCGACCCGGGTTCCCTGCCGTTCGCTACAATACGTTAATTTGATCTCATGAATTGTCAGTCCTTATATCCTAATCTCCATCTTTGCGTTGAGTTATAAATATCTTCAGCCCCATCTCCAGCTTTAGACCCACAAATCAAGTCGGGTGACTGCCTGCCTTTTGACTGAGAACAATTTATATAGCCGATTATTGTGCTTTTAATTTACTGTCCATAACAAAATCCAATAAGCAGGACAGGTTTGTGCTGAGAGAGATACAGCCCAGTGCCCAAAATGAGCCAGTATTTTTTCAGTGAGATCTGCTAATGTGATTCCATTGGAGGAATGTTGCAGGCCTTATTGATATTTGTTGAAACAGCTCCCTGTATTTTACTGCTCTGTCACAAAAGCAATTTCCACATTTATTAGTTTGGATTTAAAGTGCATACTCAAATGAAACCCCTGTAGATTTGGAGAAAAGTTTCCATGGGAGGCTGGGCCCAGTGACCCACCGTTTAGGACACAATGAAAAGTGGGCAGCCTGGCTGTTAAAACAGGCGGCAAAGCTTTCTTCCCTTCAGCTGTCATATTAATCAATTGACCGTGACCTTCTGACACATTTTTTCAGCCTAATTTTGAGAAGTACACCGTGTGTCTTCCGCAGCGTGGCATATCAATTACGCTGATGGACTCCAGTGGACTTTCCAGAGTGGCCCGGAGGAAGCTGATGCGCCGGCCTGGCTGAGCTGCACTATCTTTGCAATTCAAATGAGAGACGCTACATCAGCCTTTGACAGGCATACATTTAATTCACTGTATAAATCTGCTGATAATATACAATAATATAAAAAAAACATAGCAATCACACTGCTTGTGTCCTGTGCTTATAATTTACAGCTCCAGCAGGATACATTTGCAGTGTCATGGATATAGATTTACTGCACAGATAACGGCAACAGGTTCAGCAATAGTACAGGAATACTACCACAGTAAGTACAGTATTCAGTGCTATTTGGCATTCAGTGAACCTTTGTCCTGGGAACGTCACAGTCTGTGTGTATCATGATTGCCACAAATGACCACCAGACCAACATACAGAAGTAGCATTGGTGGTCAAGACACACGTCAGGCACACCAGACATACTGTAGTTAGTTCAATATGTGCTAAACAGTAGCTGCATCAGGACCACATGCTATATTTATTCAGTACTGTACCTGATAATATTTGACTCCCATTAACTTCACAGCAGGGCAGGTTAATTTGTGATCAGGAGCTGGGGAGACAAAATGTGAATAAATTAACGGCAAAGAAGCCAAGCAGTTTCATGGAGGGAGTGCAGAATCAAATCAGTTGAATTAACTCTGGTGAGATGACAGAGGCTTTTTTCCTTCCACTTGATTGGATTACCAGGATTTGCACCCTCCTATGCAATCTGCATTATCAAGGCAATCTCTCCTCTCCTCTCTCCTCTCTCTCCTCTCTCTCCTCTCTCTCTCTCTCTCCTCTCTCTCTCTCCTCTTCTTCCCTCTCTCTCTCTTCCTCTCTCTCTCTCTCTCCTCTCCTCTCTCTCTCATCTCTCTCTCTCTCCTCCTCTCTCTCTCTCTCTCTCTCTCTCTCTCTCTCTCTCCCTCCCTCTCTCTCTCTCTTTGCAGATGGGCTGTACTTGGGCAGGGGGAGAGCGTTCTACCAGTTGTGTGTGTGCAGGAGAGACAGAGAGAAGGATCACCAAGCTCTGTCAGGCAGAACGAGAGTCCTGAATCTCTTTCAGGCTTGTGGGATATACAGCAGTGACACAGTCCTGTGGTGCCACAGAGCCCACAGATCAAGGTAAGACAAACGTGTGTGTGTGTGTTTGTAAGGACATACTGTATATTTAGTTCCCTGTGGACAGCACCTGTTTACCACAGTAGAAGCTCATGGTTACCCCCTCTGGACAGGTGTGTATTAGTAGGAAGGTTGGAAGCATTGGAGAGAAAGGGGATATCTTTCAGTCCTCAAATGCCACTGCTTTTCTCTCAAATTAGATATTGATTTATTGAAGAACTGTTCAGTTGGAGATAAGTACTTTGTTTGTGATATTATGCTAGATATATGAATGTAGGTTGATTAATACCTGATTATGGCATCAACATCAGTCGGCAGTGTTTTGGGTCAGGACTGTCTGTCATTGTTACTGCAATATGTTTGTGATTGTACATTTTAAACATAATCTCCGCTTTCTTTCAGTCAAGTTTATTTTGACCCTCTTATATTGTCCAACCTGATACCAATAGAGCTGTATCCTCAACAACATAAAGTTCATCTCTACAGAAAAGCAGTGATTTGTCTTTACCTTATCAATTGCGTAATCAATGCAAATGTATGTTTATTGTAAAGATAACTTGAATTTGGTGGCAAAGCAATGACTCCCACTGTGTTTAATGGCATGCCAATATTAAGAGACCTCTGATGGAATGGGAGGTAGAATGTTTCTAGTCACAGCATGGAACACTTTTCAATCACCTCACCACCACTGAGAAAGCCATAATTGGTTTGTGACAATATTACCCTCTAAAAGCTTTTTTCTTTCAGGCCCACTGCTGTATAGTTTGATAATGGCAATCTGTGCTTCAGCACAAGATAGCAATGTCGGATGTGTGAGACAGCTTGCTGAATATTTTTTTCACAGGGTGACAGCAGTATGCTTTTCACAGACTTATTTTTTTCCTCAGTGGTACAGGAGGGCTCCTGCATAATTGCATTTTGACAGCGCGTCCGACAGCACGGCTGTCTGTGCCTTACCCACGGCCAGATTAGTGGTAGGTCTTACCCATGGCCAGATTAGTGGTAGGTCATACCCATGGCCAGATTAGTGGTAGGTCTTACCCATGGCCAGATTAGTGGTAGGTTTTACCCACGGCCAGATTAGTGGTAGGTTTTACCCATGGCCAGATTAGTGGTAGGTTTTACCCACGGCCAGATTAGTGGTAGGTCATACCCATGGCCAGATTAGTGGTAGGTCTTACCCACGGCCAGATTAGTGGAAGGTCTTACCCACGGCCAGATTAGTGGAAGGTTTTACCCACGGCCAGATTAGTGGTAGGTCTTACCCACGGCCAGATTAGTGGTAGGTCTTACCCACGGCCAGATTAGTGGTAGGTCTTACCCACGGCCAGATTAGTGGTAGGTCTTACCCACGGCCAGATTAGTGGTAGGTCTTACCCACGGCCAGATTAGTGGTAGGTCTTACCCACGGCCAGATTAGTGGTAGGTCTTACCCACGGCCAGATTAGTGGTAGGTCTTACCCATGGCCAGAGTAGGACCCTCTCATTGGTACTGTGAATTCAGGACCTTGGACAGTTCCCCTTTAACAGAACTCAATTTCTAGTAGAACAGATAATGGTGAATCCCTTGGTGTGTTTTTTCAGCACTGCTGGTCCAGGTGATACCAACCAAGCAGCCAGATTGAGTGGGGTGGGGGAGAGTCATCTCTAACAGGTTGCTGCATTACCATGTTGTGGTATCTTGCTCTTCCAGGAGACAGGCAGGCAGAGGACTAACTCACTGCCGTGTCTGAATACCCATACTTGCGCTCTAAATAATAGGCTTTTTGGGAAAATATAATGTTTTTTAGTATGTGACCTTTAGGAAATTGAGAATGCTGTAAATACCAGGATGTTATGCTCACTTTCGTTTTTCATCTAGTAGAATTTGCTGCATTCTATTGAGGAAGATAATTGTCTTTTCAGACCCATGTGTGTCTGACAACAGCTGATAATCAGCTGATAATGACGGCAAGTATCAAAATGAACGAATGGCGGGTAACAACACAGTTTGGCCTCAGATTACGCATTCTCAGTACGGGTGAGCAGTATGTTAATGTTTGTTGTTTACTGCATACATTTTTACTAAACAGGACGTTCTAAATGGTATATACTGTAGTACTATTAGGACACAGTATGTAGTTTTAGTAAGTAGTAGGAAAGACAGATTTCGGACACGACCACTGACTAATGGAGCCACCTGGCTGGTGCTACGCTGCTCTCCAATCTGTTCCCCCCTGGGACTGTGTCCAGCTCAGGGCCTCTGACCACCCACTCCCCTCTCTGAATTAAACATGACTCTGACTTCTCATGGAAGATTTAATAACATTAGGTTTATATAGCGGTAAATAGCACTGTACAATGAAGTGGGAATGCTAAATAGGGATCTCAGTGATTGTTTGTTCAATTCCATTAGGAGGATCATGATTCTGCAACTTGGCTACTTTTCAGAATTCCATTACCAGATATTGAGTAGTTCTAAGTGAGTTAGTAAACTGTTATTATCCTAGTGGTCCACTATGTCATATGATAATATATCACTTGCCTCCTCTTGCATAGTACTGGAGTTGGCACCATGCTGAAGACCTTGGAGGAAACTCCCAATGTCTTTCCACTTTCAGAAGTAAAATTGACAAAATGTTGTCCAATCATGAGAGACAAATTATAGTAATTAAATAACACACAGCAATTACACTGTCACTGAAATTACTAGTTTGCAAATGGTCACTTTTGACGACTTCAATTTGAGGTGAAGTGTATATGTTCTGCTTAGGCAGACTCGACCATCTCCTACCTCCCGTCCTTGGAACAGCTTTGTGGTGTTTGGCATCATGGAGGTGTGTATGTAAATGATTACACCTCACCAATAATTCATCTCTCTCAGAGGTGTCTAGATGGGATAATAAATGTCTGAGATGTAAGTATGCGCGTATTGATTTTCCTCCATCCTTTGGAAGCTTGTTGTGAAATATCAGGTGACTGATAGCACTTTGCGGACTGTGTCAAGTGGTGTAGGTTAACGTTGGTTATAGGCCGGGCTGGACACTTTGGGAATGCGTCCTACTTCACTCTTTGCTTAGACTAATTGGTGGTACCTTCATTCTCCACCCAGATGGAGACCAGCCCCAGCTCTGACTACCAGTGCAAACTCTTTCACTCTGCAGTGCAGTGCACAAATCATCCATTTGGATACAATGGAGATGAGAATAATATCTATATCACCTGGAAGCCTGTGGTCTTCAAATAGGTATATGGAGACTTCTAGAACATACCTGTACATTATGATGTCACGGTCACAGATCCACATCTTCTATTTCCACATAGTCACTTTGACAGAGCTCAGCAACTTCTGGGAGAAAAATAGCACCGTCCTTTTTTTATAAATGTCAGGTTGTGACATTTCTCTGCTTTAACTTCCAACATCGCCATGGTTAGAAATTAGAATGGATTTTGTGTCTTTGGGGGCGGTCCTCTGACAGTTTCTCTTCAGATGGTAGATGTCTAGCTCATTTCTCATTAACTGGGGACTGAAGCCAGACCTGATACAGCGTAGGTGTTACACAGGCCTGGGAAAGTTCAGCTGCTTAATGAGCTCAGCCTCATCTGTCATCTGAATTTTTATCTCTTGTATACTGTAATTATTCTGGCCAGACCATTCTGCCACGGTTTTTACTTGTTCCACAGTCTATCTGCTGGCATATTTTATTCACTTGGCTCATGAAGAAATAATACTTCATTAAGTATAATGGTAACTCCATAAATTTCACCCCAGAAGTGCATGGTTACAAATGTATCCTTAAGATTTGATTAATTGTTGGTTCATAAAAGCTTTGTGTTTAATGAGTGGTTCATTCGGGCCAATGGCTTACTGTATGTTTAGCAGTGTTACACTCAGTGAATTAAAACAGGCTTGGCTGGGTATCCTCTCATATGACAGAGTGTCTGCTTAGGAACTACTTAGCAGTATTAACAGACCTCTATCGGGATGTTACTAAAAAAAATCAGAGATATTTATTCTATATTACAATAAATAATATTGTTATATTTCACGGCCAATTGGCTCTGTCAACTCTTTTGTCATCATAACGTCTATTGAGGGTTTGATTGCTTCTTGCACCCAGGTGACCTTATGGTTTGTCTTAGTCCTGCATGCCTCCCACAAAAGGATGATATTTATTTTAAACAGCTAAAGAAAGACTATTATGTTGTGATGACTAATTATGATAAAATGACGTGTTCTTCTTCTATGGTTTAACTCAGTTGGTCCTTTGTGTTCCCAGAATCCAATGGTGCGATGGCCCCCAGGCAGGGCAGTGTGGGACGTATAGGTCCTCCAGCAGGCATGTGTCTTCCCGTCCTCCCACTTCTCCTCCTCCTCCTCTGTGGCCAGATGCTGGATGCCCAGGGTCCAGGTAAGACTTTGATTACTGTCATTATTACTTCTGTGGGGTTTGGATGTTCAATGGGACAACACCTTTTGGAGCAACATTACTTGACTAGGGTAATTTCCAGCCATGTATCCAATGTGCATTTTGTTCCATCCAGTTGGACATTGTGTATTCCCAGGGGTCCATGCTGCCAATTTCAGTGGTATTGCTTTCCTATGCACATCTAGTTTAATCTGGGAAACCAGTTTGTGCTTTTCAGTCTTGAACCTTTGTTCATTCGTCACATAGTCCCCTTCCAGGGGTAATAGTGACATTTTGCATACAGTAATTGGGTGCTTGGCTTATTACCTGGACCCAATGTGGGCTGTGCTGGTTTTGGGTCCAGATTGAATGTGCATCTCCCAGGGAGACAAGGCCACTGTGCCCTCTGCTGTCAGAACCCTCCACTGGCTCCCAGCTCTCCCTGCGGCCAATCTTATTTATAGCATGGCGGGAACTGCCACACTAACTGGTGAGGGCACAACACACACACACACACACACACACACACACTCACCACGCTCACTCTCACTCCAAACAATTGCCAAGTTTTTGAGGGTTGGGGGGGTGCAGATGGAATTGAAGCAGCTACAAGGTTAATGTGGAGGAGTGGAGAGGAGTGGAGTGGAGAGGAGTGGAGAGGAGTGGAGAGAAGTGAGAATGTTAACATTCAGCCCTCATACAATGAGGCCTGATTAATGGGACTCAACTGTGGCACATGCCAGAGTAAAATATACCAGCCGTAGAGGAGGACAGGCGAGGACCAGGGAGGGATCTAGGGTGAGAAACACAGACCTTCAGACTAATTCAAACCTAAGACGCATTGAAAAGGATATTAAAAGGAAATGCAGGTATTCTGTCACAAAGCCTAATGCAGTCTAAGCTTATTTCTGTTAAGTAATTTCTGATTTTGAAGGCTTGTGTACCACCCATACACAAAAAATGTATGCACGCATGACTGTAAGTCGCTTTGGATAAAAGCGTCTGCTAAATGGCATATTATATTATTATATATTATATATTATATTATATTATATTAAAGGAACATTTCAGTATAGGGCTAGTTTTAGGGGAGAGTGGGGTAAGTTGAGACATTTTCTACATTCAGCATCACTAGATCAAGGGAAATAAAATATTCTTTCTAACACAGATATCTACATATATTTCAAGATGTTGTGTATCAATGGAAATAATCAAAACGTATGTAAACTATTTTGAAAACATAGCTTGTCCAAAAAAGTGGTCTCTTGGCACAACTTACCCCGGGTATGGGTTAGGCTGAGTATAGGGACAGGGTAAGTTGAGCCGCCTTGGGGTAAGTGGGTGTTGGTGTCCTCTGACAGTGGGTGATGGTGTCCTCTGACAGTGGGTGATGGTGTCCTCTGACAGTGGGTGATGGTGCTGGTAGGTCAAAGTTTAATTCATGGTATGGGGGTGTGGGATATTGTATATCTTAAATGTATGCCTACATTCAGATATAGATCTCTCTGTTAAATATCACTTAACCTTCCATTTATTGAGCAGTTGTCTGGGACAGGGATGTTGTTTCGATGTGCCAATTCGGAGGCAAGTTCTCTGCCTTTGAGGCTACTAAGCCCATGAAACTAGTCCGTGAGATTCTTGATACGTTTAGCAAGCTCAGACTCCATGTCATCAGACAAGACCTTGTGTTCCTCTGCTACTCTGTCATAGCCTCTCTTTAGCACAGGTACATGTTCATTGTCTTTTTTTGTCAATTTACCTCTTCAGAGTCATTCAGTCTATTTTTTCATCCCTTGCTGCTGCTCGAATGGATTTCTTCCCTTGTATCACTTCTTTGGCTGCTCTCTCAAGAACATCAAGGGAGGCTTGACCCCTGCTTGTTTTAAGTTTGTATAAACGGGGCATGATGATGTCTGCTCTGTAACAATAAACAATCTTAAGTTCATATGCATGACACATTGCAAAAATACTATGCATATTATGCAATAAACTGACTAAATGTAATCATAATTTGTATGGGATACCCTAAGGCAAACATTTTGACTATTAGCCCACACAGCTACAAGGATGCACTTTCATGCTAGGTTTATGACCTTATATAGTAGCTTATAGAGATCCCATCTGATGTATAAAACAATCTTAAAACAACTGCTTTGGTTTACATATAAGCGTTATGAAACCTCTAACACCATACATTCATTTGACTTTGTGAAAATCTTTTTTTTTTTAACCTAACTTGCTTACCAATTTTTCCATGTGGTTTCTTCCTTCACAGAGTCCATGAAATGATGACCTCTTCCTAAATAGTTGGTCACATGATTAATTTTGTGTATGGTTACCTAGAAACAAGGGCTGGCCCAACTAACCGTTTGGCTCAACTTACCCCACTCTCCTCTACTGGATGAGATTCCACAATAACCTTCAAACGCGAAACTTTGTCAGATAGGCTATTTCTGTCTTTATTTGGGCTCTTGTTGCGTCAGAAGGCTACGATTGATTGCTGTGAAGGCTCGAGTCTGGGCGACAGAGACAAGACCATAAAAATCTTAGACAAGAGCCACTGATGTTTGTCTTCAACAAGGGCAGTAAATCGTATTGAAAAAGGCAGCAGGAGGGAGGGCAAAAGCTACAGAATGTAAAAGGCCTTTATTGTCCTGACCTGTAATGTATGATGCTCCATGAGCCAAAACCCCCCTCATTCAATCCTCTGACCTTTGTGGATGTCATATGGATAATCAGGAATAATATGGTGTGCCATATCTGAAGACGCAGGAGGGCATAAACCTCAGGATCTATCTTTGAATGTTTGAGGAAGTCTGGGTGTGCCCACGAGACCATTGCATCATGGATCCCACCATCTGCAGTGGCTGGAGGAGCTGCCTGGTGGACTAACCACATGACTGCAGATCCATCTTCCTTACCTCATCTGGTTCGGTTCCTGTGGCTCTGTTCAAACTCTCCGCTCTTTGGCAATGGTTTTAGGACTTACCACACCCTTCAATGGCCACATTGGACATCAACCTATGTCATTACGAAAGTATAGTCCTCTTGGACAGAGAAGCCCTTCAGAAGATGAGTTTTAACCTTCATAGTGGTAACTATCCTCGTCCCTCTCAGTCTGTGGTCCAAAGCTTTTAGAGATTACAACCCCTCAAACGTACATTCATCTGATAAGCGATAAAAGCTCTTCCTCTTGTCTTGGGAAAGACACTACATTTTCCACTAGCTCTAAAAACGCTGCTTTTTTTCTCGCTCACTTCATTTCATCACCTTGTTCCTAGCGGGACCGTCGGGATATGGCGACCAGTCTGACTGCTCATCGATGCACTCAAAGGGCTTGTGTCCATTTTGCCCGGCAACCGCTAGAAATGTACAGATGTATTGTAGGTACATTCAATGTGGTAGTTCAGCATTGTGTAACCTACAGTACCTCTGCTGGTGGGTGCTTTCTGCTTCTGCTCTACTACACTGAGGAGCTGAGAGCACAGTACATGGAACACATTGCTGAGGATCAACCTCTATGGACTAAGTTTTAGTTGCAGGGGTGGGATTAATTTGCTAGACCATTATAAAAACTAATTTGGGCTACCAATCAAGTCTTTGATGTAGAAATTCAAGCTGTGCCTTTTAAGAATAACAGAGACAAAGTTCATGTCCCTCAGTGTTGGAAATGTTTAATCATATCCTTTACGCTGACATAAACCAGTAAGATCCAGCTATAATGTACGGTAAAACTATGTAGGTTGGGAGTTGTACAGGCAGTATGGGAACTGTTGTTTTGTTTACACACCATTCCTATGCTGCCTACAGCACTCGTCCTATGTGTTCATTATGAGGATGTTGCACAGTGTGTAAGTGTGTTAAATATGGGTCTCCTTGCTCTGTGTGTCCTGTGATTTATCTCTCTGTCACACTATCAGGAAACTCACTGCCCTGCAGACAGCTGGCCTGGCAGATGTGCTCTCTCCCCCCATCCCCATGCAGACACACACACACAGGTGTGAAGCATGACACCTTCCAAGGCAGGGCTTCTTTCTATATTTCCCCATGACATCTGCATCTGCTGTCAGGCTGGTTTTACTGCCTGGGTGAGCTGGTGGTCCCTGCTGATGACTAAGTCAGAACTCATCACATTAATGAAACAGGTTGGAAGGTCCATGTCAGCAACAGTACTTGGCCAGAATATTTGTTCCTGTTTCAGAGAACTTTGTCTGCAAATGACTTCGTCGAAAAATATTAGATCATTACATCTTTGCATCCTGTAAGATTTCTTAGATTAAATCCGGACCGCGGAAGATCTGCGTTATATTGCGATTGACATTTAAAGGTAATTTCCCATTGAGCCGAAATATGTTACGTTTACTATGAATGTGGTCTCTGCGAACGGAGGACGTCTTTAAAACATGCATAGAGGACAAAACGCAGCCCTGAAAGTCTGTCATGATGACTGATTAGACCACTAGAGGTCAGCAAACTGTATTTTTCAACCTGTCAATCCCACTTTCATCGACACGCCTTTCAACTCGTTAACACTCCTTTCAACTCGTTAATACTCCTTTCAACTCGTTAATACTCCTTTCAACTCGTTAATACTCTTTTCAACTCGTTAATACTCCTTTCAACTCGTTAATAGTCCTTTCAACTCGTTAATACTCCTTTCAACGTGTTAATACTCCTTTCAACTTGTTAATACTCTTTTCAACTCGTTAATACCCCTTTCAACTCGTTAATACCCCTTTCAACTCGTTAATACTCCTTTCAACTCGTTAATACTCCTTTCAACTCGTTAATACTCCTTTCAACTCGTTAATACTACTTTCAATGTGCTCGAGATGTGCTGTGTTCTGAGTGGTGTAGTGTTGTTATTCCTGTGCAGACAGACAGTCGCTGGGGCTTCTCTGTGGCTCCTGGCTGCAATCCCATCTGCTTCCCTTAAGCCTCTGTGTCTTCCTTCCGCCTATCTGCACGCCTGGGGTATGGCACACTGTCAAGGTGAACTAGCTGCTGCTGGGCAGGGAGACAGAGACTGACGTGATGCCAGGCCAGAGGAGAAAGACTGCTCTGGAGTTAGTTATAACCTGTTACATGTCTGGTAGAAGGGCACAAGTTGTTATTGCACTAACAGTGTGAGCAGATAAATAGCATCATCTACACTGATTTTACAAACCATTAGGAACACCTGTTCTTTCCATGACATAAGCTGACCAAGTCAATCCAGCTGAAAGCTATGATCCCTTATTGTTGTCACCTGTTAAATCCCACTTCAATCAGTGTAGATGAAGGGAGAAGACAGGTTAAATAAGGATTTTTAAGCCTTGAGACAATTCAGAGGGTGAATGGGCAAGACAAAATATTTAAGTGCCTTTGAACGGGGTATGGTAGTAGGTTCCAGGCGCACCGGTTTGAGTGTGTCAAGAACTGCAACGCTGCTGGGTTTTTCACGCTCAGCAGTTTCCTGTGTGTATCAAGAATTGTCCACCACCCAAAAGACATCCAGCCAACTTGACAGAACTGTGGGATACATTGGAGTCAACATGGGCCAGCATCCCTGTGGAAGGCTTTCGACACCATGTAGAGTCCATGCCCCGACACATTGAGGCTGTTCTGAGGGTTTTCATGTTTTATGTACTGTCTTTTTAAGCACAAGACCAAATGAATTTCCCTTTGGTGGGATAATAAAGTTGATCTGAATCTCTGAATCTGAATTAGGAAGGTGTTCCTAATATTGTGTACACTCAGTGTATAGTAGGCATTGCATTCACGCTGACATTTATTGTGGACATTTTCTCAGACATGGCTTTAATCTTTGAGCGCAAGAACGAGAATTGCAGGCCTCACAGACAGTTATTTCCAACATAAAAAGGGTTGAGATTGTGATTCCCTAATGGCTCTGAGAGTCTTCATAAGGGGAAGTCGTCCTCTGTGAGCGGATGTGTTTTATTCCCCTGGTCAGTGTTCAGCTATTGTTGGCTGGCGGACCGAGCCTCGCTCTGTCATTCCCTGCACTAACTCATCTCCAGATGATTTCCAAAATTCATCATGGAAATTGCTCAGGATTGGCCATTAGGTGTTTTTTCTTTCCCTCTCTGTGAAAGAAATGGACGACTGATTGATATTAGAGAGAGGAACTGCTGAGCAATGGCATTTCAGAACAAATACGAGTGAAAATACAGGAACCAACATCTAATAGACGGCAGGGGTCAATTTGTAAGGAGTAGTGCTTTTGAGAAATGAATGTCACAGAGACATTCTTCAAAGTGTTTGTGTCCCGGGTGGCTTCATAGGCTCCATACATCTAACCCTAAATCCAATTTTTCTCTTTAGAAGGGGTAGTGGGTCAGGACTAGTTATCATGACAAATGGCAAAATTACCCCCGCCCCCCTCCCAGACCTCTGTTTGAGCCATGAGTCATTTACTCAATAGAAGATGATGAATTCTCTGGAAACATCCAAACGTTATTGAGTCTTTGGCATCACAGTCCCCACTTTGTTCAGGCCTTTGGCATCACAGTCCCCACTGGGTTCAGGCCTTTGTCATCACAGTCCCCACTGGGTTCAGGCCTTTGTCATCACAGTCCCCACTGGGTTCAGGCCTTTGTCATCACAGTCCCCACTGGGTTCAGGCATTTAGCCTCAAAGTCCCCACTGAGTTCAGGCCTTTGGCATCACAGTCCCCACTGGGTTGAGGTTTCCTTACGGACTTCCTAGGTCGGTGCTGGTGAGAGGGACACTGTTTATCTCTGGTTCCCTTGAACCTGAAGTCACATACAACTTTTACACATACAGTTGAAGTCGGAAGTTTACATACACCTTAACCAACTACATTTAAACTCAGCTATTCACAATTCCTGACATTTAATCCTAGTAAAAATCCCCTGTCTTAGTTAGGATCACCACTTTATTTTAAGAATGTGAAACGTCAGAATAATAGTAGAGAGAATGATTTATTTCAGCTTTTATTTCTTTCATCACATTCCCAGTGGGTCAGAAGTTTACATACACTCAATTTGTATTTGGTAGCATTGCCTTTAAATTGTTTAACTTGGGTCAAATGTTTTGGGTAGCCTTCCACAAGCTTCCCACAATAAGTTGGGTGAATTTTGGCCCATTCCTCCTGACAGAGCTGGTGTAACTGAGTCAGGTTTGTAGGCCTCCAGTTCGGCCCACACATTTTCTATAGGATTGAGGTCAGGGGTTTGTGATGGCCACTCCAATACCTTGACTTTGTTGTCCTTAAGCCATTTTGCCATAACTTTGGAAGTATGCTTGCGGTCATTGTCCATTTGGAAGACCCATTTGCGACCAAGCTTTAACTTCCTGACTGATGTCTTGAGATGTTGCTTTAATATATTCACATAATTTTCCTTCCTCATGATGCCATCTATTTTGTGAAGTGCACCAGTCCCTCCTGCAGCAAAGCACCCACACGGCTTGATGCTGCCACCCCCGTGCTTCACAGTTGGGATGGTGTTCTTCGGCTTGCAAGCATCCCCCTTTTTTCCTCCAAACATAACGATGGTCATTATGGCCAAACGGTTCTATTTTTGTTTCATCAGACAAGAGTACATTTCTCCAAAAAGTACGATCTTTGTCCCCATGTGCAGTTGCAAACCGTAGTCTGGCTTTTTTATGGCGGTTTTGGAGCATTGGCTTCTTCCTTGCCGAGCGGCCTTTCAGGTTATGTCGATATAGGACTCATTTTACTGTGGATATAGATACTTTTGTACCTGTTTCCTCTAGCATCTTCACAAGGTCCTTTGCTGTTGTTCTGGGATTGATTTGCACTTTTCGCACCAAAGTACGTTAATCTCTAGGAGACAGAGCGGTATGAGCGGTATGACGGATGCGTAGTCTTATGGTGTTTATACTTGCGTACTATTGTTTGTACAGATGAAGTGGTACCTTCAGGCATTTGAAAATTGCTCCAAAGGATGAACCAGACTTGTGGAGGTCTACAATTTGTATTCTGAGGTCTTGGCTGATTTCTTTTGATTTTCCCAGGATGTCAAGCAAAGAGGCACTGCGTTTGAAGGTAGGCCTTGAAATACATCCACAGGTACCACCTCCAATTGACTCAAATGATGTCAATTAGCCTATCAGAAGCCTCTAAAGCCATGACATCATTTTCTGGAATTTTCCAAGCTGCTTAAAGGCACAGTCAATTTAGTGTATGTAAACTTCTGACCCACTGGAATTGTGATACAGTGAATTATAAGTGAACTATTCTGTCTGTAAACAATTGTTGGAAAAATGACTTGTGTCATGCACAAAGTAGATATCCTCACCGACTTGCCAAAACTATAGAACTTGTGGAGTGGTTGAAAAATGAGTTTGAATGACTCTAACCTTCAACTGTAGTACAGCCCCAGGACCAGCAGTGAGGGCACGTCCATCTCCTTCGGATGTGCCAAGAGCCAAGACCACCTTATCAGACGCCATGGAAGCCTGCCAACCACCATGCAGATAGATTTTTTTATTACCAAGAATAAATGGATATTGAATCTGAGTAACGGAGTGGCCTGGCAATGAAGACTGAAATGTTTCCAAGCCCAGTGTCGGAAAGTGCAGTTTGACGGCCAAGCTGATTCTATTAGGTGCAGTGTTTTACATTCACTCATTGGAGGGCGTCAGACTACTGGCTCTGAAAAATAGAGTCATTATCATTGATAATGGACTAAATGCATCACAACGCATCTCCTTTTCCCTTACCATATATTGTGGTGTGTGATCACCTGGAGCTTCTAAATGTATTTCAAAGGTTTCACTCATGTAGTTCTAAACATTTTAAAATGTATCTTACACACTGAAGCAATATAGACGTCTATATCATGAGCCTTTAGGGAAATGAAGATCAATCTAAGTTGAAACTACCTACCTACTGGTACGTGAGTTTGACAGGAGAAATGCCCTTGTGGGATTATGATGATAAAACAACTCTCCTCTGAATTGTGTCACTACTAAATGATCAGAGCATTTGGCACCTAACCGTAGTGATGGGATACATCACTAGTCATCATAGGAGATTAAACTGAGTGTGACCACAGATCACTTTCTGCTTCATCTGTGCTTTGTCCTATGTACCAGATCAGCAGATTTCATTATTTAAGCAATAAGGCACCTTGGGGGTTTGTGGTATATGGCCAATATACCACGGCTAAGGGCTGTTCTGGATACAGCCCTTAGCCGTGGTATATTGGCCATATACCACAAACCCCCAAGGTGCCTTATGGCTATTATAAACTGGTTATCAACATAATTAAATAAATATTTTGCCATACCCGTGGTATACGGTCTGATATACCATGGCTTTCAGCCAATCAATTTTCAGGGCTCGATCCACCCAGTTTATAATCACTAATAAGAAATGTCATTGATTTTATTGCATGATGAAACTCATTGAGACTTCCTAGACTCCTTTTCTCTAAACCCCAGTATGTCCATGTTAAAATAGAGACTGGGATCAGAATTACTGCATGGTTCCATTTTGTTTTGTAGATGAGGAGGGTGGTGAAACCCTTGGTAGAGAAAACACACGTGTGCATGGGGGAGTAACACAAACTCTGCACTAGATGGCACTATTGCTTTGTGTTGGACGTCATCTCAGGTTGCCAAGAGCAGGAACAAAGCCCTGTTTTAAATTCCTTGTGTAAGCCTATGGACATTACTGTTAGGATACTAAATAATAGGGTCATGATGTCCTGTTATGATACATTGCTATTGAAATTCATTAGCTGTATTCACAATGCTTGTGCACAACACCACCGGTATGACAGATCATTTAGCTTACTGATTGCAAACAGTTCAACGTTCCTCTGAAATGGACTGCACACATCTTTGTTAAAAATCTAAGGAGGAGAGGCCAGGGTCTGTCTGTTTGTTCACCTCTTGTTTGCCTGTTGTTTGTGTGACTCCAGTCAGTCCTGTAGGACCGCAGGAGGCCAGTGTTCTCCTTCCTCTCCCAGTGTAAGAGATACTAGAGAGTCATCTAAGATTTATCGAGGCCGTGCATGGCTGGGCTGTTGTAGTCAAAAGCAATAAGGGCACAACACAGCGGGATGCAGCGCCGCACAGCCACAAATGAATTCAGAGGGATTTTTATGAGAACCACTATTTAGACAGTTCATTTGGGATGCCTGGTGGCTTTATTTAGATGAACGTGTTGTCATTGTGCCAGGAGACGGCGTGTGAATGCATGCTACTCTGGAAATACTTTTGTGGTTGTGGTGTTATGGGGTGTTCCACTATCACTTCTCTAGCTTCAGCTCTCTTTCTCTCCCTGACGTCTGTCCATAGATGGGCTCATGAAACATTATGGAGTGCCATAAACAGCGTGGCTCTTACATGCCCCACTACGGACGACGCAGAGGGAGAGACGCCCCCAGTGGACCACAACACCACATCCACACACAGCCTCATAGCCCTACACTGACTCCCAACACGAGGCGAGGCCCATTAACTCCTCACTCCCAGCTCTAACATCGCCTCTTTAATAGAATTGATGATGATCTTTATTTCCATTTAAATGAGGAAACTGGCTGAGATGCTGCATAGAGAGACTCATAAGTGAATATTATGAGGTTGTGTCCTCTGCAATGTGTTTTCCCTGATGAACTGGAGAGACCAGATGAATGGGAAATACTATGTAGATGCAACTGTTTTTATAGATGGGACCATTGTAAATATTATATTGCCTATAGTTTATTGTTGAAATAGCAGATTGTCTTGGTTATTTTTGCGTTTGCACTAAACCAAGGACCTGACTTGATATCAAGGCACATTTTAGATTTTTCTTCTTCCAAAATAATATGAAACTTTTCATTTTTTAAAGGTACATTTCTCAAGGGCTGTATTTGGTGTTATACATCCAAAGTATATCTGTCATTCTGAATTGTAATCTGAATTATATTGCTCAAGAACATGGACTTTCGCTGAACAAGCACTAAAACCCAGGTGATTTTTGTGCTGTGGAAGATCACGTATCCCTCTCCTAAATAAACACAGCAAGCTATGATGGAACATGTTGCTGTGATTTGACCTGCCCTGAGGGAAATGCTACAATTATACAAGAAAAGCTCCACTGTGCACTCTGACCTCTGCATTGTGTGTCTCTGTGTGACCCTGGCCTCCCCTGAGAGAGAACCATGCCTGCTCTCTCTCCTCTCCTCTCTCTCCTCTCCTCTCCTCTCCTCTTTCTCCCCTCCACCCTCTCCTCTCCTCTCCTCTCCTCTCCTCTCCTCTCCTCTCCTCTCCTCTCCTCTCCTCTCCTCTCCTCTCCTCTCCTCTCCTCTCCTCTCCCTCTCCTCTCCTCTCCTCTCCTCTCCTCTCCTCTCCTCTCCTCTCCTCTCCTCTCCCTCTCTCTCTCTCTCTCTCTCTCTCTCTCTCCTCTCCTCTCCTCTCCTCTCCTCTCCTCTCCTCTCCTCTCCTCTCCTCTCCTCTCCTCTCCTCTCCTCTCCTCTCCTCTCCTCTTTCTCCTCTCTCCTCTCCTCTTCCTCCCCTCCTCTTCTCTCTTTTCTCTGAGGGTGAGCTGCCTCTGTGGTGGTCTCAGTAAGGAACAAAGTTACTCAACCCCCTGCCTTGTCTTCTCCACAGAGACCATACCACCCTTAGGGAAATTGATGTTTTGACAAATGAGTCCCGGCCAGCAGATAGTGGTGTGAGCAGAGGAGTCTGTCTGTGCTGCTGGCTCATCATCATTGTGGCTGTGTTGAGTGGGAGGGTCTCCAAGTGTCCTCTGAGTTAGGGTGTCATCTGTATGGGTGGGGCTGGGAGTATGTCTGTCCTCCTCATGCACTTACACAGTGAGAGTGTTCTTCTTCAGGGTGACATTTGAGCAGAGTAACTTCCACCAGATCACAGTCAGTGTGGCAGTGAGGGGCCTTAGATTTATGGGCCTGGCAGCTGGTTATGCAGGGCTGTATATCATGTAAGTCCGGCAGCCTGCTGCTCTGCCTGCCTGCCTGCCTGTCAATACTCCACCCAACATCCCATCCCATGCCCTTATCGTCCTGCCTGTCTGTCAATACTCCACCCAACCTCCCATCCCATGCCCCGTCCCTCCCAGATCCTTTGAACCATGCAACTCACCAAGAGGAGTCACCACACTGTCCCCTATACCCTTCACTTCTCACCTTTATAGACAAGTGTGTTGTTTAGCAACAAAACCAATGTGTCAACAAAACCTACCTGTCAATACTCCACCCAACCTCCAATCCCATGCCCCGTCCCTCCCAGATCCTTTGAACCTATACCCTTCACTTCTCACCTTTATAGACAAGTGTGTTGTTTAGCAACAAAACCAATGTGTACCCATCTTCGGGGCAAAACAGACAGGGTTGGCTTAGAATCGTAGGATATCAAAACAAGGCATGTTATCTACAACAAGATACAAACAGCTGAAACAAGCCACCTACAATTCCCCACATGGCAGCTTCTTGTCATTGTTGTTAGCCATGACCATTCAGAATCATAACACACGGCCTTCTACCCCTGCGATGCGCGGGCATAATTTTCGTGACATTGTTAGAGAATCTGTCAATATGCTTCTGTACAAGGACATTTGGTTAAGCAAAAGATGGAGGCCCCTCAGGCCTTGGGGAGTAAAAATTTGAAAACAGGTCAAAAACCATGGCCCTATTTGTCAAATGTCTCCTCCTGCTTCCCTCCTCAATAGTTCAGAGTACTGTGCTATAGAGACATACACTGTGCCTCTTACAGAGACACCAGCATTGTTGTCTGACTGGGGAGAAGCTGACTGGCTGCTCTCTTCTGTTGAAGACTGTCATCCAGGACATTGTTTGGTTTTAGTCCATTGTGGCTTGCTGCTGTTTGTAGCCTGCATTTGTATCTCATCTGTCAACACAGGCCGAAGCCTCACACATCTAGCAGGCCCTCTGTAGTAGATCCAGAGACCAGGGTGCCCATGTAGCTCTGAGCTGAGCTGACAGAGGCTGGGACACACAGGGGATCAGTGTCTGGGTCTGCCTGGGTCTGCCCCATGGGCCCATGCTCAGGGAGAGGACTGGGTTTAGAATGCGAAGGGGATTTTAGGGTAAAGCTTTTTGAAGTTATTTACTGTGTACTATGTGGTTGTTGTGGTTGGTAATCTAATACACTCTCAGAAAAAAGGGTTCCAAAAGGGTTCTTTGGCTGTCCCGATAGGATAACCCTTTTGGGTCCAGGTAGAACCCTTTTTGGTTGCAGCTAGAACTCTTTTGGGTTCCATGTAGAACCTTCTTTGAAAAGGCTCCTACATGGAACCCAAAAGGGTTCTACCTACGATTGGGCGGTATCCAGATTTTCATACTATCAAACCGTTTCTGTACCATTCCGGGGTATATGATATTACACAAGAGGCGCTATTTCTAAAAACAATTTAGACAACAGAAATCTTGATCCAGGAGGGGATTGAATGCATCTGCTGTAACGAAGAAGATTGATCTTGACATCTAGCCACTTAGCTAGCAAGTTAGCAAACCAAATGCATAGCTGGAGCCCTGAGCTGGATATAATTTATTTGACACATCTTAGATTTCTTATAGTTATACTTAACTTATGGTTATAAGCAGTGGCGTAGCACGCAGCACGCAAGGCGAGGGTGCCCCCAACCCCCAAAAAACAACAACAAAACCAACAACAACAAAGCAAATTTAAACACTATTGAAAATCATACCGTCTGTATTTCCAAATACTCCCGGTATACAGTATAAACGTTATATCGCCAAAGCCTAGTTCTACCTGGAACCAAAAGGTTTTACATGGAACCAAAAAAGGGTCCTTCAAAGGGTTCTCCTATGGGGACAGCTGAATAATCCTTTTAGGTTCTAGATATCACCTAGCACATAGTGTAGACATTGACATTGAAGGGGAATGTGTCTTGAAAACAAATAAACACCTATGGGGTTGAGTACATTTTGTTTGGGTGATATCATCTGGATGTACTCAGGTGTGCTGGTAATGGGGACTCTGATGTGTCATTGACCGTGTATGTTATGTGTCACTGATTGTGCACTTTTGTGCGTCACTAACTTACGAAGGTACAAACAACTCCACCACCGAACCATGTCCCAGCAAACAGTGCAGTAGACAGTGAGAATGTGACTATTATGGTGTCTGTTTCACTCCAACGGTCCCTGTTTGTGATCCCCTCTGTGGAAAGTCCCAGAGCAAACAGCCAGCCAGCCAGCGTCCCACTCCCAGCCTTACAATGCATGGGCTACATCGCCAACCCCTTGTCAGATTGGAAAGTTTAAACTGTAATTAAATGGATTAGAACTACTAATACAAGGGATTTGTATATCTCTGAAGGCTCTAACTGCTGAGTTTGGCATGTGTAAATTACCTCTGTCCCCCCACGCCCCACGTCGCCTGCCCAGCCCTGTGTGGGGGATGGATCAATCTTCCCAGCACATTATTGAATGCGTTTTCCTGCTCAGGAGCAGCCCATAAATTGCGCTTCTCAAAATGGCCGTGCACCTGCTCACCACAGCCTTGGAATTTCTAACGAAGCGTTGCATTTCTGCACACAGCACTCAGGACCAGGAAAAAAGAGTCACAACAGAGAGAGAGCTAGAGGGAACGAAGGGAGGAGGTGCAGGAAGAGGAGGATGGAATGAGGTGGAAGAGAGAGGGTTAATTCAACTCCGCAAAAGAGAACCGTCTCGCTCTCCCAGAAGCTTGGCTGGTGCGAATTCAGACAAGCACCTGCTGCTCATCTGTTGTTCTGTACTAATGCTGTTTTGAATTAAAGAAAATTGCACCTACACACTGAAGAAGGCTGTAAAGCCGAACCGACTGTGTACACGATCCCTGATGCAGTAAAAAACGTTTTAACATTGAATAATGTAGTAAGCTTTATGCGACATATTTTTTAGTGCGAACCCATTGCACCTCTTTGAACTCCACCTTAAGTGTTTTAATTACCCCTTTGAGTATTATTTACATAGATTCCCACCTCAGAACACACTCCAGTGTCCTTTTAGAACATTGAATGATGTAGTTTTTTTCTACCTGTGTGAAAGAGTTCTCTGTGGTAGACTGAAACGGCTCCTGCGCCTCAGATTAATTCTCCCATGCAGTCACGCAGCAGCTATACCAAACAATTTGTATTTCATTTTTAAATTGTCTTCCTAATCAATACTTAATTCACTCTCACGTATTAATTGACCACACTGAAAACTGTGGAGTTTATAAAAATGTAATGAAATCCTATTCCATCATTCTTCTCTCTTCGATTGGTCAGCAGGGAACCAATGAGAGAACCTATTATATTTGTGTAATGTGTTATTCAGCTAGATTATAGCGATATCGTGAGACAATAAAATGTCTGTTTGCTTGAATAAGTGTGTGTGTGTGTTTTTTAAAGGTCTGTCAGCATTGGTGGAGTAATGAAGAGGAAGCTTCCATTCTCTGAGGTAGAGGCTGTGTTGTCAGTGTCGACTCCACCAACAGGGGGAGCTTGTACTCTTGCCATGACTAGCCCCTCCAGCAGCCTTTTCTCTCCACAGATCTCCCTCCCTTTTCTGTCTCCTCCTGAAACCCTTTCCTCCTTCTAATTTCCACACTTTTGCTTTCATGCTCTTTGTCTTCATCCTTGTCCTTCAGGTTTTCTCTGCCGTTTATTTTCTCTCCTCTGTTTATTTCCTCGCATTAGTCGTGTTTTGTTAGTATTACAACAAGGTCACACAAACAATTACTCCACTTAATTTCATAGTAACCGATAATACTGTTTCCCCCTAATAAGACAGTTGATACCATCTCCCAAAATAGCCTAATCATCTTGTCCCTCTTTACTCTCCTCTGTCTCTGTCTCTGCTCTCCCTCAATCTCTCCTTTCTTTAGTCACTCACTCACTTCTCACTCTATCCTTCCCTCCCTCCCTCCCTCCCTCCCTCCCTCCCTCCCTCCCTCCCTCCCTCCCTCCCTCCCTCCCTCCCTCACTCCCTCACACAGTTTCATCCCAGAGGTGAAGAGCAGACTCCTATAATTACCCAAGTGTCTGTGAAATTAATCATTGGGTGGCTGATTGAGCTGCATGATGGGAAACATCCATCCTGAGTGGTGTGACTGAGCGCCCACCCCCTTTTCTCCCCTACACCTCCTCCGCCTATGATGTCGGCCAGCGCTGGCGCATGCGCATGGCTCTCTCCCTGCCACTGCTGAAGGGAAGGGGGACAGACAGGGTGTGGTCTAAGCGTGCTCTATGGTGAAGCAGCAGAGACTGTGGCAGGAGACTGGGCATGGTTGCCCTGTGGTCACTGTTACAGGAGGAATATCAGTGAGATGAGCTGAGGTGTGGTCTCACTGTGGTCATTGGACGGAGAACCCAAGGATAAGATCATGCATGGTTGCCGTAGGAACAGTCATGACTTGCGATGATGCATTCTTTACAGATGTATCTTCTTCTACATGATGATTGAACAATAGTAACATATAAAAAATAGTAACATTGAAAAATAGTGATTGTTTTTCACAGGTACTCATTAGAATCAAACATCTGCCAGTTCCAGTTCCATTTGGCTGGTACTAAAACTTTGATCATCTCTCTCTTGGAGGAACGATTCCAAATTACGACTCCCTGCATTGCAGGTGCTATTCACAGTCACAATCAGACACATTATGCTCAGCGTGAGACTTAACTCTGTCTAAATGGTAAATAAAGTCAGCTTCGGTCTCTGTGTGCTCTGCTCTCTTTGCCTGCTGCTTTGATGTTGACTCTCTCATCTCACAGAGATAGAAGAGAGAGAGAGAGAGCGATAGGAGGACCAACAGTGTGTGACAAAGGTCCTTCTCCCAGCATGGCATCAGACGAGGGGCTTTGTAGTAGAGAGAGGATGAGCGGCATGACAAAGTCAACAGGACAGGAGGATGGGGACTCCACGGGTCTGCTGTACAATGATTGTTTAATTAGCCTTTCCTCTGTGCCACGCCGAGCCAAACAATGAAAGAAGAAAACTATGCCACACATTTCTTGGCCTGAGCTCAGTCTCACAGATTGCGATGGCTCATGAGATACTGGCTGAGTTGTTAATAGTGTCATTATCATTGTCAGGATTTTCCTCTTCTGTCAGGAGCCAAGACTATGCAAATGGGTGGCGTAGTTAATGTTTTTATTTGTTTTTGAAGGACTGGCAAGGACTGGCACTGGGGCATGTCATACTGTCATTTAGCAACCTGGCTCTGCCACCTTACCCACTCCAGTCCCCTATCCTGTCCCCTATAATGTTCCCTATCCTGTCCCCTCCAGTCCCCTATCCTGTCCCCCATCCTGTCTCCTATCCTGTCCCCTCCAGTCCCCTATCCTGTCCCCTATCCTGTCTTCTATCCTGCCCCCTATCGTGTCCTCTCATGTCCCCTATCCTGTCCCCTCCAGTCCCCTATCCTGTTCCCTATCCTGTCCCCTATCCTGTCCCCTCCAGTCCCCTATCCTGTCCCCTCCAGTCCCCTATCCTGTCCCCTATCCTGTCTCCTATCCTGCCCCCTATCATGTCCTCTCATGTCCCCTATCATGTCCCATCCTGTCCCCTCCTATCCCGTATCCTGTCCCATCCTATCCCCTATCATGTCCCCTATCCTGTCCCCTATCCTGTCTCCTCCTGTCATCCCCAAGCTCACTGTGACCCAGTAGTCTTAGATCGTAGTGTCCCTGCCTGTGGTGCAGGTATGGGACAGTGGACAGACTTGACTGTGGTGCTGGTGCAGGACAGTGGACAGACCTGCCTGTGGTGCAGGTATGGGACAGTGGACAGACTTGACTGTGGTGCTGGTGCAGGACAGTGGACAGACCTGCCTGTGGTGCTGGTGCAGGACAGTGGACAGACCTGCCTGTGGTGCTGGTGCAGGACAGTGGACAGACCTGCTTGTGGTGCTGGTGCAGGACAGTGGACAGACCTGCTTGTGGTGCTGGTGCAGGACAGTGGACAGACCTGCTTGTGGTGCTGGTGCAGGACAGTGGACAGACCTGCTGTGGTGCTGGTGCAGGACAGTGGACAGACCTGCCTGTGGTGCTGGTGCAGGACAGTGGACAGACCTGCCTGTGGTGCTGGTGCAGGACAGTGGACAGACCTGCCTGTGGTGCTGGTGCAGGACAGTGGACAGACCTGCTTGTGGTGCTGGTGCAGGACAGTGGACAGACCTGCTTGTGGTGCTGGTGCAGGACAGTGGACAGACCTGCTTGTGGTGCTGGTGCAGGACAGTGGACAGACCTGCCTGTGGTGCTGGTGCAGGACAGTGGACAGACCTGCCTGTGGTGCTGGTGCAGGACAGTGGACAGACCTGCCTGTGGTGCTGGTGCAGGACAGTGGACAGACCTGCCTGTGGTGCTGGTGCAGGACAGTGGACAGACCTGCCTGTGGTGCTGGTGCAGGACAGTGGACAGACCTGCCTGTGGTGCTGGTGCAGGACAGTGGACAGACCTGCCTGTGGTGCTGGTGCAGGACAGTGGACAGTCCCAGGTCCAGAGCTGTATAGAGCCTCTATATGTGACTCTGGACAGGTCTATTTCTGTCTCTGTCTCTGAAGTGCACATAGACAGAGCTGGACTCTCTCTCTTCTCTCCCCTGAGCTCTGGTTCTGCTACACCTACTGGTATGAGCATCTGATCGAGAGAGATCCCTCTCAGTATTATCCCTCTGACCAATGAGGCCCAAGTCCTGGCTGGCTGAGAGCTGTGTGACTGAGCACAAGCCACTCTGAGCCAAAGTGATCCTACAGGATAGGAACCATGGATGGGCAGGCTGGAGATTCCCACAGTTCTAGCAGTGAAACCGTTCCCAGGCAGCAGGGAGATGCAATCAGACACAGCAGTTTTGGAGGGTGGTGAAATTGATGGATGGAATCAATTAAAACACGTGAGGAGTGAAATCACTATGGCCACATGTCTGGGTTGTTTTAATGATAAGATGACTTTCACCCCTCCATTGAGCTTGACAACAGCAGAAAGTGCTGTGGTTTTCCTTATAGGCTTGTCTCAATGTAATGCACTCTCAACACCTGATTTGCTACAGATTGGAGAGCAATTCCCACCTGTCTGGGAGAATTGACAGCGTAGGTGTGCTGTGACATCTGTTTGTCGTCCCCGGGAACTCTGGGTAATCCAGTCCATTTGTAGTGTGCAGTACCCTGACCCGTCTGGTGTCTGGGATTACGGCTTCATCGTTGATATACCTGACTATTGTCAGAACTGACACCTCCACACACACACACACACACACACACACCACACACACACACACACACACGAACACACACACACACAAACACTCAAACACAATTTCACCAAGCCTTCACAGGTGGAAGGAGATATCCTCTCTCTCTCTCTCTCTCTCCTCTCTCTCTCTCTCTCTCCTCTAGTTCTCGCTCTCTCTCTAAATTTCAATTTTCAATTCAATTTCAATTCAATTTCAATTTAAGGGCTTTATTGGCATGGGAAACGTATGTTAACATTGCCAAAGCAAGTGAAGTAGATAGTAAACAAAAGTGAAATAAACAATAAATATTAACAGTAAACATTACACTCAGAAGTTTCAAAAGAATAAAGACATTTCAAATGTCATATTATGTATATATACAGTGTTGTAACAATGTGCAAAGAGTTAAAGTACAAATTGGAAAATAAATAAACATAAATATGGGTTGTATTTACAATGGTGTTTGTTCTTCACTGGTTGCCCTTTTCTTGTGGCAACAGGTCACAAATCTTGCAGCTGTGATGGCACACTGTGGTTTTTCACCCAGTAGATAAGGGAGTTTATCAAAATTGGGTTTGTTTTCGAATTCTTTGTGGATCGCTGTAATCTGAGGGAAATATGTGTCTCTAATATGGTCATACATTTGGCAGGAGGTTAGGAAGTGCAGCTCAGTTTCCACCTCATTTTGAGGGCAGTGTGCCCTAGCCTGTCTTCTCTTGAGAGCCAGGTCTGCCTAAGGCAGCCTTTCTCAATAGCAAGGCTATGCTCACTGAGTCTGTACATAGCCAAAGCTTTCCTTAAGTTTGGGTCAGTCACAGTGGTCAGGTATTCTGCCACTGTGTACTCTCTGTTTAGGGCAAAATAGCATTCTAGTTTGCTCTGTTTTTTTGTTTGTTCTTTCCAATGTGTCAAGTAATTCTCTTTTTGTTTTCTCATGATTTGGTTGGGTCTAATTGTGTTGTTGTTGTTGTTGTTGTTGTTGTTGTCCTGGGGCTCTGTGGGGTCTGTTTGTGTTTGTGAACAGAGCCCCAGGACCAGCTTACTTAGGGGACTCTTCTCCAAGTTCATATCTCTGTAGGTGATGGCTTTGTTATGGAAGGTTTGGGAATGGCTTCCTTTTAAGTGGTTATAGAATTTAATGGCTCTTTTCTGGATTTTGATAATTAATGGGTACTGGCCTAATTCTGCTCTGCATGCTTTATTTGGTGTTTTACGTTGTACACAGAGGATGTTTTTGCAGAATTTTGCATGCAGAGTCTCAATTTGGTGTTTGTCCCATTTTGTGAATTCTTGGTTGGTGAGCGGACCCCATACCTCACAACCATAAAGGGCAATGGGTTCTATAACTGATTCAAGTTTTTTTAGCCAGATCCTAATTGGTATGTCAAATTTTATGTTCCTCTTGATGGCAGAGAAGGCCCTTCTTGCCTTGTCTCTCAGATCGTTCACAGCTTTGTTGGAAGTTACCTGTGGCGCTGATGTTTAGGCCGAGGTATGTATAGTTTTTTGTGTGCTCTAGGGCAACGGTGTCTAGATGGAATTTGTATTTGTGGTCCTGGCAACTGGACCTTTTTTGGAACACCATTATTTTTGTGTTACTGAGATCTACTGTCAGGGCCCAGGTCTGACAGAATCTGTGCAGAAGATCTAGGTGCTGCTGTAGGTCCTCCTTGGTTGGTGACAGAAGCACCAGATCATCAGTAAACAGACATTTGACTTCAGATTGTAATAGGGTGAGGCCAGCTGCTGCAGACTGTTCTAGTGCCCTCGCCAATTCGGTAATAGATATGTTTAAGAGGGTGGGGCTTAAACTGCATCCCTGTCTCACCCCACGGCCCTGTGGAAAGAAATGTGTGTGTTTTTTTTGCCAATTTTAACCGCACACTTGTTGTTTGTGTACATGGATTTTATAATGTCGTATGTTTTTCCCCCAACCCCACTTTCCATCAATTTGTATAGCAGGACCCTCATGCCAAATTGAGTCAAAAGCTTTTTTGAAATCAACAAAGCATGAGAAGACTTTGCCTTTGTTTTGGTTTGTTTGTTTGTCAATTAGGGTGTGCAGGGTGAATACGTGGTCTGTCGTAGAGTAATTTGGTAATAAGCCAATTTGACATTTGCTCAGTACATTGTTTTCACTGAGGAAATGAACTAGTCTGCTGTTAATGATAATGCAGAGGATTTTCCCAAGGTTGCTGTTCACGCATATCCCACGGTAGTTATTGGGGTCAAATTTGTCTCCACTTTCTCTCTCTCTCTCTCTCTCTCTCTCTCTCTCTCTCTCTCTCTCTCTCTCTCTCTCTCTCTCTCTCTCTCTCTCTGTCTCTGTCTCTGTCTCTGTCTCTGTCTCTGTCTCTGTCTCTGTCTCTGTCTCCGTCTCCGTCCCCATCTCTATCTGTCTCTCTGTCTCTCTGTCTCTCTCTCTCTCTCATCTCCAATCTGTTGATCGGTTGCTTGGTACAAAGCTGATTCAACAGAGCTATTTCAACAACTCAAATTACATTTTGAACACGTTTGCTGCTGTTTTAGTGTAGTTACCTAATGGCCAAACTAATTGAAAAAGCATAGCACACTTAAAACACACATTGCTATTTTGAAGATGACCCCTATGTGCAATAACTCCCATCTGCAGAAACTAAATTCCCTTTTTTATAAATAAGGACCTGTTTGGAAGCAAACAGAAAATATAATTTCCCTCCTTGTCCATGTATTATTTAGTGAAGTTTGAATGGCAGTGTTTATGAGTCCAGATAAGGCTGTCTGTGGGATGTGAGACTAAGAGTGTAATATCACTGTTGCTGCCATTGCCAGTCTGGCCAGCCACTGAGAGGGGGACCAAATGCCTTCAAGGGAAATCTGGCTGAGGCAATTTGAGGGGGAAAGTGTTTTCGGAGAAGTAGAATCGTGCTTCTTAATATAACACCACAGTTTATTGTCCTATGGGGCAGTCTTCATTATTTGGTGGTATTTTGTGAGAAGGAATGAACCCTCAATAAGCGCTGAGTGGCCCAGGTTTGACTCTGTGTCTGTGGGCTGTAATTATGAACCTCCCAGCGCCCTGTGGAAGGGGCAGAGACA